TCTAGTCGCTTATAGCCGTTGATTTCGCAGAATTCTTCAAAGTTGTGAGCACTGGTGGTAACCTCGGGACCTTTTGTTGCGACTGGAGTATCTTGCCGAGCATGGAGGTCTTCCGAGGATGGAGCTACATATCCATTGAGCAACGGCAAAGACATTGAAGTCACCACTTGAGCGGGATCGTTGAGCGAAGTCGACTGTGCTGGAGCTTAGAAAATCGTCATTAAAGATATCTGAGCCAACCGAATATGCAGACGTACTCAATGAGTTTGATTGGCGGGATGCACTCAGATAAGGATGAAAAAGATTGCGCTCATGATGGAGGTTTGGACGAACTGCACCAGAATCGGCAACTTTCCAGTATGTCAGTACCTTGCAATCATATTTAACTGGATGCTCACCCTGATTTCCAGAAGGGGCGTTTGAGGAAAGGTCTTGCAGTGTGCTTCAATATTGACGTTACAAGAAATTTAAGAACGCTCACCAAAATTACCAGAATGAGCATGAAGTGCTTCGTTCATGCTATTTCCCATACTACTCAAAAAAGACTCTTGCGGGGCAAATAAAGTATCGAATGTGCTGGGGGATATATCTTGATGTACGTGTCATTATTCTTGCTGAACTGACAGAAAGTTATTGCTTACCACTCAAGGGGAGGTCAAACAGTGAGACGGGGGCTTGGTACTGATGATCTATGGGCGAAATGAGTTCATTTTTGAACAGATAACTATTCGCCCTACCCTGTCCAAAGGCCAAGATATCGGAACCTTCAACACGATTATCAGTACTGTTTCCGAGCAGGAATAGGGTTTGCCAGTCGAGTTCTGCTCTATGTCCACTCAAAAACTCTTGCGCTTCAACACCATGACCTGAACCGGATATGGTCATGATCAGCAGAGTATATCACTCAACGACGGTGCAGTAATATCACCTTGACCAGTTACCGCGATAGAACCCATGTCCTCTGAGCCGATGTTCATAGGAGTGACCATTGTAGAGCTGTGGTTATTATTCACTTGCTGCACTACCGGGGGCACAAGACAACCATAGTTCTCATATGATGGTCTAGGGACGTTCATTGCCGGGACAGTGATGAGGGGGAACAGAGAAAAGAGAATGAATGAACATAAGCGGGACTGCTACGCTGTATATCCACCGTACCCACCAATCCAAACAAGTATTTACAATTGTATAAAATTAGTCAGAGAAGCTCGATAGCTAAAAATGATCTTCAGATCTTATAGTTTAGCCTTTAGAGAGAAACGATCTGTTTCCTCATGCGCCCTGCATTTTCGCAAAAGACACACATACCATGGAATCATGTAGTAGAAGGAAAATAATTCCTTGACCTTTAACGATGCCTAGTATGGTTTATTGAGGATCGCGGGGAAGGCGGAACAATTATGCCGTACTACTACCAGTGACGATGTTCCTTCATTCAAACATCGATATCTACTATGATATTGTTCCGAACTCACATTTGGATTTTGGGACTTTTGTCTTTCATATCATTGACGGTTGCTCCAAATGCAACCAACCCTAGTATTTCTCCAAATTCAATAAACCTTTTAGATGCCTTTCGAGCTCATTATGCACAATTTGAAGCAATTGTTCGTCAAGTTCATGCCGAAGCAACAGATCCCTTTCTGCTGCAGCTCCTTGGAGAAGACTTGAATCAATTTTCTCAACTCGCACATGAGGTAAAAGCTCAATTTCTTTCTGTTCATCTCTAATGCAATATCTTCACAAGCATGTAGCAATATTTGAACACGAAGAAGCTCAAATTCTACAAAATAGTCTCCAGGTCATGATTTTGGATATTCGAGCATTGTATGAACAGCGCGTAGAATCGTCACACCTGGGAAGACCAGAGGTTGTATACACTGAATACACTGGACGCCCGGGACGCCCTCGAACAGTGATTAATCCAGATTTTCTTCGTTTTGCCTATCGACATCGTACTACATCGGGTCTCAGTCACTTTCTCGATGTCCCTCGCTCAACCCTCCGGCGACGTCTTTTAGAATCTGGAATTGCTTCCCCAGGCACTAATCCGTTTCCTGCCAATGGATATTCTATGGGAGGCAGTAATGAAGTTCGTATAAGTGATGAAGATGAGCTACTCAATGCCGAAATCCCACATCCAGCTCACCTACCAGATGATGTACAGGTAGAAGCAGCTGCTATACCATCATCATCTTCAAGTGGATACATCACCAATATTTCAGACGAGCAACTGGACTCTTTGTTGGGACGTTTACGCATTCATTTCCACCGAGCAGGCATTAGAATACTCGACGGAATGCTTCGTCGCCTAAATATTGCAGTTTCATATGAGCGCATTCGCCACTCCCTCATACGTATTGATCCTGTTCATCGGGTGTTTGAACGCATTCGAATTCGTCGTCGAGGATATTCTGTTCCAGGACCAAACTCCTTGTGGCACCATGATGGTCATCATCGTAAGTTTTTACCTCATTCTCCCAATATTCCAGGAGACCAGTCATTGGTGTAACTTAGGCCTTATCCGTTGGGGTATCATCATTCATGGTTTCATTGACGGATATTCACGACTCATAACGGGGCTACGAGCAAGTAATAATAATCGGGGTCAGACTGTTTTATCGCTCTTCTTATCAGCAGCAGAGAGATATCGGCTTCCTTCGCGTGTTCGTGGTGATCATGGGGTTGAGAACATATGGGTAGCTGCATTTATGGAGCATGCCCGCGGAGAAGGGCGCGGCTCGTATCTTTGGGGAAGGTATGCATTTATATTCAATGTTAAACAGAAAATGCTAAGATCCCTGTTTCCTCAGATCTGTTCACAACGTTCGTATAGAACGTTTATGGGTTGATGTTAGCCACTATTGCAGCCAAACCTGGCATGACCTATTTACTCTTCTGGAGATGCATCATGGACTTCAGGTTTCGAATTTGAACCACATATGGTTACTTCAACATCTTTTTCTCCCTATGATCAACGAACAACTTTCATTCTGGGCCGAATCCTGGAATAATCACCGGGTTTCGCAGCGTCTCGGTCCAGCGCGCAGCCCGGAGGACATGTTTGTATTTGATTCACTTGTCAATGGTGTTCGTGGTGATGAAATTGGCCAATTCACGATGACCGATGAAGAACTGGAAGTATTTGGAGTAGACTGGGAGGGCTTACAGGATGAGACATTACTACGAACACTCCGGACAAATTATGCTCATGAAGGGTCAGGCTCCTGGCTTGGCCGTAGAGGACCTCCTTCAGATCTCAATGAAGTGCCTGTAAATCCACCATTGGCTCTTCTTACTCCCGAACAAATCATCTCACTTAATTGGCAACTTCAACACCACGTTCGCCTACCCCGTGAACAGGAAGTAGTACAGCTTTGGATTGATGCCCTTGCGATTGTAAGGACCATGTATCCAGATGATTTATAGTATATGTCGACTCTTGTAATCATTTGAATTCAAGGCTTAACAATGAATGATATCTATATGTACTCTTAGTCTAGCTGCTATGTAGCTCATGTGTATTACAAGCGTCGAAACTAGGGTTTTCCCGCTCTTCGGCAAAGCATCAGTAGTTCAGAGGCTATCGGTCAGTCCAAGCATGTCATGGGTAAGCAATTTAGAGGGCATCGGCCACTGATTAGGAAGCAGTCGGTCAGTTATCAGACACCTTGGCCAGACTGCCTTGAAGGTAGGAGTTCGGTTTTTTGAGGGCGGAGTGCCAGCTTGTGAAGGCAAATCGCAACCAGTACACCGATGAAGCCATCTAAAATGTTGAGAATGATCCTGAATTGAAACATACAGTACTGGAGGTTGCAAAACCGAGACACATGTAGCAAATTAGCAGCCCGGATACTATCAATTTCTGCAGATCAACGACAGAGACCTTTATTATTCAAGTGGACAGAATTGAAAGGCACAGACATTGACAGAATTCCAGGCACGGAACTGAGGAAATGGCCGGAGACGCATAATATTGCACAAAAACTGGTTTTATAACTAACTTCATAGGAATCGCACATCCAACAGTTTTAAACGAGTAATCTCCCCCGTTGCGCATCGCGGTGCCCCATTAGCGCGAGATTGGGCGAAAGACACGAGTGCCTCTTCTGAGACGTGCTTGCATTCCGTAAGTACAAGTTTTTCGAGCCGAGGACAGACCGGGGTTGGATCACTGTCAGTGACTGTCAGATGACCGATGAAGATATCGTCCACAATCTGAATAGTAGTCGGGGACCATTCGATGTCGAAAGAATGATTCTGAGAAGGCGTGCATGATTGTAGATAGATATGGGTTGCAGTCGGAAGCGATCGCAGACAACTGACCAGGACATCTTGGGATTTCAGTGGGCACGAGAGATACAAGTCTTCCAACTTGCCCCCAGACCGTTTGAGCAAAGGTTGAAAGGGGATATAATCGAGTCCTCTTCGAAACTCGAAACCTTTAGCAATGAAAGCAAGCTTAGAGAGCAACGGAGCACGGATGACGCTAAAGAGGCTATGGAATCAGTTTTCTACATCTGATGCAGGGAGATTGTCATCATCGTCAGAAGGCGGTAACGGTAAAATTATGAAAAGATAATTTAAAATAAGCATGGCCCCCCGCCAAATTCACGATAGCTTCACAATAATCGCCACACGAAAAGTTTTAAAATTCGTGCCCAGGATTTTTGATGAATTTTGGTAAAAATCCTTGCATTTTCTCTACATTTTCACCGCGAAGACATTGGCTCATCCCCACAGTGATGAGCAATCTGAAAAGGCCCACCTCGTTGTGGATAAGAGATTGAGGCGGTAAGTACCATGAGAGGCCGCATAGACGGGAATGCTTGCGGCTTCTCTCCCTCTCTGCATACTCGGTACTCACCATCTGTAACACCATTTACGGCTACTTGGTACGTAGGCGCAGGAAAACAGGTAAGGATTCGAGATGAATACTAAAAGTTGTTTTATTATACATGGTACTATATATTCCCAATTGCAATCAATTGTTTAACTCCATAGTTCGTTCAGTTTAACGGTGAACATTAATCTTGCGTTCACCGTCAAAGACAATCATACAATATGATGATAATCCTAGCGGAATGCTTCCTGATTGCAACCAATGTCTATATCCACTTACACTGCATCATAATAGTCCAAATCTTCTTCGTGAGGGAAGGGGAAGAGGCGTCGATTAGAACTTCTCTGATCAAACTCAACAACGACAGGATCTTTCACCCCATCTTGTAGAAGCGGAGCATTGGCAGGCTGACATATATATTAGTGAATAATTAAGTTAAATATTCCAAACGAGTGAAAAACGCACCATGCCACTCACAGCTACCTCGAGGTCATGAAGCAAATCATCCGTCGAATGATACCGGGCCTGAAAACATTTTTGTATAATGGCCTCGAAGTCTTTATATTCAGCCACCTCCCCAAGCGTGTCAAAACATGCTTCCTGGTGTAGTTGATAGATTCGTTTGACTTCTTCTGGGTCTACAACTACCAGGAAAGGAGAATGTGGAAAATGAAAGGTTATCAGGCAGAAGAGAACTACTCCAAACGCAAACCGGTCCATATGCGGGGTGAAATTCCAATCCGGGTGTGGATAAGGACTTCCTGGACCTTCCCAAATCCTGGCATGAGGTAAGCGAAGCAAGGGTATGTGCATTAGCGGTCCCATCGATATTTGAGATTGGTTATATTCGAAGGGTAATCTTTCTTCGCCAGGTAGATTGAGCATACATGACCCAGCAAAATCACACAGGACCACTCTTTGGTCGCGCGTGAGTAGGGAGTTATGGAGATTAACATCAACCCAGATCACGCCTTTGGAGTGAATATATGCGAGCCCTTCAGCGATATCGCATGCCCATCTAAGGCGGAGGGCCAAAGAAGGTGAAGGGTCACGTTGTATAAGTAGATGGCGGAGTAGGTCCCCAGCTGGGTGGCGGTCAAAAAGAAGTCCTCGCTCATCCCATCCATGATGCCGCAGGATTCGAGGGTGGTCTCCAAGCCTCTGGTATATATCATGTTCCTTCTGGTAAAAGAGGTTAGTCAACTGAATGACCTCAGCGGTACTTCCAGCGGGAGCGGAGGGGGTTTCTTTCACAAAAAGAGCAGAATTGGAGACTTCAGCCATTGATACAAAGATAATGGTGACAACGCAAGTTTCAAGAGCTGCAGATATCGCGAATGAAGGCGTCAGTCCTGAGTCCTCCATGTGATCATTGCAATGGCAGGCCATCAGACCCTGATAGCATCGCACCTCCGGAGGGCAGGGGGTATATTGATTTGAGCTTCATAATAGTTACTGATAACCTGTATGTACGACAAGACGCACTGGGTCTGCTAGCTAATAAAGAGGTATATAAGTTCATACACATATGTTCGAGTACATAAAGTTCAACGATGGACATAACAGTTTGTAAAGGTGAGTTGAGGATTGAGGTAGGATAAATGTTAGAAAAAAGGGACCTATAAACAAAGCTACCTTCTGTGCCCTGCTTGTGTCACAGATAGACATACTTGAGTTAAAGAAAAAATTTATCAATCATCCAAAGCACGATTGCAGCGCATGCAAAAAATGACCACCCGTTCGTGTACTCACTGCTCCGAGAGACACTTCCTATACCTTTCCTTCCATAAGTTCCATATCCCAAACATAAACTTCCTCCTGCTCCAGGAGTGCCTTTCTATCTTCCTACCGTTTCAATGTCCATCTATCCAATCATCAGTCAAAACCCCTTTGACTCCACCGCTCTGCGTTCGTCCTCCATCTCGTGCTCGTGCGTTATTCATCCGTTTCTCTCTTATTAAAGCACCCACTCCCACAGAATCATCACCAGCACCCGACATCGACGAGGAAGAAGAGTACGAAACCGAAATAGGTCCCTCTGCCGACACGTCCTCCGTAGCAACAGGGAACGGGAACGACTCCCGGGTAGATGGCAATTTGACCTTGGGTACAGGGACTGGGATTTGCTTCTTTGGCTTCTTCTTCTTGGACGCACCGCTGCTCGTGGACCTTGTCTTCTTCATCGCAGGAGCAATGACCGCGCCCGCGGAATCATCCGTCGATGATTGAGCGCCATGAGAAGAGTGTACGGGAGTTGATGGAATAGACGGTTCCACCCAGTCATCCTCAATGTCATCACTTGCTTCATCAAAGTTGGTCTCCTTCTCGTGGCCATCACCGGGTAGAGGGACATGTACGACAGAAGAATCAAAGCGTGTAGCTGACGGTCCCGGAGTGATAGGATCAACGGGATCCTCTTCCGTATCTATTTCTTCACTTTTACTCCTATCACTTCTCGCACCGCCTGCGGACCCGTGTTGACTAACACTCGATAACGACAACGAAGCTGATCTGGACCGAGACTGGATACTGACATCCAAACTAGGTTCATCTTCATCCTCCAACTCCATGGTGTCGACCTCGTCAGGATCTGACATAGACTCTAAACCCATGTTGTCAGCCGAGTCAGCAGCCCATGAAGGAGCCTCATCCTGAATAGAAAATATTGTTTTAGGGAGCTAAATAAGGGAAGAACTCAGCGATTTTACGATGTGATCAAAGTGACAAAACCCACCTGCACCACTCGTCTCCGAAAATCGACCCAATCCTTCTCATCCCGACATAGGAAGCCAATAAGCATACTAGGATCCAATCCGCTCAACGGCATCTTGCGCACCCGATCACAATGGAAGGTTTTCAACTCGGCGGCGCTATACGCTGTAGCATAATGTTCTTCCAATGGAGTCAAATCATGTTCAGGCGCACTTGGTCCCATCAGTTCGCTGTAGTCCATGTCTCCACTGTTACCGGAAGCCGGAGACTCTGTTCTTGATTGAGATGAGGACGAGGTAGAACCTGCATGAGGAGGACTTGCACCATTATTCCCTGCAACTGGAGGAGAGCGAGAATACTGCTGCTGCAACGGCGAAGGCGCCAATGGAGTATGGAAAGATGAGCCAGTACGAGTAGATGAAGGCGATCCAGACATTGCTTGCAGCCCTTGATAACTTCCACCACTACTCCCAGAACTACCACCACTAGATGATCGCGTCGAGTGTTTATGTGACTTCTTTGTTGAAACCTTCTTGATCTTTTCCTTGTCCACCTCGCGTTCGTCCCCAGCATCTTCAGTGGTACCATAACCTGAAGAGGAGCCGCTAGGCCGAGAGACATGGACAGCAGAAAACGCAGAACTTGGACCTGTGAGAGCAACAGTCGGAGGCGGACGCAAGGGAACAGCAGGTCTGGCATGGTGAGGATCGAGGTAGAACAAATTGTCTGTCTGTGAGCCGACAAAGTAATATGACGAACTCGGTCTTCCACCGGCAATTCCCACCGATTGAGGGAAGGTGTAAAGCATCTGTAGCAGACAGCAATGAGATTCAAGAAGCCAGATCTGAAAGAAACGAAGGGGCCGACCTTGATCGTGTCATAGTATATCGGGTTCACACCATCCAAGCCAAGCCTAATTCCGAAAAGTACTAACACCGGCCTATCACCCCAAGACGTGTGAGCGGCACCTTTTCCTGTTCATGAGGATATCAACAACAGAACGATCACGAGGAATCTGAAGAGGCCCACCTCGTCGTGGATAAGAAGTTGAGGCGGTACCATGAGAAGCCGCATAGACATCTGTCTGCGTCAACAATCCGTCCGTGGCAACAGCCACACCCAATCCTGCATCTGAATATGCATGAACAAGAGACCTGAAAGAAAGTGAGTTTATCGCATCAGTGGGTATCGATTTACTCACCTGATAGCCCCTGCAGCTGTACTCGGCCCGAACCACATCCCCACATCCTTGCCTAAATCCTTTCCCGCCAACGCCATCCGGTGAACACTAAATGGTGCCAACTCCGAAGGTGTGTCTAAGAACCAAGTGACGATCTGCACATACATAGCATATTCTCTTGTCATTTCCGGAGACGGAGGGATCCTCCAGTCCCTGCCTAAATGCATGAACAGCAATGAATTCGCCAGCAAACTTTGACCGGTTCGTAACATACACCCCCACCCGGAATCACTCGTCCACCCTTTCTCTCCACCTAGTCCTCCTACAGTCCAGTTCCATTTGCTTCGATTTGTCATGGTGGACGTAGGACTCGACGGTCCCTTGGTGTGGCTATTGTTGCTGAGACTAGTGCTGAGAGATGAATCGGATTTATAAGAGTCAGTATAACGCGAGGAAGTATGCCGGGAGACATTGGATGTAGTGGAAAGTGTCGAAGGGGAAGCGGGAGTAGGAATTATTGCCGGGGCCATGATGGGCTCGCATGCAGGCGGAGTAAGCTCTTGCAAGTTACTATCGCGTATGGGAGGAAAATGCGACCGATATGTCAGCCATATCCGTGAAGTGAAATCTGCATAAAAATCCGGGGGCCAATTGGCCCCGGGTTTCAGATCCTTGGAGGTAGCGCTCTGGGTGGAGGATGTGGATAAGGCAGGATTATACACGGATGCAGACGGTGTTGCTGTAGCAGAAGAGACGGAGGAAGAGAGTGATTGGGAAGGCGAGGATGACGGAGGCTGAGATTGAGATAGGAATTGCGAGCCGGAATGCGTGATTGACGAAGAATGTGCGTGCTGACCACGCGAACGCGAACGTTTGTGTCCGTGCGACTGATCCGAAGCAGTCGTCGACGCGACCGAACCCCTGCGTCCCAAGGTACCACTGGTGAACGAAGATGGAGGAGGCTGCGATTGCACCAGGGGTGGCTCATACCCAGGATGCTGCACACCTAAGATCCAGATAACATCGGTGCATTTGTCAGGCGTTGCATCACTGTCGAGTAAATACCGCATCGCCTTGTCGAGATGACCTTTACCATGCTTTGCCGCAGTAAGCAAGGCAGAAGCCCCGGTCATTCTGGCTCTCGGAGACGAAGTCGAACCCGTGGAAACAGTATTGGACTGTGCAAGGATGGTGGGAAGGGAGAGATCTGTTGAGGAAGTGGAAAAAGTATGCGAAAACCAGCCGGAAAGACGGGTTGGTAGGTCGCCCATGCGAGCGGAGGGGGAAGTGCTGTGGGAGGTTTCTAAGCTCGGTGGGCGGTCAGGGCGATTGCGTTGACGTGGGGACGGAATTGAGACGGGTTCTACGATGACTGGTGTTTCCTCGCCGAACTCCTCTGGGATCCTAGTGTTTTTTCGGGAGGGTCTGGCAGAAGATGATGGAGAGGGAGTAGAAGGAAGCTCAGGCGAGCTAAGCACGCCTTCATTGACGGATTTGGATCTGTCCCGGGACTTCTGCAAAAACTTTGGAAGCTTGGAACTGGGAGCTGGTGAAGGAGTGTGACGCGAGTGCTTGCTGGACATCGTCTGAAAACAAAAACAAGACATTGTAGTGGAAGTAGAAGACTTTCAAAAATGGAAAACTGACCTAAGATGGCGATTGGGTAAAATGTGGACGTAATGAGCTTGGCGGAAGCTCGTTCGTTGGTTCGTTATCCACTGTGCATCGATAAGATTCTTAAACACTTGTCTGTGCACTAGAACAGCAGCCTCACCAGCTTTCTCTGCTGCTTTCCGCAGGTAATCTATATTAGCGATAAATCAATACGGTTAAATTTGCCATGAAGCCACCGGTGTGCCTACAGTTAGTATCTAGACGCAAAGAGAATTAAGCTCAGAGGGAAGAAGCGGACCAAGAATAAAACTTCGACTTGCCCTATCTCTCTCTTGGTCTCCTGTCAGTGATACAAGTAATCTGCAGGTCCGAATGAAATTAGAGCAGTGCTTATTGAACGCATAGAGAAATCGCACGTTTCGTAGGGCAATTATTCGAGCTTTATAGTCATGAAACGAATACAAGAAAGAAATTCTGAAGGACGGAAATGGAAAATGTGAGGATAATGTGTTCAAGAGAGAGGTTGACAAGCAAATTAGTCACTCCAATCGTGACATTTCGGTCAACAAACGTGACATGTCCTTTCGAATTTCTGTCATCACTCGAATACGCGTCCACTGGCCATTTACTCTGTTCTCTCTAGCAGCTGACTTGTAAACGTATTCGACGAGAGTTTTCGAGGGTTCCTTCGATGAATATCAAAGCCCAAGATCATATGCTGCGTTTTATGATACCAAATCATCACCATAACCAGCTATAACCTCACTACCGAATCTTGATTGATTTCAGCATAGCGTACGTCCCTTTTCGAACTTGATATGCTTTTCCACAATATAAATGCAAACATTATTGCTCTTCACAGGCTTCCTGGAATGAGGCAAGATTGTGACCCGTCGCTTCGACGCGTAGTTGCCCCACAAACCGCAAACAGCTTCGGTTCGAGGAACTGCAAAATTAACCAACGGTCCCGCCCAACTGAATCCAAACCAGCGACAACATGCACCCACTTGGGGGTACAGTTTGAATGTTTAGCGCTACCTATTTGTGTCTACGCTACCGCAAAATCTGTCGAAATCGAGACTCTCATCGTTCGAGGTGTTGATGCTCAAAGTGGACCCGTCATGTCACAGGATGAATTCAAAGGAGAAAGATGCAGGAATGAGAATGGCGTGTCCTTCCGAATGAGGACGCTCATGTAGCCATAGGTGCGTTTTCAAGTTGCCTTTTTATCGTGTTCGGCGATCTCCGTTCTCTTCGTAATATTTTTATCGGTAAATAGTAGTGCTCAAACTCCAGGCTGAAGCTTGCAACTTTTGTCAAAGACTATGAAGGCGACTCTGACGCTGGGACATTCAATCGTATTCGCCCTATTCTGATAGTTTTGCAATAAAATGAAGTGAAATTACTCTTTCTCCTAAATCATTGTGCGTTTGCGCCTACACTCGATAAGCATGACACCATACACTATGCACCGACATGATTCTCATGAATCTCTTTTCTTTCTCTTCTTCAGTGCTTTTTCAGTGCTTTCCTCTTCTCTAATACCCAGACTCCCAAACGTGTGTGCATGTCCCGAAGCAGCCCGAAGCTTGGTCCAAACCATCGGGCCGGGTGTGGTGGAGCAACTTTGCCATTTCGGGCAAACTGATAGATAACAAGTATAGGCGGTATATAACCAGGGCTTCCTGATGAATGACGATTGACGTACTACTATGCAATGACATATATAGTACCTATCAGGCGACCTTCCTCGAGGCGTTCACTCGAAAACAAAAAAAAAACATTACATATAGGAAATATTGACCCATCAAGTACTCCTCCCGAACTCCCATGTTCTCGACGCGCACTCCACTGCTTCCACTTCTATACTTTCTATCCTGTTGGAGGTTCCGAAAGTTACCAGCGTTATCCTTTTTTGTGGGGTCGATGATAATACAGCTCTGCGGATCTTCGACAACCCGCCTAATCGCTGAACCCGAAGCGTCGTCCGTTAAACACATGATATCCACACCCTTCCCAAGCACAAATGTTCGACAAATGTATCCTACGCAAACTATGCTAGCTTCATTAATAGCGTCTCCATCGAATGACTCGAATACCGATAGCGACACTCATACTGAAAATCCAGACTCTAACCTAACAGACCCCGGTGCCACCCTACCTCATCCATCAAGGGTCACTGTGGCTTTCCTCATACTAGGAGTGGGGTCAGTCGCTTTTATTCATACATGCTGTGTCCTGTGCTCCTAAAATCTTTTATACCGTTTTCTTCCACTGCGTATTTATATATACAGCTTATGCCTATTTTCAATCTACTTCCTCATCACCCACCACCCTCCATCCCATGTAATAAATAAACACGTCAGACCAACCATCTCCCACATCTCCGATCGTCTCCCCAACTCCCTCGTTTTTCTCTTCCATCGTCTCGCCGTGCTGGGAAACCGGCTCAGCGCACATTTCCCCGGAATAAGTGGACAGAAACTAATACTATCAGCTACCATCTTCGGACCTTTCAATTCCAAATTTCATCGTAACCGCCGTCGCCGACGGCGAGGAGGTCCTGGTCCTTCCCCTAGTCCTCTCAGTCCTCTCATTCCTTCGAGTCTTTCAAGCCCTTCGAGTTCAAATTCTTTCCGCGTAGGTGAAGGCCGATTAGTACAATGGGCGCAAGAGGATATGGGGGTACTACCTGATATAGAGTCAGGGGAGTCAAGACCGGGGGAGTTTGAAGCAGCTGTAGATTTTATGGTTAATGCTGAGGATCCTGCGGAATCTGAGGAGCTGGTGGATGAATATATCCCGTTGAGTGTGGGTATGGGATGGAAAAGTCGATTTGGGCTTGGAGGGCCAAGGTCGGCTGGGGGGATGGTGCTGCCGGTGCGGAATTACGGGTCAGCAACGAGGTGATAGACCAGCAGGTGTGTGACATCCACTCGAGTTTGAAAATAGTAAATAAGCTGTTTCCTCACCAAAGACAAGTTTTATTTTCTCGAATTATTGTATGTGTTTTGGCACATCCGTAGATGAAGTTTTACAATGCTACAGTCTTTGCTATGGATAGACTTCCTCCTTTCTCTTCGCCCACCTTCGCCGCTCGTCCCCTCTGCCATTGAAAGATACCTTCTCGAACACGGCGGCTCTACATTACCCAAAGATACACGTGGAACGTGGACTGTGGTCATTCGTACCTACAACCTGATTCAATCGCTGTATTCCATGGAAACAGGCTCCAACAAGCAAGATGAAACCAGTGACAGAGGAAGATGATAGCGAGGATAGCACTTTTTGGGAGCCTGATAACAAAAACCTGTTCACAGTTTTTGTCCCGCGCTCTCCCTTAGTCTACCAATATACATTTTCTCTATGGGAAGCACTTGAGTATTCGTTGTATTCAAGCTATTCTTTCCTGCGGGACTCCCTCGTCTTCAACAATGAGCTTGTTTACAACGTTGATCATAATTGGGAAAAGATCCCTTAGCTCAGCGGTAGAGCGTGAGATTCCAGTCCTCAAGGTCGTCCGTTCAATCCGGGCAGGGATCAAACAAGTCACTTTTGTTCCAAGTTCTGTTGACGTTCCACAATTGCTTCTCTCTGAGTATAGACGGTGAAGTCACGCAATTGCACTTCCTTGTCTTTTGCCCGGTAGATAGTGTGATTACTCCCTTTCAGCAGCTTTCCGTCACGTTTTAGCTTGTGGACAGTACATTTAGCATCGTATCTAGGATCCGGATTCCGAAAAGCCATCGCTGTGTTTATTGCTGCTTCTCACGCAAGGGCAGACTGATATACATAGGTAGTGAGTGAGGGATTATTTGAGTAGAAAACTTTACTGATGAAACAAACTATAACTTCTTTGCAAGCACCATAGCCACCGGCCACTCCACAATCAGCTCATCTTCTCCTCTCACTCTTACCTCCCCCGCTTGCTCCTCCAACTCCTTATTTTCCCTCTCTTCCTTCTCTGCCCCCTCCATAAGTTCTGCCCACGTCCTTTCCGCTATCGTCTTCCCTCCGTGTTTCAGTGCATCATCGGGATGTTTTTCGAGATAGTTATGTAGCGAGCTGAATGTATGAAAATACCCAAGAAGACCATTCCACGTTGATTGAGAGCGGAGAATTATCGGGAGAGTAATTGGTGCGTTTGGAGATGGAGAGGTGGTTGGGGAAGTATCATGGTATGGACCTGGCATTAATTAGGATGATAATTGGGTCAACCAAGAAGATCGATCTGTACTACAGAATGGAATGTACCAGAGAAATACACTCGGTCGGTGTCAGTCAGTGTCACTGACTCTCCAAGAACTTTTTTGGGCTCAGGTACATCCACGAGATGGCGTTCAAGTATAGTTCGGCCAGGTCTTTCCCAGTAAGGGCCCAAAGAAGTGTCTGGGTTTTTGCCTTGGAGGTAGTGTGTAATCAGCGGTGTTAAAGAAGGGTATTTAGGAAGGCGAAATTCCGAGTAGGTCTGAATGTGAGAGTGAGTGAGTACCACAAATCATTGGACATCGGAAGACACACCCAGAAGGCAACGGTTCCGCCGGGACGTAGTACACGAGCAATTTCCGGCCATTGTTTGTTCCAATCAAACCAATGGGCAGCTTGTGCTGTATGAATCGAGCTTTATTTTATAAACGCTCTATGGTACACGAGAATGCTCACCAGAGATGACCAAATCAACACTCTCATTCTCCAAGAAATCAAGCTTCTCGGCTGAAGATTGAACGAAGGAGAATTGTGATGTTTTCTCTGCCACATAAGATCAGAGACTATATGAAGGAGAGACTGAATGTACGTGCACATACCACTGCCAAGAGCTTTCTCAATCTGTTCCCTTGCCTTCTGTACCATTCCCTTACTCGGCTCCACACCAATTACTGTTTTGAACGGACTTAGCTCCGTCGTCGCCTGGCCCGTTCCACAGCCCAAGTCTATAGCGGTGTTCCATCGAGGGCGAAGCGTTGATGATTGTGGTCCTTGATTCGTGGTGGAAGCAGAGGAATTTCCAGGGAATGCCGCAGCGCCTTTTTCGTGATAATTGAAGATCAATTGAAATAGAGCTTTGGGATATGTTGGTCTAGATGCAGCGTAGACTGCTGCATCGAAGGAGGATTTCGCAAAAGTGGACATGATTTATGTACAGAAAATGATGACGGAAGCGGGGAAGGTAGGGCGCTAATTTGGCTTCAACCGAGTCGAAGTCTGATTCCTTTGCGAACTCAATTTGTACCAGACTCAAGAGAGATATAGGGTTCAGATCGGGAGCTCACATCTGTTGTCGGATAGATCAGTGCTATTCGATAAACCATGGCTATGTATATATCCCTTGTGTCAACAAATATCAAGCCCCATCCAACGTTCTCAACTTGACCTCCCACTACTGCACTTTCTTTTCTACTTCTTTCGCCCAACGTTGCATATCAACCAGCAAATCACTCTTTTGTGATTTAGTTAACCCCTTATCGTACCGATTTTTCATGATATCCAGTGCTTCCAAGACCCACTCAACACCGTCGATATTTGAGGCCTCGGTTTTTGCCTTGACCTCGTTCTGAGCTTCGGCGGAGATGTCGATTTCAATACCCCGTATTTTTAGTGTAGGGTAGTCCACATTCAACTTTTCAAGAGCAACTTTGCCATTGCGTTTGGTTAACAGGGAGACGCCTTGGACTCCTTGGTGTCCAAAAACCAGACCTACTGTCGCGGGTTCATTCTTCGAACTAATGGCATACAAAAAGCTAGCCGAGGAAGTTCTGCCTGTTAAGATAAATCGCTCAGACTTGGAAGAGTCTCTTGAGCTCGAAGAGAACCTTACCGACAGCTTGAGGAAGTTTCGGAGGAGAAATCAATGCCGCCAAGATACCTTTTGGAGCACCCGCCCTGCCAATAATTAGAGGCGAGGCGGACACCATTACGGGATAGGTAACAAGAAGGATACATGTGGCAAGAAGTATAGGGAATGATACGATGAGTCGCATGTTGTATAATGCCGGAAAGTTTTTCGAAGAGTTGTGGTACGACGGGGAACAGGTACGTCTATAGGGTGAAAACGGAATTCGAGCAGACGAGATTCGCGTTTGAACGATTTTTGCTGATCAAGAAAAAAAACCGATAATGAGGATCCATGTAACTGCCAGAAAATGACGTCGCACTCACTCAGGCTAGTACGCGTCGAAATACTTTGACGGAGGTGGGTTCGACCAGCGAATCCGACGAGTTATGTCACTAGAACTAGAACAGGCATTTCAGCATCAATCGGACTCTGTGAGTGCGCGGAGAACTCGCAAGAGCGAGTAAAGGCCAAGATGGGCCAGAGCACGAGAAACACATCCAAACGCACAAAAAGGAATTGGGGGAAGGACCTACCGACCAGCGAAATGGACGCTGTTAACGTCGAAATTACCAAGTCTTTTATACACTACCAGGGCTATGTAAAGGTCGGTCAAGGCTATGCTAAAATTTCGTTCAACACCAATTTGGATCCGCCTCACGGCTGGGAATTACATACGTATTTTTTCCCTTTCCCCTGAACCCGGGATGACAACGAGAGACATTGAAAAGACTTGAACAGTTGGGTGCTATCGATTAAGATATGGACACCTCCACTAAACTGGAGATGAGAGGAATATTCGGCAGAGCCTGCTTGAGGCGGTGAAATAACAGACTTGGAACGATATATGTACAATAATATAAGAGTATAGGACCGTCGGAGGATGCGTGCGACCATAGCTTTGACCGGCGTGGGAGAATGCGTGAATTTGTCAGGCCTCAAGCTCATCCTCACGATCCGTTCGTCTCCATGTCCTACATCACCCAAAGTCATTCGAAACACTCGGGAAACTCGGGAAAAACGTTGGAGGTTATAGTGTACAGTATATTGGGAATAATGAGCTCCCCCGGATAATGTTTTCGCACAATAAGATCTGTCCTGGAAGCGATAATCCGCGCCCAGACCGCACTATGCACTCGGGTGAGGGGATAATAGGAGATGATCATGCCGTACATTCTGTGCGTACAGTCGCGGTGGGCTTCTGCTCTCTGGACCTGTGTATCCTTGACATTGACTGTTGCGTAGTGTAACTTTCGAAATCCTTCGAGGACTGTCCAACTTCATGTGCAGTATGATCGTCTCAAGTTAATGACAGAACTCGGACCTTTCGACGCCGCTTGACACTCAGGTCGAAGATTCGAGTTTAGGATCAGAGTTATAATAAGGATGAAAAAGAAAGAGTCGCTCGCAGAGTCACTTATCGTCTAGGATTTGTGCTGCAATTTGGAAAGCTACGATATTGGTCACTCGGTAGCTGTCATCGGGATGCCTTCTCTTTATATCCAGTCGCTCTCAGATATCAGCTCTCTCCTAGCTCCTTCATCCACACAACAATTCATTCACATTTATCCGGCATCGCAGTTACATCTTAGCAGTTCCTTTTCCTTAAACCGTAGAGACCAGCGGATTCACCAAACCCAGCTTTGGGTAGTCTGCCACGCGTATGGGACGAACGTCGTCCGGCTCGGCATATGCATAAGACCCTCCGAGTCTATGTTACATATATCATGACCGTGAACCTCTGCCGTTTGTTTTTGGATCTCATTCACATCTACCGCAGACCACAGTTTGTCACAAAAATCTTCGTGCAAGTTCGTCCATTCCCTCTTCTTCGGTTCGTCAAAAGTCAACTACCACCTCCAATGCAACTGGATCTCCTCGCTAATCAACAATGGAGCACCTCAGTCAGAATACTATCGCGGTGTGGTCCAGAGAGGCATAGTAGATCTACCTGTGTCTGCCCCAAAAAACCAGGTAAATAAATGGCCAGATCCACCAATTCAACGAATATCTTCGTTAATGTCGGTAGGGCAGGAACGGAATCTTCATGTGCGCTCGCCGTTTCATTCATTTAGGCGTCATCAGGATATCAACTGCCTGAATCTACATCTTCCACCTGTGAGATTTCTTTTCTTAGCTCTATTTCACTTTCAAAATTAATGGTCGCGCGTAGTGGCGTCACGGTGCATGACATGACAATCAGCTACAAATACACCAGTAAGTATTTATTCTGTTTCCTTTGTTCTTTGTTCTTACAACCCTTCTTACACCAGTATCATCTGCCCGTTAGATTCAATATTTCTCATCATGTCGCAGGTATGCTGTGCTCGTCTTTCCTTGCATTTCGCTGACCCTCATCTAAGAACGACTCGTTGCTCGAGCCTTTGTTCTTTCTAACAGAAGACGAAAAGACAATCCTGAGTGGCATTCGCGGCCGCTCCCTAGTCGAGCTTGAACGATCTATCGCGATGTCTCCCACAAATGCTTTGGACGTCTGGAGAAGTTTTTGGCCTGAAGTAGTCGGCATCCTGACGAAGATTAAGTTGGCCGTCAAGCTTGACGATGAAAGAATTGCTTCGATCTCCTTTCAGAATCATCTGGACGATACAGTGCTCCCTGTCTGGACTTACATCGACACCATGCTGATGATGGTGCCTGTGAGTGAGAGCGGGGACATCTCGCCCCTACTGGCTACTACGCCGGACTTTTTATCGCATCTCGCTCATGCGTGTCTTGCCACGATCGTTCCAGTGGCCACTCCCCAGAATCCCTCTTCCGAGTCTCTCCTGTCGACTATGGAGGCGTTCACTCGAATTGGCCGTGTGACAAATCGGCTATATCTCGATCTCATCGAGACGGAGAACGATGTCGAAGCTGAGAATCTTCTCAAAAGCTTCATCTCTATATCTCCCCCTACCGACAGCGCACGACACGTCACTGCTCTGTGTCTTGTTCGCGCGATGCACGAGGTCGCATATGCCAGGAGCACTCCCACGGAGAACTTCGATCCGTCCATCCTCGAATTCGTTATGTTTATCTTCGAGCGACTCGCAGCCTACGACAACGATGTCTATCGCGCCTCTTTGAAGAACGGGTCTATCGCCGTCATTAGTCGCGTCACGGCGTTCTTGACGTCCCAAACCCAACGGTTTGCGTCGGACCTTTTCGCCTTTAAAGCAAGAATTTTTGCCCTTCGCGAATGCCTGCTCTACTTCTGCGTCTGTTTTCAAGAAAGCCACCATTGGGTTAACAAGGCGTTGGAAGAAGATATCCTCCTTTCGTTTGTTCTATGCTTCTCCTTGATCAAGAAGTGCGATTCTTTCTCTCCAAAAATCGGTAGCATCTTGGAGGAACCCCTCATCCTTATTCTCCAGATCTTGTGGTGCTACACAAAATGCTATCTATCCGTAGAGACCCACATCGAGAAAGAAGTGGATCGTGTCGACGATCTAAATATGATTGAAGAAGACGAAGGGCTTTGGGCTGCTTGGGCTCCGAAGGCGCATGAGATGTGGTGTGTGCTTGCTGTCGAGGCAAATGAAAGGACAACCAGAGGGCTCTCCGATACCTTCTGGGACCCCAAAAGACCGCATTCGGCATCGGCTTGTGCATATAAGCAGGTAAGAGTTTCAATGTTGTTTAACACTCGAATTGTTCAAACCGAGCATTTTTGGTGTAACAGTGTCGTGCCCTTTCGGTCAAAACCCCTAAAGCATGTTCATCTTGCCGTGTACCTTCGTATTGTTCAAAAGGTTGTCAACGCTCAGATTGGAAATCCGGGCATAGAGACATGTGCAAGAAAATTTGTTCAGAACGACAAGGTGATTAGGTTTAACTTCCGTGATGATGAATCGCGAATCTCATCCCATGTACTATGCGTATCAAGATGGCTTTCCTGGTCCAATTCCAAGCCTCGACAAGGCGTATGCTGCATTCACTATGAAGATTATCCAAGTCATGAATACTAAACTTGTAATCGAAAAGTTGGCGGAATACCTACAGAATCATCCCGAAACTCGCTCCTCTCAACAGATGCACGCTACACTCAACTATCGAACATTTCCACCCGAGGTCACAGTCGAGCCGTACTCACCGCAAGCATTCCCTTGCAAAGACCCCACAGCGAACTATATCTGTACAGTCCTGGTGTTCGGGACCGCGTGTCAATATACGAGGTCCATGCCTTGGACTTGGAGGAATCTTGTTGATGGAGAGTTCGAGGGAAGCAAGTTCTTCGTTTGATTGGCAGCCTGGGGGTCAAATGAGTATACCAATTATGTAAAGTCGAACATCTTAAATCAATGCTCTGTAAACTAATGTTGTACGCTCTAAACATCGATGCAGAATCTGTGGTCATGTCCTAGGAGAATGGCGTCGGACAATGAAAAAACCTGATCACATTGTTGAGGCTCGGTATATTGAACAAAAACATGGTGTTCCACTAGCTTATAGAGTAGGTCCATGTCATCTAGCATCTTTATCTTGGCTCATACGAGCATCGGGCTTGCATCCCAGCAACCCAAAGAATCCTTCAATCTTTCCTGCTACGGTATCTTGACTTATCGACTCAGAGGGTTCCGTGGGCAACTCTCGATCTACTGAATTCTTTCGAGACACAATCGCAAAAAGTCATCTTCAATCATCCCTAGGTTTAAATCCCTCCTTGGCTTACGGAGTAAAACCAGTTCAGTGACTCCGAATCTGTCTAACCTATTAACAACTCGGTTCCTTCATAGGGTAACCCCTCAACACGGGCTCCATTGTCAGGAGTGCTTTGTGACTTCTCAAGGATCCTTTGCCGATGAGCATCTCTTCGTTGGAGAAGATACGTCAAGAATGCGAAGAACACTGTTATGGAAAGTGACAGACATTAAGTTGAATTGAAAGAGTGAAAGACAAATGTCAGATCTCACTCATTCCGAAATTGATGCCAGCAGTGGCAATGTTTCCTTTGAGTACTCTATGCGCATTGAATGTACGAGTCAGTAGGCGGTCACATCGGATTTAGGATGTAAGTGCACTTACCGGGGTTGTTCTACCTGTGGAAATAGAACACTGAAATCGCCGATTGGCCAATGAACGAGACGGGTACTTTCTAGTGCTCACATTGGGAGCCAAGCCTGAAGAGATCATAGTTTACTCGTTAAGCATAAGTAAGAAGTAAGTATCATAATGTTCCTCACCTGCATAACATAAGCCCACATGTTACAAGATGCGACGACGAAAGATCGTTCTGAAAATATGAGAGATAGATCTTTCAGTATGTAGAGGAGAATGCAGAGCGCGAGAGAGAAATGAGTAGGAGAAAATCACAAAAGAGCTACTGCTTGATCAACGTTCAGTGAACTCACTTTCACTGTCTGCCCCTGTCAATTCATTAGCCCAAGCTAGTATAAGGCCTGACATTCCCGCGGGTACCGTTGTCTACGAGGATTCAAACGAAAGGAGGTGAGGGATTCACAGCCAATTCCTTCGAATTGCAAGTCAACATGCACGTACCATGTAGTATAATGCCCATCTTCTGGCAATGTGTGTATACAAAGGCGTTACTGCAAGCAGAATGCAGATTATCATACTCCATGTCTATATCATAAGATCAGATTAACATTGGAGAAAACCAGAGAGAACTAGAGAAATACTGACTCCAGACAAAATCATAGGAGGCCACCGCATACCGATTGCATCTGAGAACCAAGCCCAAGACAGTGCTACATTATGTTATTACATCAATTGATTGGTGTGGTCTGAAGAGGGGCAGGAGGTAGACTCAACTAGTTACGACCTGTACGACATTCTGCCCCAGAGGGTAGATGTTAATCTGTCCTACAGTGTAAACAGTCTTGGTTGGGGTATTGAAACTCTTCAACCAAAAGATCATCGAGGATGCCGGTCCCCCACCGTTGTTGAATAGTATATAAACTAAAGCAAGACAATGAGCCAAGCTATAGAACCTCCTGGACTCTTAAACCAGGTCTATAGCAGGACTTACGAGGGACGAGCGTGTAAATGTGCCACGTTGTAAAAAATCCCAGAATCTTTGCTTTCGTAAATTTCGATGGGGGTTTTCTGTTGATTTCCGCCATGCGTTTATTCGCAATCTCCAACTGTGCTTCGGTATAAAGCCATTTAGAAGGTCTGGTGTTGTTAGGAAGGTCCGGCATAATGAGGAATCCGAGTAAAGCGATAGGGATGGTGATTATGCCGTCGATGATAAATAGCCCTGTTAGGATAAACAGTATAATTTGAAGCTTTTATTCGGAAACATAATTGACTGACATTTCCAACCTGCAAGACCATGAACCTCGTTTAATCCGTTATATGCGGCCTATTGAATCGGTGTTAGTACAACGCCGCACACTGTGTAACGACTTATTATGAGCTCACTGTTTGCAGAAATCCGCTGAACATTGGTCCAATAGCACTGGCCACCTATAAGGGAAACCTCTATACTTTTGACTCCCGCTTCCACAAACAAGGTCTACACACATGAAAGATACAAGCACGTTTTCCTAGCTCGTCTGTCTTGTACCAGCTACCTATAACGTATTGCATGGCAGGGTAAAATGTCGATTCCGCTAGACCTGAGTTGAAAGGTTCGGAACGTGAAATCTCATTGACCGGAGAATACATTACCAACGAAGAAACGAATGACAACTAGGTGCGTAAAGTTCTTGGACGTGGATAACAACACTGTCAGCACACTCCATAAGACTTCCATGGCGGGTATCTGGAAATATACTGTTCATTGTAGTGGTCATGATGAGAAAGAGCGTCGAGCCTACCCATAAAGATGGCCTAATTCGGGTGATCAATAAGCTGTATATATATCAATGTTAAGTTCGGTTTATGTATTATTCCGTGTTGAACGAGTGCGCACTTGGAGGGGATTTGTCCAATAACGTATCCACAAGTCCAAGCGGTGGTGATGTAGTTTAAATCATTGCCAACCCTGAATTGCAAATGCGGATTTAGGAGATCAGAGTGATTATCTAGAGAACAGATGCAGGACTGTAAGCCAAATAAAACGCACAAATGGAGGCTGAAAAATAAATAAGTCAGTAGAGTACTAGATCATTGATATCTTGGCGGATTGACGCACTCTTCCTGCATTCCCGAGACGTAAGCATTCTTCGAATCCATGAATTAAGACATGTAGTTGGGCTGATAGATATATGTCAGCACTTACCGTGATATTTTGCTGGTCTAGATACGTATATATCATGCGGATGGGAAAGCAAAAATTCAATGGGACATGGAGAGAGGTAAGTAAGTATATAATTATGGAGAAATAAATCTCGACTTATTTGCTGAGATAGGACAGGAAGGCGTAGGTCAAGAGACATGAGTCGAGCTTGGTCAGGAACCTCCGCTCTTCAGGTGATTTGTCCCATGTATCCCTGTATGGAGTAAATCAGCCTGTAACTTGGGATAGTAAAAACAACGACTTATACCAGATATAACTGCCCCACGAACGTTTATACTTAGCTTCCGCAGAGTAAGTCGAATTGATAGAGCTCTGATCCTGATTCTTTAATGAAGACATCTCGAGTTGAACTCTCGACTTCGATGCCCCCAGTTGAAAGCAGTGGCTTACTGGCGCAAAAGTCAAGCGACCAGAAATTTGCGGAGCACTAGTATGGGTTATTTATAAACAAGGGCTAAAGATTGGCCAAGACGCAAGATGACCGTCTTGCGCCTTTTAGATGCAATTTGAAGCAATCCGTACCGCAGAAAAAATCATATAGACAATACTTATGGGGAAGTTCCGAGCCACAGGCCAACAAGCACGCACATATATATCGAGCCAAGGTAATTAAGCCAGAATAACTCAGCATAACGTTGATTATTGGGCCCAGAGAGTTTCGGTACCGTATCATCCAGCAATAGGCTTGTGCATTCTCAAAGGAAACGGCCACTGGTATCCCTAGGTGGGAGTTGGGCCTTCTAAATAGTCACGAAGTAAATAAATACCCGGGGCAAAGAAGGACGTTCGACAAACAGGGGAATCTGTACGGAATGTCATAAGAGTCCAGTTGAGAATTACTATCATGAGAAAGAGTGGTACAGGGATATCCATTTGATTCAATCTAGTCTGATGGCATCGAAGTCGTAAGATATCGTTTGATAGCGCCACAATGTTGCATGATGATGTTACTGCCCTAGAGATAAAACCAGGATGAGAAGCGCGTAATCCAAGATTCAGGATACCACAACCTACCACAACATTGCCATGCATCAAACTTCAGCGCTTCAGCGCCAAATTAACTCCCATTTGCGGCGCTAGTAGCGTGTGCGCTTCCTTCTTCCTTCTTGGCCAGCACAATACTCTGGTCCAAGATATGCGCTCAATTGATTGGAATGTATCTTTACCATTGGAGAACAATATCAGCTTAACATTTGTCGCTGCCAGCGAGGAGCGAGGACTCTCTTGGCGTTGAACTGAAGGGACTCAGTCGGACTATTAACAGTATGTATATCATATGAAAACAATCAAAGAAATGCACAACGTCGACTTTGCATGTCACGTCCTGAAAGAAGTAATCGCATCGCACTGCGCCGCCGTTGGCATTATCACATTTGGTGAAGGTGTCTTGGTGTAGATGTAGATACTTCTACAGTCACCCTGCCTCAGGGATCTTGTCTTAGAGGGTCAAGAGATAATGGAGGCTGCCTTGGGGAGTAACCGGGAAGCTTTGAGAAAGAAAGAACTTGTCTGACCTGCAGAAATATGTCGAGCCATTTCGAATTCTTACTGGGCTCAACGTCTTCTAAGTTCTCTAACATGAATGGTAATCAACAAATTCGTCGCCCTCCTCGTGCTTGACTATGTTGCCAATGTTCAGCTCAATACACGGACAAGAAGATTCAGGAATATGTAGGGCCTACCTTACGAAAATAGTAGCGTTCGCCGATCTTGCGAAAGGATGAGCCCGCCTCGGGGTATCAGAGCGGATTCTTTACATGGTCACACGAAGACGCCCGCTCTTCGAATCTATTCAGGCACTGTTCATATCGGCTTTTCTATGACCATGTAGACTACAATTGTGTTGGTTGTGCTAATGGAATAACATTACATCCTTGTACTCGTCCTGCTTCCTAACGGTACACCCTCTCTTCTTGTTGTCACCGATCCGAATCCCCCAAAGCCAATGCCCTGTATATGATACTGTTCCCCAACAATCTCCTTTGCAGCAACCATAAGCCTATCCAGTCGACTCACAATCCCGAATGCTGTGGAAACACCAACGCAAAACATCCTAATGTGGGGTCGTCAATGATAGCTGAGGGAAAATATATTTCCTTACAAGTACTGCTCATTCTCCAACGTTTCCCTCGTCAACGTTCTCGGAAGGCCATAATCTTCCTCTGCTTCTTTATGAATTACATTCAGCCCATGATATTTGAGCATGAATCTGTCGACGAGCGGGCATGGTGTGATTTGAGGGAGTGGTGAGCCTGTACGAAGTGATGTGGATATCATACCTAACGAGGGATCGCGAGGTTATGATTAGCATACATACGGTCGAAACCAGGCATAAGAGGACTGAACTCACTAATAACTGCCAAGACGTCTCCTTGAAAATTCGGGTCTGTAAACCTTGTTCGACTGAGCAGGGCGCGGGTCCATGCTGGTTCGAGATGTTCAATGACGGAAAGGAGGTGAGAGAGGGAGTACGAAATTTGCCTGTAGTGACACATAAGCAACTCGTGGAATCTCCAACACTATCACGGAACGTACATACATCTGCAAATCAAACAGTGTATGATATCGCTCCTCGGGCCATTTTCCTCTCAAGGAAATCTAGAAAACAGATTAACTAAGTGAACAAAGAAACTTGAACGCGACTTACCTCGTATTTGACATTCACCTTCCCAGTTTTCAATCTCCCCAACTTACTCCGAATTGCTATTAACCTCGCCACGATTGCGTGAGTCTCTTCGCTGTGCCCAAGCGTCTGTTTGCCGAGGTCACCATTGTTGGTGTCGTTTGTGTTGCCGCCTCCTTGGCCCAAGCTACTCGAATACGGTAATGACAGGACAGCGCAGTAAATAACACCAAGTTCTGCACATGTTGTGGCGAGGGCGGTGCGTTGGTATCTTCTAAGGGTGAATGCGGGAGGGAAAAAGGAAAATATGCTGTGGGTAGGGTTGAGGACAAAATGGTCAATTGGAGGGTCAATAAAACACTGACAACGCTGCAAAGACACCGCATGCAACTAGCAAGAATCGGCGCTAGAGAGTCATCGATATCAACCTCGATATGCTAAGAATACCAAAACCTACTCACCCAGGCCACACTCCATCCTACTCCCGGACTCGACGGCAATGCTTGGAATTGATCTTGATACGAGTATCCGATAACCTATGTAGATTAAACCAAGACCAATTAAGTTTGAATTCGGTGGGTCATTGAACAACACTCACCAAAACCGTTGTCACAAAGAAAATCAAGATCCTCATCGGAGGGCCCGGTATGTACAGTCTGATGTAAAAGAAAAACGGAAAACACACTGCGAAAATGGCTCCAAGTGCGTACGGAGACGCTTGATGCCCCTTTGTCGGCGCACATATATACCTAGGGGTCAAAGACACAAAAGTGGAGCAGGTACAGCTGAGAAAAGGCCATGATCGATGAAATCACGTACTCACCACATACATAGACCCACACCGCCGCCGAGGAAGGTACTAAAGATTCGCGTGAGGAACCCAAACGTAGTGTCCCCGCGAAATCGTGCAGATGTCAGTTGTGCCATGACACTATTGATATTAGATCAGACGGGAAGGACAACGACAGTCATGATCAGCAAAACAACACACATTCCCCACAGGAATCGATTGTCTAGAACAACATTGAGAGACAATCAGTCGATATTCAATATCTAAGAAATGAGCGAACTATACTCACCGTAAGCAAATTGCGCTGATCCAGGAATGAAGAACGGAATACACATGAGCGCTAATTTCAACGTTTTTCAGTAAAGTCAATGAGTGAATCAAGTAGGCCAACGCTTACTCGTCAGGACTCCCGCTTTCACAGCATACAAAGCGTTCCCAGTCGTCAGGCCCACTATGCGCTTGTATATCCATCTACCCATGAGTTCCCCTACGTTACTCGGAGGAAGCGCATCTGGGTCTCTTCGTTTGGGGTACGGTAATCCCATACCATACATATTATCTTCTTCATCGCCTACAACGCCATTCCCAACCCTCGTTTCGTCTGAGAGTTCGTCCAATTCAACATCTCTCCTCCTGTCACGATCGACATGCTGCACCCGATCCGGATCCTCCTCTTCCCCTTCTTCTCCTTCGGCACCAGAGCTCGCACTGCGACCGACGTTATCGTTATCCGTCCAGACACTCTTGATCCACTCCAAGAACACAGTAACACTTGCGAGATTATGGAATTTTGGTGTCCAAACACGCCGATGACGACGTTCAGGCCGGGTTTCCAAGCGAATTACGTGATCGAGGAGTTCTCCAAGCATATCGGCAAACCTCATGAGGTGGTATTGGTACACATAGCAGTTGAACAAGTATCGATGGGACGGCAGCTGATTGTACTCGTAATTCCAATGGTTCGAGTCTTCCGCACTAATAGGACTGTCCACTGGGTCAAGAGCATCTGTGTACGGTTTGACGACATTCATCCTAGCGACTGTCCTGAACCGAATCAATTCCTCCTCGAGTTTTTCACGAACAATCCGGATTTCGGACACACGTTTCTCCCATTCAAGCTGTTTCGCATTTTCTCGACGCTCGATTTGGGCAGCCGTGCTGAGTAGAGCGGAGGAGAGAATTCCCTTGGCTAACCTCCAGGACGTCCCGTCTCTCGCTGCAGCACCAGCAAACCATGATTGAAGACATGCAGTGGCGGATTGGCATTGCTCGAGAAGTGGAGTGCAAGACTCTTGCAGGAGATTGTGCGTTTGTGTTGTATGGGATTCCGTCCTGGGGTCATGCCATACATGAGCCTCTAGATCGAGATATCTCTGGCTCTCAAAAACACCGACTAGCAAGATATCAATAAGCGAGTAAATTTTGTCAGAAAGGCAAAATTACATACCAGGAGCATGTGAAGTATGCCGATTTCCATATGACGACGAAGCTCGATGGTGGAAACGGTTACTGTTATGTAAATGCGCCCGGTGAAGGAGATTACTGAGATGATGATGGTGTGGTGGCTCGCTATGTCTTTCAACGGGTGTACTAGGGCTTGTTCCTGCAGGTGTCCCGGGTCTTGTCGTCGCAGGAGTGATGGGAAACCGTTCGCGAGTAGGATCGATAAGCGTAAAGTAGATCGACATCCCGTTCGCGCGGACAGCGACACGTCTTGCAAGATCCTGCAGCGGTCGCCAGTCTCTCGGGCTGTACCGGGAGTAAACCACCTCGGACGGCAGCAATCGTGCGGCTTGCGCTAGGGGACCTAGTGCTGCTTCACTCTGAGCTACGACCCCTGCAAGAGAATCAATATGCCCTTTGAACTCTTCTACACAATCGCCACCTGGCGTTGTTCGTAGCAATGTCAGATGAATTGTTGTAGCTTTTTGTAATGGTGTGAATACCGCAGCGACTCGCTTGGTGAAATTGTTTGACAGCGATTCCGGAAAGAGGATGATAGAAGCCAAGATGGATATGATTGAGTGGAACACTAAAGGGATGAATATAGCTCGACCGAGGACGTAGTACGGGTAAGGAACCAGGACAGCCGTAGTCAGGTTGGTTATTAGGCAGATGCATGAGAAGAGGGTAGCAAAAAGATAGGGACCGGGTCCCTGATGGACACGAATGTAGAGCAATATAGCGGTTCCGATGAAGATAAAGATAGCCAGGATCGCACTAGGAGCGGTTTCGACGTATTGACCATTCGAAAAGAGTGCGATCTGAATGGGTACAGAGGTATCCAGATTGGTCCGGGCAAGATTAGCCAGAAACATGCCTAAACACGCGAATGCCCAGGTAGCAGCAACGAACAGAGAAATGAGGACCTCACGCTCTAATACTGCCAGGAACGGGTCGATTGGCGGTGAAAGAAAGGCGGCGATAAGCAGGAGGAAACTAGCCTATAAGAATGGTATAAATTTGCAGTTAAACCTCGACAGAGAAGAATGAAACTAGCCTAAAGACGATTGTCCGAGACGCACCTGGCCAATCCAAACTTGCACAGCCGGAATCACAAAAAGCACAGAAGAGATCCAGGCGGCTACTGCGCATCGGAGAGCGAGTCGAATCTTCTGCCATGACCAATTGGCTGGTACCCAGGCAAGGGACGAAGGCCATTGCCATTTGAGTTGTATCATCCGGGTTTTCCGAGGAATTTCGTGCTTTCCCGAAGTTGAGGATGTCAAAGTGCTGTTATCAATTACATTCTGATTCTCCGATTTCGAAAAATGAGTGTGGATTGCTGGAGGTCGAGGACCACGCAGTTGTTTTTCTGATTCTGGCATTTTTGGGTGAAGATTGTCAGTTGATTGGAAGGGAATGATCTATGACTCGTGTCAGCCTTTAGATATTCATCTTTAAGGCAAGCACGCACCGCAAGATTCTTGACACCCTCTGAGATGAAACCTTGGTCGTAGAGACAAACAGTCAGCACGAATCACTTGTTCAATCTCAGTATCTATTGGCTATCAGTAAAGTCCAAGTATCCATCTAGGCAACAATGTAGTATTTACCTTGAAAACCACAGCAGTAAATGAGAAATCGGGTGAATGATTCATATCAAGTTTTATAAACACAACATACATATGACGTACAAAAATTCTCAGAAACGGCGAACAACGGTGGTTGTGCTGATTCCGCCACAATTAATACATATATTCATACCCGTAAAAAAAATACGTCTATTTCATATTTATTTAGAAAACCAATAGTGCTGCCACTGACCCACATCAGTCGAGGGAGGCCCCCAGAACCCCGCCCGGCCTGACGCCCTACGCTATTTCGGGTGAGGTTTTGCAGGAGATTCTAGTCGTTGAGGGCCTGTAAAGAGCTTGGTGAAAAATAGTCCACGTCCATTTCAGTAGGGCTTTCGACAATGGCATGATGCACAGGACTATTGACAGCTGTGACAGGCCTCATAATCTTCTTGCCACAACTCGAAGCAATCCCCAATTCTCCCTCTTTGGAAGCAATCCAATACCTAGCGTCCTCCTCCTCCTTCTCCGACAAGCCTACTTCCGTCCCCTTTGCCTGTGAAGCCTTCGTTAGGTATTCCAGCGCTTCCATCATCCAGGTGCATCCATGGCTCCCTTGGGTTACCCTCTCCAAGTCCGTGAGAGTGGCCCGATCTTTGGCATCGATTTGTTTTGAATTCTGAGGAAGTCGAATGTCGACAGAAATGCCCAAGTCTTTTATTTTATGGGTCATGGAACGCGGAGGGACTTTGTAGAAAACTTTATCCCCTTCCTTTATGAAGGAATGACGGCCTTTGAAGACAAGTGCGTATAGTGCTGCAGAAGATGATGACTGAGAGGACAATTTGGAAAAAAGGTTGTCCGATTTGGGGATAATAACGAAGCCAGCAGATGAACGATCTGGGGGAACTCATGATTAGCCTCGGGAAGTTGCCAGATACAAGATTATAAGACACTTTCCACGTCGTTCGAGCCCACTGATGGCATTGTCATCACCAGAATCGTGAGCTTCAGAGGTAGAAGTGATCATTCGAGTCGATGGGTATCCCGACCGCGGAGAGAACCTCCCAAAATCCACAGGCAAAGCAAGCACCTCGAGACAGCCAACGAGGACAATGCATGCGATGAAGAGTTTGCGGAATGACATGTTCATACGAAGAAGGTGAACGCTGCAAGACGGTAATGCACGGGAAGAGAAAAATTTCGAGAGTTGAGGGAATGGATCCAGAAGTTCAATAGAGCGGAATTCTCGCGTTCAGAAAGCGTCGGAGGTGGTAGAGTGAAATTTTTGTGGTAGCAAACTGCTGTCGATGACTCGTTGTCAGCTATGATTAATTCAACGCGACGATTCCGGGTTGTTCACTCACCAGCGTGTTGAAATTATGAAGAATAACCTGGGGAAATTTTCGACCAGCGAATTTGACCAAGCACGAATTGTGATCTACTGAGGACACAACATGGAGAATCATAAATAAGACCTCAAAAAGGACAGACAGAGACAACATGACTTACCGAACCAGCGTTGACGTTTGGTGTTGGAGGGAATTTGGAAAACAGCAGCGGGGATAGCCTTATATGATATTCTATAAAGTCAACAATTAAAAATGTATCCAAACAATAATCCAATGTTGTGTTGTTCGCCGACGGAAGGAAGAAAGTGTTATGTACTGTGATTGTGGGGTACCGGTCCTGGCGCTTGCCGGGGTAAACAGGGGTTCGCACAGTTGCAGCAGACTCTAGCAGACTCTGCAGTTTTTAACAGGGATAAAACAGGAAAGGACTAAGCACAGGGAGATGTACATACAAGGCAGGAGACTTGTGAAGAATTTCAGACTCAGAGGGGCCTGAGGTCCAATAGTAGTGTCATAAGATGGTAATCAATGATCATGATGATAATCTGCTCCTGATCTGCTCTTTTGATGGTGACGCCTGCTAGTGCCACTCTTCGACCCTCAAGGATGGGGTTTTATTCAGGTAATGTTTCCACAATCCGGTCTTCCTTCGCTTGAAACAGGTCATAATTATGGTGCCAAGTCATTCAGTACTGCAAATGACATTCCCCCAGTGCATGCTGAGGAGTGCTGAAGGCGTAAATTGTGACATACATAAACCTTTGAAGCTAATTCCTACTACAATTCGAAGATATTCCTAACATCCTCTCTTTGGACATAATTAAATTTATAGCATTCTCCGCCTCCGCCTCCGATAAGCCTACTTCCGATCCCTTTGTTTGTGCTACCTGCGTTAGGAAATCCACCGCTTTGATGAGCCAGGTGCAACCATCGGCCCCTCGGGTCACTCTCTCCAGTATATCTGCAATTTCTCCCGGATTTTCAGGAATCATAATATGCAACTTAATACCCGAGTTGGTTATTTGATGGATAGCGGCACGCGGAAGGCTTTTGTAGAAAACTTTGTCCCCTTCCTTTATAAAGGAAACACGGCCTTTGAGGATAAGTACGTAGAGTGCTTCCTGAGAAGTCTGTGGCGAGGACAATTTGGCAAACCATGCGTCCGATTTTGGTATAATGACGAAACTAACAGATATAGACTCAAGCTCTGAGTGAACGCAGTTTGATATCAGTTAGCCCTAAGAAACTCTCTGATAACACGGTTATGATATGCTTACCATCGACACGTCGTTCAAGTCCACTGACATCAGACGTAGGGGTAACTAGTGGAGTTGTCGAGGGTCCCGACCGCAGAGAGTATTTGGCTATATCCACAGGCGAAGCAAGAACTCCGAGACAGCTTGCGAGGATGATGCCTGCGATGAACATTTTGCGGAAAAACATGATGAAAGGTGTGTGTATAGGAAGAAGAGTTGCTGAGAAGAGGGCTTAGAACCCGAAAGAAATTGTCCAAAGCTGAGAAGAGCGTGCCGGTTTGGAACAGAAGTCGAATGGGGGACTCGGAGGGGTTTTGAAGGTGAACAGAATGAAATCGTGTGCTATCAATGAATCATTGTGAGCGATGGTTTTTAACCCTCCAAACTTGAATGCGACCGTGACGGTCCGTTCACTCACCAACGCGTTGAATAACTTGGAAAATTTTCGACCAGCGAATTTGACTAAGTACTTTTAATACTCTAAAGACATTAAATGAAGAACCACGAACAGTGATTAGCCCAGACGTCGAAAAGGACAGAAAGAAGAATGGAAAAAGGTTCAAATATATCCAAATCACATCGAGTATCCGCGGAGTAGTCAGTGGCTGCTACTTTTGAAGACCAAAATAGATAGACAGGGATATATACAAACACGACTCACTAAACGTTAATTAGCGTTGAAGTTTGAAGGGAGAATGGAGGCACCCAATATTTACAGCCTATTTGTGCGATTAGCCCAATCAGATCAGCCAAACGAAACGATTCTTGCTTCCATGTGGACGCGCTATATCTTGTATCAAACTTGTAAGTAGGGCCAACAAAGAAGTGGAGGTTACATATTTGTCGGCATTGATCGTCGTGAGCTGTTTTTTCCTCCGGAGATACAACCATCTGATTGAAGCAGATTGGCGAAAAAAACTCGTCGTCATCCTTCAGTTTTCGGAATTGTTGCAGGTTGCGGCTATGTAGTTAGTGCGTACTAGTTGTGCGTACTAGTTGTGCGAACTCCGGCCGTCGCGGGGATAAATCGATGAAGAAAAGCAGGATGGCATACTTATGGGCGACGACCGGCAGCAGTCAGCCTCAGCAGGAAGAACCATATGGGAAGGTTATTGAGTCTACAATAGGCACGATAGTAAGATGACAAGTCGGTTGGCATAGGGGTCTTGCGATAATGGTCTGATAATAATTGAGAGGATGAGAGTGCTGCTAATAATGACAATTCATTGTCGAATTATGATTAGGCGTCGTTGGACAATGCATTCACGCGTCACCCGGTGGTGGAAAAAAGAAGTGGGGCACTGGGGGCACCAATGGCTCGACTTGAGTCTTGAACGTGTTCCATCAGGTTTCGTCCCTTGATGCCCGCTTCTAGATATAAGTAATATAAGTAGAGATGCGAATTCCTGTCATTTTCCTCACAGAGCTGGTCTCTCCACAACTTATACTCTTACGCAAAAAACCCACTGCTTATCGTCCAGTTCTCGAGTATTATCCATGGTTTACTCTCAATCCATCCTTACAGCTGTTATCGCTATTGGAGCCGCTTCTTATGGCTCCGCTTTTCCTGTGCCAACTACTTCTGCTACGCACCAGAATGGCATGCCCATCGACCTCTCTCACATTGGAGATGTGACAGTTCTCGATACCTCTCTTTCAGGTAGCCACGCAAAGGCTCGGCGAACTGTCGAGGTGGTCCGAGAAAATTTCAATGCTCGAGATTTCGACGTCATTGTTAAAGACAATGCTGAAGGGGACTGGGTTAGTGTAAATTTCGTTCTTCCCAACTACTGCTTCACTGAACCTTGCTTACAGCGTCATCATGTACCTACTAGTAACGAGGAAGAATCTGAGGAAAAAGAAGAATCTCCTCACAACGTCGAAATTCTTCCGGTTTCGGTCCATATTCCCTCCATTGCCGGTATGACCCAGGTCCGTATCATTCTATTGGACCATTCAACATGAATATGACAACAGCAATATGCCAGAATCTTCAGGATCCGACCCCCCATTGCAGCGCACCCCCCGCCGAATACAGTCTCCCTTCTCAATATCCTCACAACCTCATCCGTGGTGTAAAAGCTATCGAATACACTTCGAAAGAGATATCTGTGGACTTTGATGAGGCGCTATATGCTTTCAAAGTACTCGAATGCAATTGGACGAAGTTTTTGGATGACACAGACCCAGGAAGGGAGATCAAGAGGGGGAACCAAGTAATTCAAAACACATGGCGTCGTTACCTAGAAGATTTGTGTAGCACTCAACAGAAGCTCACAATCAAGCACCATCCTCGCGCTGTTCCCTGAAATGAGTTTCGGACTAAATTACTCTGTAGGTTTTCCTTCGTTTTCATGTCTCCGAGTGCTACTAACTTGCGTTCCCGTTTCGTTAGCACTAGTACAAATACATTGCCTCTTGCGTATACTCATGCTTTTGATGATAGTACTGTCGTCTCTGCAGGCGATTGTTAAGGGATCGGAAGGTCCTTTACTGTGTGTTTGCTCTGAAAGCTTAAAGCTCAAGCGCTCAAGCGTTCTGAAAGAGTATTCCTCGCGGAGCTCAGAATTCAGATTTTACACCTACGAAACTCAACTATACAATTCTTCGCGAGAAGTTTATAATAATCAGTCAACAATCCCTTCGTGCAATCGCCTTTGAGCACATCGAACCCACTGTGCAACCGTTTCCGCCCGTTCCGATCATAATTAACCTCTGTGAAATCATGTAGAATAAATTTGGTCCCGATAATGCGACAAGCATAGTTGACCGGTGCTGCTTGATTTGACACGAGCTATTGATGGGCCCAGAGTATGAGGATGCATGAAGTCAAGAATAAAGTTAACTATAAAGTATGCTACTTTGTAGAATATACAGAAATATATACGAGAAATTTCATCCAACCCTCCCCCTTCCGTCCTTCCGTGTACGCTACTACTATTCCACTATATCAGATATATCCATCCTGCCAATATTCACGTCGAACAACAACCCCCACCCGAACCTTCCGTTTCACCGGTTCCTCTCATTCCTCGCATCGAACTCACCGAGCCTACGACGCCATTGAGACTGCTCAGAGTAATGGTCATACCCCCACTCCACGATCTTCCCCCCAACCCGCCTCCGTTCGAGGCTCCTCTTAACCCATTCGACCTATTCAGCATAATCCCGCTGCCATGTCCGATTCCATCTGAAGGTTGTCTTTGATGTTCTCTGCGTTTCAGTCTGTTCGACGGCTGCAATCTTCTTTCAGCCTCACGATAACCATCAAAGTCCCCGGATTCCTCCCTGTGTCTTTCCTCCTCCCTTTCCTCCCAAGCCCATCTCCTCACTACACGTTTGGCAACATACTCAAACACATCATTGACTCCTTCGCCAGTCTTAGCGGAGACGAAAAATAGGCGAGGACCGGTGTCTGGTTTGAGGTTTGGGGATACGTCTGGGATTTTCGTGGTTTCTGTATTTTCGGTATCCGGTGCTGGACCGATCTCCGAACGAAGGTGCGAATGATCAAGCGTACGAAGATGAGGTTGGTAATCCCGAGTGTGGGAAGAAGAGGCCGGGAAGGCATTTAAGCCTTTCAAGGGAGAAATAGAGCGCCTACTCTGAGGGAAGTGTTTGACGTTACCGCGATCAATATGATGATCGTTATGCGAATGCATATGAGAATGATTAGAATGTGAAGGTGACTTGAGCGGAGGTGCCAGTGAGGAAGTGTGTGGATACGGGCGCCAAGAGAGAGTGGAGGAAGAAGGTCGTTGAAGAGGATAAGAACGAGAGGAAGAGCGGGAAGGGGAAGAAGAATTTGGAGAGGGATTCGAGATTGGAGTGTGTGTTGAATAAGCCGAAAAGAAAGAATCAGCGGCAGATGCAGAGGAGGCTACGGAGTGAATCGAGTCGTATCGTTGTCGAACGTCGCCATTCGTCTCGTTTGACTCGTGAGCGTCTTCCCTGTGATCCCAAAGAGACGAAACATCGTCAATCTGTGTATATCTCGAATCCTGACCCGACTGAGTCGAGTCGAATTTATCCCAGTTACTAGGTGTAAGGGTAACTGCGCTCGAATTTCCTTCACGCATACTGCCCAAGCTTCTTGTGCTGTCCAGACTCCCTATGATTAAATGCGGAAGAGGTCTGGGAGGATAAGACCCTGGATGTGATAAATCTGGCGAGCTCCTTGTTGTATCGTAGTGGTGGTATACAGACGAAGAAGGTGTGTGGTAGATGGATAGACCAGAGATAGAGCTGGAGGCATACAGCGAACGAGTCGAGCTTGGGTCGGTGGATCTTGAACGAGATTGTGACCGGCTTTGCGAAGTAGAAGAAGATGCGAGGAATAGGGGCTGATAAGCCGGTTTTGCGTTCACTCTAGTCGGTGTGGCAGTCATTTGGCTCGCTGATAAAGGATCCTCCTCTTCTTCATCGTCGTCGTCGTCGCGATATAACTCTGGTGGGATGAGTGTGTCCATAAACATCCCAGCTTGCTCATACGACACCCTAGAGACCTTGGTCTTTTCACCCAGATCGACCTTATTTCCAACTACCACGCAGCAAAAACTCCCCAACTCGTCGTCCTCCAATGGCGCGTGAACTTTAAACTCTTCCCACCACTTCACCAAAGCCCGGAGCGTCTCGGGCGCATTGACGTCGAATACCAGCACTGCGGCGTCTGCACCACGAAAAAAGGCAGAAGAAAGCGAGGAGAAACGTTCTTGGCCCGCGGTATCCTGTGGATTAATGGACCTATACATCAGTTATACACATATACCAAAGAATGTAAAGACGGGGGATGGACGCACATACCCAAATTTGCAGCGTAACCCTCTCCGTCTCTTCTGAACCTTCGCGTTCATCGACTTGGACGACCTTAGTAATGAAATCCGCGCCAATTGTTGCTCGGTATCCGGTCGAAAACCTTTGAGAGATATATTGTCCTCGTATACTGGTTTTACCCACTCCAGCAGCGCCGATGACAACGAGTTTTATGGTACGTTGCGGGATCGCCATTCCCAAGAATCCTAAGAGAAAGTAGATCTAATAGCGTGCTGTGCCTGTCTATATCTGGTCCTCCGAAGGTTCTGCTTGCCAGGGGTTCTTTTCCTCCGGAAATTTGTTTGGGGCGCTTTAACGAAGCATATACATATAGAAACAAAAGAGCGGAATATATCCTGAAGCCTGAGTAGCGGTGTTCAATGAGTTGCAGTTGGTGGTTCAAGAAAGAGCTGACTGATCTAGAGCGGGCCGCTAAACCGCAAATTCTGGTCTCCTTATAATTCTCATTCACCGATGGATTCAGCTACAACTTCAAGCTTCAATAAATTGCGAGTAGCTCCCTGTATAAATTCCTTCAATCCCCAGGCCTCTGGCTTCAACAGGAACGTCGATTGAGATACCATCTGCTACGCGCTTCTCCCAACCACTAACGTCAGTCTGCACTGTGTTCTCCTTTGGAGATATATCGTACTGCTCTCGCGCCGCCTGTTCCCTTCTATCGTCTGTCATTATACAATCCTCTCAAATTTGGAATTATATTCAAAGGATTCAACAGTGGCTATCCGACAACAAGAAGAGGCGAATAAAAATTTTAGTCAAAATTGAGGTGGAGAGCGTCGATCGAGAGAAAGGAAACTTTTGCAAGATCGGATAGTCGAAATCTGGTATGTAAGTACTCCATTTTCACCCTTCAAGTTCAACATCTCGAATATGAGGTTGGCTTGGAAATTCACAACTGAACAACAAAATATCGAGAGACACAATATTGACGAAGTTCATTCTGCATACATACGGACCATGGGATTGCCATACAGTGCACCGAAAGGAAGCGGTCCGGAAGAGCGCCTCTCCATCAACTCAGAGTCGGTATACACTATCTTCGTATCTGTGCCAGGAGTGACCTGGGGTGATTGGCTATGGATGGATGGCCCTTCGTAACGGTTCGTCGCGGCGAGAAAACGATCGTAAGGACTAGTAATCACCCGACGGTACTGGTCATCATATCTGTTCATCACACAACCTCACACAACGCGCCCGGGCTGTTTTATCGTTTGATTGGGCCCCCGACGGGCTTGATTTTTAGCGATGGCTGTGTGTGGTTGTGTGGGATAGAACGATTCTCACAAACGCTCCTTTCCTTTCCAGTGAACGTTGAACACTCAGTGAAATATTAAGCTCTTTTAGATTGTGAAACACTGGTCGAGCGTTTGGTAAGTCGTCACTTCTTCATCTTTCATACTCCAGAAACGGATACCCAGCTTTCCGACTCTGGCGCTCTCGCTTTCGTTGTCATTCCTTCTATCCCTTTATACCACACCTACGTCCGAACAGCGCTGAATCACGCATCGCTATTATTATTATAGCCAAACGCATACGCATTTGAAAAGTAGTCCTTGACTTGGTCGAATTCGCTGGTCGAATTCTATCAGTGCCGGGTATGTTGTTACTCTTGCTCCAAAATCATTATTGACAATTTATAAAGTACGACCTATTCCAGCAAGATTCCTCGAGTATCAAATTTTTATCTTACTTTCCCTCCTATACGACCTGGGCCTGAACACGCAATCCATCTTTCGGTGTCTCTTTCTCAAACTTTGGTACCTCTTGCGTTCAGTTTCTACGCATATTGACATCCCCTCCTCACTTTCCAAACGTTTTTGTTCTCCCAAATCATGCATTGCACCACGTCGTTTCGAAGACTACTCACTTTGAACCTTCTCCTCCTCCTCACCTATCTCGTAGGAGTAATCGCTTCCCCTTTACAAGTTGCCAGAGAGATTTCCTCCCCTCGTAAGTCAATGTCCGAAAGGTATATCCTTCATCGTTGACTGATTTCTACCCGTTGATCATGTAGAATACCTCATCATTGAGAATGCTGGCCTTGTTATCTCTCCTAAACCTGGATCCCAACTTGGCTACATACTTACTCTAAAGTTGACAAACGGCACAGTACTGGCTTACACAAGGGACTCAAACCGTAAAGTCGTTCCATGTCCAATACCCGAACGACGTGGAGAAATAAACTTGCGATTCGGCCTTACAACACCTCTTGCAAAGAATCTCGATACCCTACCCGGAGGAGCTTCAGATCAGACTGGGTACGACTGGATTGTGGCAGTATTGAACTATCTGAAGAAGTGTTCGGATTCAGGGGTGGGTCTGACCTCTGGCACCATAAATTGGATGAAAGAGACCATTAAAGCCAAAGTGAACGATGTGATCGCGGATATCAAGGAATCCCAAAAAGCCGAGGTGGACAAGTTGGCACCAGCGGTTCAGCATGTACAGGATGCGACAGCAGGTTTTGGGAAGGAGTAGGAAGGAGTGATTGTTTTGGATAGTACGAAGATATGGCAAAAGTACCAGACGTTACATTATCACGAAAATAAATAAAAATCTCTGTTTCATTCCTCGAGCTTTTCGCTAGTTTTTTAGTTATCCTGTGCTCGTTAAGAGATTCTTTTCAGAATTTATGGAAGGGGCTTCCTCCCATGATTGCCAGCGCTTATCTATTTGTGTTACGTCTTTTTGATTCAATTGTCGTGTACTTTCCCGGTACTTTCCACTGGTTCACTTCGTATCCTTCCTATTACATATGCTGCGATCTGACATATTTGTGTTTGTGCTATGTATTCTTTTTTATCCTCAATGTATTCTGTGTGTTATTCCAGTTTGTTCCATTCCTCATGGGTATCGGTACCATCAAGGGCTGTTACTTTAACACAACACATTCCAATATTAGCAAATGTTAGCCCGCAGCATCAAGTACAAGCAAGGTGTGTCCCCAAGAGGGACCAATATTACTGTAATGTTCTTTTTCCCCCAAATTCTTGAGCGCTTTTGTCGGCGTCTACATATCTCACAAATCTTCACCCGTTCTCCGTAGGATCATGCTTAGGATCTCGAACAGCATCCCCATCTTTGCGACGGAAGTGCTCATACTTACTGTCGGCGAGGGTTCAGCCAGTTACCAGGCCTTTTATGTCGAAAGAAGGGAGAAAAAGACCTGAAGAACAACAAAGATACCTCAGACACAACGCTCCTGCGTCGTTCGAACAACAGTCAAAGCCTTCAACTCTGTTTTTTCAGAATTTCGGAGTTGTGTCGATCGATATCACAATGGCTATGTACCCGGTAAAGGGTGGTGAAGGCCACGAGACAGCTGCGATTGTTCCGACTGCTTTTTCGATTTCATACGCGACACAACGGACCCAACGTGTAGACCAGCACACGGTGGTAACATGTGTATGTACCTATCCAGAATTGAGGATTGACTTGAATATTTTACAGGTGTCGCTTTGTGTTCATCTAATAGTAAAGTCGTTTGTACGAATTGGGACTTTTGCGGCATAAAGAAAAAGGCGTAATACACGGGTTGAAAGTTAAATGGTCTAGATGCGACCATGTAAGCTACAACAGGCTGCAACATGCATTGTATTTTGTCTCCGCAGTTGGCTTTTGACATTTGAAAATGAAGGCACCATTCACTTGTACGCAGTTTTTTTTGTCCTTTTCGAGGTCAAGATCGTAGTTCCGCGATCGGACTCTACGTTTTATAGGCGCTGCAAGACCGGACCCTGGAATTCATGCCCATATAAAAAGGACCTGTGGCTTTTCAAACTGCCCATTACACACTCCCTCATACACTCCCTCGCTCCTTTCTGGCCAGTTCATCGTCCTGCGCTAGCGCTTGACTGCCTTCCCATATCGATTATCGACATCGAATATCCAGTCATTACCTCTAAGTCGACATTGACGCTCCGACTATCATCTTTGACCAATACCAACGCACACACCAACACAATAATGTCTTCCTTCACATTCGTCACTAGAATCGCCCTTCTCATCCAGGCTGTCCTCCTGATCATCTCAATTGCCTCTCCAGTCCATGCTGTTGTGGTACCAGTTCATCATGTTCTTCGCCGAGACAATGGTCCACACCATGGCAATTTCAAAGGAAGTTTCAATGCTGGACATGGCAATGGGGCCTCTTCCTCGGCGACTGATGACACCTCCTCAGCAACCGCTGACTCTGCGACTACCGCGACTGAAGTAGCTGCTACTTCCACGGATACTGCTGCTACTACAGCCTCCACAACCTCTTCATCTGGGACTACCTACACCGGTGGATATGCTACCTATTTCTACCAAGAAGGTGTTGCAGGTATGATTTGGGTGACTTACCCCCGTGAGAGTCGAGTTTTTTAATTTGTTGTTCGCTTTCAGGTGCTTGTGGTACAGTTCACTCGGACTCAGACCTTATCGTTGCCGTTGATGAGGACATGTACTCCTCTGACCTTTGCGGCAAGACAGTTGTGATCACAAACGTTGCGAGCGGGGCGGTACGTTCAAATCATCTCATTTAGCTCTAGTTCTTACTCATCTATCTTCGAACAGACGGTGACTGCCACCGTCGCAGACGAGTGCCCTGGCTGCGCAACCAGCACCTCTTTGGATCTATCCGTAGCAGCATTCGAAGCGTTGTCAGATTTGAGTGTCGGTACTTTCGCTAGTAAGTGGAAATTTAAATCCGGTGAGAGTAATAAAGTACTGATTGGATTTTCTTACCCTTCATCAGTCACTTGGGTCCTCGAAGACTAAATAATTCTCTCCAACCTACATGGAGATACCCTCTTCATCGTTGCGTCTAGCCCGAGAGGCTAGATTCACTACTCATCAGAGATACACAGTAGACCGTTCGTCTACCTTTTGGTGTCTTAATTCCGCGAGTCATGCACGATGGAGTAATTCTGCATATTCTCCCACTCTCTATTTTCTTTAATTCTACTCCTGGGTTATTTCTTGATTCCTATCTTTATTTCATTCACGCTCCGTCCTCCAGTAGTACGGTATAGCCACCTCACGATTTAGTCTATCCCTATGCAGCACGCTGGGTTATACATAATTGACGACGACGTTGACTAGCCCTAGCTAGTTTCGGAGGTCCTCTTCATGTGTGGCACAGCCGTAGTCTGGTCCTGGTAGATATACACTATCTACACATGAATTTTTGGTGGCGAGTCCACCGCCCAACTGAAACACGATAAGATTATTTCGACTAGTACTACGTCCTGGCGGTCCTGTTGCCTTTGTGTGTTCCGATGCCCTATGATTTGTCGTTCACCGACTTGTACCCAGTCAGACCAGGTCAGACCCAGTCCTACTCGGAATTTCGGCTTGCTGGATACCCCTCCCTGACACCGCTAATTTAAATTACGCAGTACCTCCAGGTCAAGACTCGAGACCCAGATATGTATATCCTGGATACATCTCTAGGTCCTTGCCGGGAACGACCTGGTCGAATAGTGAACTATACTTGAACGTCATCTCGTGTACGTACCTGCCTAAACAAGTTGTTGGAAAGTGAGTGGCAATGACTGACACCGACCGAGTGTATTTCTCTGGTACATTGCACGGCCATTCCTTCTGTAGTTCCGATGGATCTTCCCAATTGACCTGATCATTATTCTAACCCGCACCACATTCATACCACGATACTTCCCCAACGATCAACCCATCCCCAAACACACCAATCACTCTCTCAATGATTTGCTCTCAATCGACATAGAACGGTCTCCTGGGGTATTTTCATACATTAAGCTCGTTGCGTAACTATATCGAGAATCATCCTGATGATGCATTTGTCCATGGAGGGAAGACGATAGTAGAGAGGACGTGGACGGAACTCATGGAGGGGGCAGAGAAGAAGAAGAGCGAAAGAAATGAATTGGAGGAGAACGCGGGAGAAGTGAAAGGATATGGGCTGGGAAATGAGGTAAGAGTGGGAGGAAAGGACGACTTGATTGTGGAGTGGCTATGGTACATACTTGCGAAGAAACTCTAGTTTCTCTCGCAGATATTTGGGCTCATTGACCGAAATGCTTACATTCTACGCAGAATAAAAAACCATCACTTTGGGACACCACTCAGATAGATAAATAGATAGGAGTAGATTAGCATCGTACCTTCGCATGGCAATGTAAAAAGCCTTGTGGAGAGTGCTGGTGGGTACTCATATACATACATAGTCGCTGGCCCTGCTTTTGTTGTGCTCGATATGAGTTGCTGGATACACATATGATAGTACGAGAAAATGCGGACAAAGACCGAGCTAATAAGATCTCTTTCACTCGGAAGTGCAATTTTGTGCAATTCTTTTCAGTGGTATTACAATGGCCATTTTTTTTTGCGACGAAGAAAAGTAAGTAATACGAGTGCGACTGTAGTATTCCTCCGTTGTACGAGTCTTCGCATTAGGAGGAGCTAGGAGGACGCAAAGGAAATATTTAAAATTTTAGCTTTGAAGCAACTTTTGAATGATTACCAATCAAGAGCGAGCTTTCATGTAACTTTTTTTGTAAGATACTCCCAGTTCAGTTTCGACGCATATCACGTGCTGGTCACAGCTGTGACCCCGCCAAAAATCTCAAGGTGCAACGAATTGGTCTTTCGAGTAGTTTTCATTTGAGTTATGCAAAAATTAAAACACGGGCACTGTTAACCTACTGCTTAAAGACAATATCAGATTTTCTGAGATTTTATAGTGAAGAATTCAGAGATGAGATAGCATTCTGGCAAGAGTGTCTAAACTAAGCGCCAAGTCCTTAATGGTCCTCGGTTCATATTTTTGTACATTGACTGCACTTTTCTCATCATCCCCAGCTGTAAATCATGCTTGAATGAGCAATGTTTTATTATGAATAACCTGGGTGATCCATCCATTCTGAGAGTGGAATAACTTCAACAAGAAACAAGATGCATACCATGGACAAGCCACAAAACTGTGCTGAAATGATGAGTATTTTGCTCTACAGGCATCTATGCACATCTCTTACTACAAAATACAATACAAAGTCCTCAAGTGCTGTTGTTCTTGACTTTGGAGTTTTTTCAAGAATGTTGAGATTCATCAAAAATGGTGAATTTTGTGATTTCGCACACCATAAAGCTATAGGCTTTCTCAATTATGGATATAAGACTTAGATTTTCTGGGTAGGTCTACCTACGAGGGTACTCAACAGGGCCCGTGTTCTCAATAGACTGTATTGGGGCTGGGTGTTGAGATAAAAAGTGCTCAAGGATTGTCACTCTGAAAGTCACTGAAAAGCACATGACGTGCGTCGAAACTGAACTGGGAGTATCTTACTTGAATTTGTTCGATCGTCCGCCATTCCCTACAGATTCCCTATATTCTATATTCAACCCTCAGGAGAAAAAGTGGGAACTCTTCCTTTCCACCTTCATGCGCATCGAGTCTGACCGCCTTTTCTTCCCGGTTCGCTCGTTCATGTGCCGGTCAATGTTAGAGTATAGTGACATCCTGCCTCATCCTGCTATCGTCTTGCTATTGAGCACCAACCACAAACATTATCCCGAGATTTGCTACGTGAGGCCACGAGGGTATTCCGCTGTTTGGGTGACTGATTATGAATTAGAGGGGCGAACAGAGTAAAACAAACACGATCATGTGAGAGAATATACACCTTTTCAATCCGTTCTTCCATCTGCAGACCGTCCCAGAGCAATATGAATGATGCTGGTGGTTGTGCCTCCCAACAACAGCCCCTCAATTGCGGATATCCTCACTCATATTGTCGCTCCTGCTGTATTCGTCTATCTCATTTCACACAGGCCTACTCGAAGATATGTTTTGTATCTTATCATCACAGTTCTTTGTTTGTCCTATGGATATTCGATAATTCTCAAACCAATATTATACGCTGCCTATAATCTGCTATGGTGGATATTCATAGTGCCTGTTTGGGCATTATATGGCCTTCGCTGGATCTCCTGGCAAATCATTAGAGGTATCAGAGCACTGGCATGGTTTGGGTTTTACGTGCATTTCTGCGGATATGCCATGAAGTTTATTCTGGAGTCTGTAGAGAGAGTCTTGATATGGATGAGAGATGTGCAAACGGAATAGAGGGACCAGGACGGGAAACGTTAGCCAATGCTAGATCAAGACTAGTGTGTACATTGTTCAAAACTCTGGAAATCTGAATTCACATCTGTTACAGGTTTCTTCAAGCCCGTTTCCTGTAGAAACTTCAGCATTGAAATTCTAGCGCGACATACAACACTTTCCCAAGGGAATAAATATGACATCGGCCGAGGTGGAGTTGAAGGAAGACGAATTTTTCCATGTTCGCAAATTTGTCGAGGAAGCAGGTGACAGTGGACTGATGATGCAGACAGACAGAGAGAAAGACTAGGACTGAGAATACAGGGTGTACGCCAATGGAATACGGAGGACAAACTCGGTAGCAGGAGGAACAAATACAGTTTAACCATTTGGGAACGTAATGGGAACCTTATTGAAGCAAGTTCAGATATAATCGACAAGAAGTCTTGGGTAAGTTTCTGGTAAGTTCTCTGCCATACAACGTTGCAATGAGAAGTAAAAATAACATTCATTTCCGATACAGTATTCAATGACACAGACTATGACCACCCGCACGAAAATTCAAACGTTTTCAAGATGTTATACAAACCTTAGCGCATCACTGATGCCACTTGCATAACTTGAGCCAACCAAGGCTCACATCAGGCCGTCTTAAGCCCCTACTCCTCGATCGATTCCCCGTAATTGAATTGGATGAAATTAAAAGGGAGCAATCCTTGGTGCAAGCAATACGAGTACAGATTTCTGACTTTACTTAAAAGTGACAAGGGTGTTGTGCAAATGACCTGCTACTCGCAACGCACTTCGATTTTCCCACTATCCAACCTTTGAACATGAATTCCTTCCACAGCGTGGATGCGGGCAAATACCTTGCCACTGCCTTCATTCTCCTGACCTTTCGGCTGTTATACAGCTTGAAAAATAATCGACACCTTCCTCCTGGTCCTCGAGGGTTGCCCATCTTGGGGAACATCCTGCGGTTTGCCTCGGCATCTCAAATATGGCTCGTTTTTGATAAATGGAAATTTCAATACGGAATGTGTCTCCATAATCCCAAATTTAACAACGAGAACAGCGTCGACATTCTTCATAGGTCCCATAATGTATCTTAATCTGGCGGGTCAGCACATCATCGTTCTGAACACAAAGGCTGCCGCGATAGAGCTTTTGGAGCGTCGATCCGCAATTCACTCGGATCGGCCAAAGAGTATTGTTGGGGAATACATTGGGGCCAAGTTAGCGATGCCGTTCGTAGGATATGGCAAACGGTACGTTCTGATATGGTACATAGACAGCTGACCGGGGACCCTTGGCTCAAATTGCACATCTAGGTGGCAGCGAATGCGGCGCGCAGCTCATGCTGTTCTGAATGCTCAAGCTAGCGCACGATACCAACCTGTTCAAATCGAAGAAGCAGTCATTTTTGCTCACAAACTGATGTGCGACACGTCTTCGCCATTGTTCGCAAAGATAGCTAGGTATGTCAGTCATTTTATTCGTCACAATTCTTCACAACGATACAGTTTTGAATGCCCCAGGTCGGCTTCTTTTATGATTTCGGTCATATATAGTAAACAACTTCTAGCATCCTCCAAAGGTTCAGAGCAGTCACTTGATTCAGACGCGCTTCAAAACCATTCATCTGAAACACACGGTCTTCCCCCTTCAGACCCGCTTGAGGCCCTTATCAACGCCGTACATATATCTACCAACGCTCTATATCCAGGTGCCCATTTGGTAGAGTCTCTACCAATATTAGATTATCTTCCTGCAGCAATGGTAAAGTGGAAAAGTAAAGCCAAACACGACTTTCAGCAAATTTCAAATGTCTACAAAAGTTCCTACAATATTGCAGTGAGTTGATTGAGTGTTGGGAAGAAATGTAATTTGTTTACTGACACTGGAAAGGTGATTTCCAATCAGCAGCAACCTAGCCTTTGTGTCAGCCTTGCGGAAAATGAGGTGACCGGTGAGTTGAGTGGAGTGGAGTGGAGAAGGCTTGGATTGCAGGGACCATTTCGTAGGTCTATATTATGATTACGCTGAAGACAGGACTGAATGTTGATTCATAATAGTGCTGCCTCTCTTGACACTGTTTGTTTCTTTGCTTCATTCACTGTGACTTACATGCTAAATCGCAAAACTAGACTACCGTTACCTTGTCATACTTCCTTTACGCCATGTCCCTTCACCCAAGTGTACAGGAGCGTGCACACCACGAACTGGATGAGGTTGTAGGCAGATCAAGGATACCAACGGTTGATGATATGATGGAGCTCCCGTACATCAGGGCGATTGTCAAAGAGGCGAGTTCAGCCCTTATGTAATACTATTCAAATGCTGACTCGCTCTCCTCGTTTAGGTTTTGAGATGGGAGCCCGTCACGCCGTTGGCCTTACCGCATGCTGCAATGGAGGTGCGATTTCTCCGGTCCATGAAAATCCAGTCATGCACACACTTGTTGATGATTTCCGTTTCTTTTCTTTTCATTTTAAGGACGATTGGTATAAGGGTTATTTCATTCCCAAAGGAACGATTATATTCCCTAACGTATGGTAAGTTACATTGATCATTTCAACTAGCTTAGAGTTTTTATATTATCTCAGGTCAATGAATCGCGAGGAAGAGACATGGTCGAGATGCAGACCAGTTTTCTCCTGAGCGATTTCTTCAGAAGTCGGGAAAGGGGAATAGATTCATATTTTGCCCTGAATCTGAAAGTGGTGATGGTCATTGCACCTATGGATTTGGCAGGCGGTGAGATCCTGTCCTGTGCTCTATCTGTTTTTCACAATACTGCATTGAAAATATGTAGCTGAAAACTCATTGTTCATCACTATGTGCACAATTTTGTGGGCACTACATATTGAACCCAAGGCAATTACCACAAGTTCTAAAGGGAAGCGTGGACCGGTGAAGGATGTATTGAAGTAAATATAAGAGTCATCTTTGACTTACATTTTCATATGCTGATTCCTTGCAAATGTCAAGTCTCATGCCTGATTTCGATTGCCAATTTTCTCCTCGGTTTCCAGAAGCAGAAAGTATTCTTCAGCATCTACAAGACAATGTACTTGACACAGAAAACAACCTAGCGGCGTCGTGATTGGCTGTCTCTAATACCTCAGACTTCAAATAACAGATTGCCATGTTATCTATCGGTTACAATTGTAGAAATGGTTGTGAAATTATATATGAATCTGTACACTTTCGCCTGTGTTCTTCTCTTTTCTTCATTCCAAGTCTAGTTTGTATTTTTGAGTGCTAGGAGAGCTATATTATAGAGATAACTACAGAGACTCTGACCAGTGACTTGCCGAAGTTTCGAATGGATCTCACGTGATCGCATCCGAGGGACGTTCGTGCACATCATGTTGACAGTCCTTAATAGCTGTCCTAACTCTCAAAGCTTCTTGATACAGCTCCCGCCTGAAATTATTAGTCAGATTGTTGACTATTGTCCCTCATCGAGCATACCTGCCCTCTCCAATGTCTGCAAATCAACGCAAGAATTTGGTGTGCGATCTTTGTACCGTCACCTTTCTTTCACGAAAGCATCTCGGTTCTTGAAATGTTGCTATGCATTGACCAGGAATAATGGTGCTGCGTCTTCAGTAAGAGGTCTCCAGATAAACCTGGTAGAGTGAGTTACGATAATTTATTTTCATCAAGCTCCATTCTCTGACAATTTAGAACAAAGTCGCCACATTCTATTCGCATTTTTCCAGATTTTGGCCACGGTTCTACGTCGACTGCATAATTTACAATGTCTCGAAGTTCTTCATGATGGACCTGGCTTCCAATGGGCTCTCGAACCCTGCTATCTTCCACATCTCTCACTCCTCCGTACGCGCCTACCTCTTACCCAAGACCTCATCAATTTCCTTTCGCGCCATTCTTCCACTATTTCCGAACTCCATTTAGATGGCCGATCTTCAATATTCACTCTGTCCCCCGCTCCAATTACTCTTCCTAACTTAACGAGCTTCACGGGCAACCCTGGATTCGTGCGGTTCATAGTTCAAAAACAAGATAAACCCCGGCTATCTTCTGCTCATATGACGTCCCTCAACATAATGGATCTTGAAGAGGTGGAAATCATCGAGGCTATGAAACATCTGCAAGACGTGGCTGGTGAAACGCTGCGGACAGTTACCATAGTGGGAAGTGGGTTCGCTGGGCCGTTGGCGAGGCACGCTTCAAACTACCTCACGAATCTGAAGGTTTTAGGCCTTATGCACCTGTCCTTTATGGAGATTGTGAGTAACGGCATTCTAGATTTCAGTGAACATATATTTATGATCTGTCTTTGCAAAAGGAACTGTTCTCAACAGAGCAACTTTGTGAAGAAGTCAAACTGCTTCTGCCAAACCTTCCGCAACTTCAACGGCTTATTATGGGTCGTATGCATTCTGTCTCAACGCAAACGCAAACATTAGATTTTGCTGAGGGGCATAAACTAGTCGTGGAATTTAGTTCCATATGTCCAGGTCTCGATTTTGTTTGCCTTCCCGGTCAGTATAAGATCTTTCGACGCCCGTATATGTTTTGAACCATCTTTTAGATGACACAGAATGGAACCGAATCCGCATACCAAACAACGGCAGCTCTTATTTTTATATATGGTTTCCAGAAGTTTCACAATTTAGCGTCGCGTCAGCATGGCAGCTTCTTGACATACTGTGCGCAGAGGGCAGGAAATATCCTTCTTGGCTCTCACTGTTGAAGTTGATTTTGAAAGAGGCTGTGGGCAAATGGTATTTGAACGAGGCACGAGAGAATGCTAGTAACAGTGAGAATGGACCAGATATTCAGGAGTCCATTCGTACTGCAATAGAGACACTTCTCAATGAAATTGATAAACGGGTTGAGGGAAATTGAGTCCCTAGACATTCTAAGTATGTACATAGTATTTTCAATAATTATACTTGTGATTTTTCTGTGCTTACATAGGCTTACATTGGTCGACGAGCTCAAGGTCTAGCTGAAGGCAAAGTATCGGACACTGATGTTGAGACTTTAATAAACCGACGTGAGTTCGTTTCTGTCTGTATCAGCTATGTACGTCCTACATTGTACGACTTCTCCAGAAATCAAGATCCATTTCCCTCTTCGCCCATCAGTGCTGCACTTGAGCGTCGCAGCATTCTCCTACGGTGGTTCGCGTTCTGTGTAGCAGGAGAAGGTGTGTCTGACTTGCCAGTAACTGCAGTTGACGGTTTTTTCGACGACGCAGCACTACTACTGTCCGAGGCACCGTCAGGACTGCTGCTTCCGCTGCTGGATTCATCGTCACTTGAGCCCGTTTCAGAACTACTATCGTCGACAACGGTACCTTCTGAACTAGAGTGAGGGTCAGACCCATCGTCAGAAGTAGTAGAGTTGTTGCTGGGACTAGAGATGTCACTGCTAGTGGAATTGTTGGCGCTGCCGCTGTCATTGTCTCTTGGGCTGGTTGCATCATTCAGGGTGCTGTTGGAATCCTTGTCATTTCCGATGGAATTCTCGTCGTTGGTACTGGGTTGGTCCGAGGTGCCATCCGAGGTGCCGTTCACTGAACTTGGATTGTCCAAATTCTCGTTTGGATTCGGACTGTCTGGAGGCACCCCTTGACTCGAACCATCCGGAGGAACACCCTCGCTCGAACCGTTGTCTGGAGACCCCTCTGGACTGGAGCTGTCAGGTAATCCAGTCTCCTCAGGGTTCGAAGCCCCATCCGTGGCGGTCGGATAAGCATACGTATCGATTGTTTGCCATTGGCCATTGATAAACTCAGTAAGAATCTCCTTCACAGCCGTCAACACATCATGGTGTTTATCAGTGGTAACAGGTAGTGAATCCGGATCTGCAGTCGGGCCAGAGTCGGGAGCGGGGGTAATGGTAGATTCAGTGTTCGTGGTGGGAGTTCCAGTCTAAAAATCACGATAAAAAGAATCAGGATAGATAATTACTCATCTCAAACCAGAATTCGGCGTACCTCTTCACCGGCTTTGGTGCTGGTAGTAGGCGTGTGCTCCGACTCGGACTCACTGCCTGTGGGCTTTACGGAAGTTGTGACTTTCGGCTCCTCAGAGGAAGTGGATGTGTGGGATTTTTCTGTCTCTGTCCCAGAATGACTAGTAGGCTTCGCGGAGGAAGTTTCCGATTCCAACTTCGACGTTTCTGATTCGGTCCCAGAATGACTGGTGGGTTTCGCGGAGGAAGATTCCGGTTCTTTGGATGAACTGGGCTCGGGACTCTTTGACGCAGGCTCTGACTTCGATGTTTCTGATGTCCGTTCCTTGGAAGCAGGAGAGGTAGTCGGTACTGGAGCTTCCTTCGTTGGAGAAGGGGTCTTTTCCGGCGGCGGTGGAGGTGGAGGTGGAGGAGGAGGTGGTGGTGGTGGTGGTGGTTCCTTCGTCGGGGGGGCCTTTACTGGCGGGGGAGGTGGTGGTGGCGGAGGGTTCTCAGTTTTAGGTGGAGTTTTTGGAGTGCCAATTTTTGGAAATTTGACCCTCCTAACTAGACCACCGTCTCGCTTATTCACCTCTCCTAAAGGTGCAGCGGTCGAGATGGCGGCGAGCACTAGAACAATGAGAACTGAGGGACGCATGTCTGAGGGATATTAGGAGCAAGGTTGGTCAAAATACGCAAAGAAAGTGAGTACTATCGGTCCAGCCGATAGAGTCGATTGCACCGGGCTTGGAGTACTTGGAAGCTAACGCTGCCCTTTTTAAACCACAGCAGTCGTATATTTGGGATAGCGTAAGAGGATGGTGCTACCGTCAAAGTATGCTGTCCAGTGTTAGTTTCATCCATGTCCGAAGATTCGAAGTATATGGACATCAGATGTTCAAGGACCTGTAGCGACTAAGCAAAACGGGAGTAACAAAACTACGCGCCGGTTTCTGATATCATTTTACATGTTCATCCTGTGGCCTCTCAGTAGCAGTTTCTCATGATTGAATCCTGGGATTGAAACTATCACTCCTATCGTATTCGTTTTGTCAAACATTTTGACGATAGGTATCGCAGTTATGACATCCCCGGAACAGCACCAGTGAGCGGCATGTTTCAATGCGCCCGGTACACCTGCTACAGTTGTTGGCCATTCCCGTCAGCAACGGAAATCGATTACAGAATTGTCGAGTGATCGTTGCAGAAGCCTTTGCTGGGCGTGGAACGGGAAGTGAGACGAGATTTTGGATTGACATGCAATGTTCATTAGTACTGTGCCAGTAATCAAACGAAACAGCCCGGGGGAATGCAACGAGGAATGATCGTCACGGTGGCCCGTGAAAAAAAGTTAAGCGCATTCTCATCAATCATCCAGCTCCCAACAAACCAGTATACCGAGACACAGTATGAGAATTTTAAAGGGACTTAGGCACAAGGAAACCTCGGTACAGTTTCAAGAGTAAACCTATATGATTGAGCGCCGCCAAGCCAGGACTTGGGTTGAGGACTCGGACTGGGGTGATACAAACATGAAAAACAAGGTACATATAGTTAAGCAAATTCAGTTCGACTTTCTAAATGGAACTAACTTAGCAAAGTCGGAACTTGATTACCACTGCCAGCGATGCTTTTATTGATTTTTTAAAATTTTACCAAACTCAACTACATACCTGTTCACAGTTTAGGCTTTCCAAACTTGAAGTCACCAGGACGTGCTGGTAAAAATGACGATCCAGGTCTCTTCAAGAAATCCTATGACAATGATCCAGTTCCTCAGCATCGTATTCCGGTACTTACAGACTAAGATCGTACTCGCCTTGGTTTGAAGCATGATAGCGTTCCACCAGGTAGTAAACTGAAGGCTTTCCGCAACTCTATCGAGAATTTTTCTGGTTATCACAATAAGACCCTCAAACTCGAGATGTCACTTACGAGTGATCCCTTCCATGGCTGAGAAGCCTCTTCGTCCCAGTAACGGCTATCGGGCTTTTCGTTGCAATAACCTTGGCTAGTTCCAACGCAGATGCAACCACTTCCTCCCTTCCTCCCTCGACAACCTTGGAAACGAGACCCATTTGCTCCGCCCTGGAAGCTGAAAACCATTCGGCAGTGTACGCCATTTCACGAACGAAGCTCAAGTTCCCCATAACTCTCGGGAGGTAGGCGAGAGTTCCCATATCTGCCGCCATGCCGATGTCCACTTGCTATACAAGATGATTGAAATAAGATTGCACCCTTTTCATTCGAAGAGACAGACCTTGAGTGTGAACCGCGAGTCCGACGCGGCATACCTGATATCACATGCAGAGACGATATCCACCCCCAATCCTATATTTATTCCGTGAATTGCCGCGATGACAGGAAAAGTGCATCTCTCTGGTGCCATTATAGCTTCTTGGATCATCTCTATTTGCTTTTGGAAAGTCATCGAGATCCGGGCAGCGTCACTAGCGGGATTTGCTTCAGTCCTTCCTTTCACGATTTGTCCGGCATTGTACACTACATATATAGGCGGGAAAAAGGGTCAGGAAATGAGAAGTCTTTGAGCGCCCCAAAAGTAAAAGAACATACGGTCAAATCCTGCAGAGAATATATCTTGGAATGCTGAGGATATCACAACCGCCCTGATATCAGGACGGCTCTCTGAGATGGAATCGAATAAAGCTCCGTAGGCTCGCCAGAACCTGGACAACGGCAGGTGAACGCTCATATCAGAAGTGCATCCTGAGACAATTTCATACATACTCAAATCCAACTGCATTGACAGGATTCCTATGTACAGAGTTGAGTCGAAAATACTCAAAGAAGAAATATACCTACCGAGCAAGCTCAGCATGTAGTACATGAGGGAAAGGCTCAGAGATTTTGATCCATTCTGAAGATAGCGATGGGTCCATTAGTACACAAGAGTGTTTTCACCTTCTTTTTTATACCTCAGACGGGAAGGGCGGGTAATAGAACACTGCGATAGTATCCCGGGGTGTCCCAGCAATACCAATATGTGATATGCATGCACCAAAGCAACGGTGAGCGGTCATCTAATAATAATCCCCTAAAGCTCATCTGGATCGTTCCAACCTGTTTCGGCAGCATATATGTACAACACAGGCGTCACAGTGTTGCTTGCGTATAATCTCTGGGTGCATTACGCAAAGGTATGCATATGTTGAGAGGGTCAATGTGGCGAAGCCGGTGACATCGTCGCCCAACGGCAACCTCTGACGCATCGTAGACATTTCCACTTCAGCGAACATCATCTACGGATACTCACACAGGCCGAATGGTCCTTGCGGTAAGGTAAGGCCATTGTACTTACATAAATTACGTTGGTCTTGTAGTGTTGTAGAAACAAGTGGACCTTCGTTTGTCTGACTGATTACCAGTACCGTCATTGATATACTCCTGATATCCTTGAGCCATTCGTACTGTAAAATGAATCAACAAAACCATCGCAACAATATCGACGCACGACAAGGCCACAGTTTTGCCATTTGAACAAATCCTAATAAATAACATAACATATTATGATATAATGCGATTTAAGTAGCAAAAAGATCGTATAGCCCGAATCAGAGCTTTGACTTGCCAAACTTGAAGTTGAGCGGTAAAAATCTACCTGGCCGTTTGGCCTTGGTCGATACTAGAGTCTCCATCATATCCTAGGGGATCGTAAGATATGTAGTCAAAAAGATGCATCATTATACCTTCGTCTGAAGCATAGCAGAGTTCCATAACGATGTGTATTCAAGGTTTTCCGCGACGCTGTTGAAAGAAGGCGTGTATTCAGCCAGTTCAATAGCAATTGATTTATGGGTATTGATATGACATACGAATGATCCCTTGCGTGACTGAGGAGTCTCTTTGTCCCGGTAACTGCTATCGGGCTCTTCCTCACAATGAGTTGAGCCAATTCTAAAGCGGCAGCGTCAACTTCTTTCTTCCCTCCCTCAACAACCTTCGACACAAGTCCTATTTGTTCTGCTTTGGATGCAGGAAACCATTGCGTGGTGTAGGCCATTTCACGAATGAAGCTCATGTTTCCAGTGATCTTCGGTAGGTAGGCAAGGGTCCCCATATCTGCTGCTAAGCCGATATCAATTTCCTTGGTGACACGGGTTATCAATGAATTGAAAGCAGGATCTGCATGGTACTTACCTTGATAGTAAACCTGGTATTTGATGCAGCATACCGTATATCACACGCAGAGATGATGTCTACGCCCAGACCAACAACCATGCCATGCACCGCTGCAATAACAGGAAATAGACATCGTTCTGGCGCAGTAATAGCTTCCTGGAACGGCTTGATTTGTTTCTTGAAATCCAACGCTATTCGTGCAGCATCGGTGGATTCTGGATCGGCGTCTGCTGTTGCTTTGGCGATTTCTCCTGCTTCGAGCACTGTAAAGAGCGTTCAGTAATCTGAAAGATTAAAGGATGTAACAGGCGCACAATCCAACCCAGCTGAGAATATGTCTGGGAATGCCGAAGAGAGGACGACAGCTCTTACATCTGGGGTTTCTTCAGAGATGGCGTCAAACAATGCTCCATAGGCTTTCCAGAACCTACAAAGCCAAAGATCAACATTTCCAATTGTGCTTCCTGAAGGATTTCAATACTCGGTAGAGATTGCATTGACTGGACTTCTACGAACGCAGGGCAATTCTAATTAGATTGTGTGAGTTGGAGAAGAATAACTTCGCATACCGAGCCAGCTCTACAAGCAGTATATGAGGGAAGGGCTCAGAAACTTTGATCCATTTTGAGGACAGGTTATTCATGGTGGTGGTGTGAAAAACGGAAAGCAAAGGCACAAGGATTGCCGGGTAAAGAAATCGGCAATGTCAATAGACGCCCTCCGCGAACGCATCGAAAGGGCTATTTCTTCTGAGATTGACAGTAATGTAAGTGATAGACAAAAACCAAAATAAATCCGAAACTAAGGTCCGGGGGAGGGGGAAGAAAGGCACGGAATGTTGAGCTCTATCTAGGATTGAACCCCTTCGACGCATAATTGACACGTCTCACTCCTCCCTTTCCCTCTTTCACCTCAACCGATTCCCAATCCCCTTCAATCCTCCCATGACTGTAGGTGTTCGGATGCACTACTGCATCACATGGGCAGTTCCAACTGGACGAGGGGTCCAGACGCTTGAAGGCAGTAGGCGTTTCCTTGATTGTAAAACGGACTTCCTTTTCCAGGTCTTCCATGGATCCATGAAACTCATTGGTGGGAACTGCTTGCACGGTGTATTTGTGCCCGGCACGGGTTTGTATAAACTCTCCGGCAAGCTTTTGGGCCATTTGTGTTACTGCTTGAACGACGGGTCGGGTGTTGGACGGAAAAGTGTAGCTTATTATAACGGGCTGAAGTCTATTCGAACTGTGGTTAGCTCTGAGGAGAGAGGTGATGTGAGTGGCCTACGTCTTGTCGAGAGAAGGAAGGTTGGGGTTTGCACGAGGTACGACCGTTCCATTTCCGGAAGTAATAGTATCCATTTTTGAGACCTGGATAAAGCGCGGTGGGGGAGAGGAAAGGTTATTTGTCTGTTACTCGACCAGAATACTTTACGGGACCCCAGACAAGTGGGGAATGGTGGGTGCAAGCCAGGGCGGAAGAGGGGAAGGCATAGCAACAATTGGATAATCACATACCGGTACATCTGTCAATGGGAGTGCATAGACAACAGAGGTACTACCAAGACCAAGAACAAGGTAGATTGAAACGTTGAAACGCATAGTCGGTATCTGGTGGTGCAAGAAATGGTGAGAGCAACTGTTACTATAGTGATCAAAACAAGTCGTCGTTTAAGCTGAGGAACTTGACTGCAACTTTCAAATTAGTGTGAATCGATGAACGGTCGGATGGGCGTAAACACTGCAACCAATGGCATTTAGCATAGACGTTCACAATGGTGAGAGGAATACCTACATTGAAAGGGCAAAGGGCGGGCCAAAGCGTGTTTTTGACTAGCAAAAATGAAGAGGGACTGGCCAGCAGTACCGTATCAGACTATCAGTATGGGGAAAACCAAGGAGGAAATTCCCTGCTACTAAGTTCTTATACTGATGAATTCCCGTCGGCTTCGCCCGATAATCTGAGTAAAATTGAAATAATTTCTTGAGCCGGTCTGACGACTTCTGACGACAGTTGATACGCTGCTCGCTTGGAGTCGCTTAGCCAAGTAAGGGGTCCGGACTCCGGATGCCTCCCTGCACTCTCCCCCACTCTCTTGAGTCTCCCCAGGTCTACCCCTCGAGTTTCTTTCCTGCTAGAGCCTGGCTAGAGCTCAGAATTGGTTGATCTGACGAGTTCACTTACAGGAATCAGGATGTTAGGAAAAATGTACATACTGTCCAACAATCCTTACGGGCGTCGGAAAGCCATCCAATATTTACATCATCAAGCGTGAAATCTTGATGTGCAGGAGTGTATGTAATAATGTAAGTTCTTGCGTCAGACTCAGAGGTGTTTTTACGATGCAGGTCTCATAAGGTCTCGACTCTCATACATATATGCTGCCGTTTCTCAAAACCTGATACGACCTTCTGAAAGATCTATTGCATCTATTCGAGGAATTTTGAGTAGAGTCCACCACATACATGCACCTCTAACGCGCCCACAAAGGTGTATGTAACCCAGCGTTGAGAAGCCATATAATCGGCTCGTCTCATTACTACGCAGATACCTTCACCGTGGCCACCACACCGTCTTTGCCAATCTCCTTCACGGATACATCCACAGAACCAGATGCAGCAACAATAAGTGTTGCTTCGACGGTAGTCGTCCACTTCCCAGCATCCTTCGATGGTCCCTTTACTTTGATCCCTAACACAGCCTCTGCTTCGGCAGCACCCAACAAAGTCTCTTTAGTGATCGTCTTGTGCTTGATTTCTTCTTCATCCTCCTCTTCGTCCTCATCCTCGGCATCAGACGGAGACACCTTGGCAGGCGAAATTTTTTCTACCCGAATACCCTCGGATACCTCCCACAGCTCGAACGCAAATCTCTTCGACTCTTCAGAAAGACCAATATCGAATGTCGCTGTTCGTCTAGCAGGAAGTGTGGTCTCAGCTAGAACAAGAGGAATCCAAGTTCCACCGGTTTCGTTTCCGGAGTCGTCCGGGAACACCAAACCCAGTGTCTTCGATGTAGTTTTCACGTCTACCAGATCCGAACCATGTTCAAATGCTTTCCGGAGTTCTTCATCTTCTCCTTCGCTAGACAAGGACGCGATCAAAGCGGCTTGCACCGCACATCCGCGGGCAAGAACAGTCGTAGGATCACCGATCCCCCCACCGATAACAGTGCCCATACTGAACGGAGTGTTGACTCCTTCACTAAATCCACCTGCAAGACCAATATGCTCGTCGAGCCCCGGCAAACACGTTGTCCCGCCTACGTACACGATCTCGTCAACCTGGTGTGGGTCGACTTTCGCTTCCGCGAGTAGATCGACGATAGCTCGTGCAACGGAATCATAGATCGGGCGAACAAGCATGTCAAATCGCATACGATTAATATTTCCGGTAAAATCCACACCGTCTTTGAGTGACTCGACAGAGCACGTAGCAGCGTTGGGGGAGGCACTGATGGTGCGTTTTGTGTGTTCAATTGCGAGACGGAGTTTGGCTTCTGCACGAGCATCACCTGTACTAGGGGTTTCTGAGCAGACAGTCAAGGGAGTTTTAGTCTTTTTGGTGAATTCGTTAGCAAAGAAAGTGATGAGTTTGGAGTCGATGGCATCGCCGCCTGTAGAGGTGGAGGAGGTTGAGGCGATGATGTGGGCTAGGCCTTCACGCAAGGCCAAGAGAGATAATGACAGGGAAGAAGAACCGACATCTACAATTAGCTGTGTACGATCCGCAGGAAGCATTGAACCCCATGCCTCAGCAGTCGTGACTGCAGCAACAGCTGCGGGCTCCTCTAACAGCTGATACACAATGATACCCGCATCCTTCGCGGCTTTTTCTAGAGCGTGTTTCTGGGCATCAGTGAAAACTGACGGCACGGTGATAACGGCACCCTGAACCCTTTTCCCAAGGAAGTCTTCCGCAGATTGGAGAAGTGATTTGAGGAATATCGTAGTTACTTCGGAAACGGTGAGGACACGCTCAGCTGGAATAGGTTCCGAGCGAGGAGTAGGGGCGGACGAGGCTGCTGGGGTGCCGGTAGTGCTTTTCGGTAATGGTGCAGGTGCAGGTTGGAGGATCTCGACCTTATACGCGGGCTCATCCGGTATTTCTGGATGTTGAATTATAGGTGCAGAGGCTGTCGATTGTGATTGGGGAATTTCAGAGAATCTACATATCGGAGCAAAATCGTTAGAAAAACATTATTCTCTTTCTGAGCCATCGCGAAAGTGAAGACATCACATACTTCTTGCCCAAAAGATTGCGGAAGCCCACGATAGTGTTCTTGGAGTTTTTCACTAATTGAGCTTTTGCTGGGCTTCCGATATACTGCAGATAAAATCATAGATAAATTCATCGGCGTTTTTTTTCCTTCTCAGTTCAGCAAATCGACTCTAACCATTTCCTCACCAAAGAAGGATAGGGCGCAGGCTATTTGTCGTTCTCCATCTTCGTTTGCGATACATTCCGCTTGTCCGTCCTATCGCAAATAAGGGTCAATCTGATTAGTCTACTTCAAAGAGATATTTGTTGAAAAAAATCAAAGCTCTCTACTGACCTTTGTAAAGACCGCGATCGATGCAAAAGAGTTGCCAAAGTTAATCCCTACGACGTCAGGGAGATTTGATATCTCCGTTGAGGGATCGGCTGAGCCGTTTTGAGTATTTGAAGCCATGGAAATTGCGTATGCAGGAAGGAAGGAATTAAAGTCGGTGAGCGCTCGCTGCTCAACGATTGCGAAAAAAATTTGATCAGGCGCACGTGGGGTCTTATCTTATCAGTCTCCTCTAATTTGAGGTTGGCTGAATTGACCAGGAATATCCTGGAATATCTTTTTACGCGTTCTAAATAATTCCAGAATGCAAGCTACGGAGGAAGAGTTCTTTTGTCTGCACAGGTAGAAAACTCATTCAAACTCGTAACACGTCCGATTCGAGATCAATCAACATCCTAATAGAGAGGCTCCTCGTCTGCCTTTCATCTGCATACTACTGCGCAACCAATTGAGAAAACCTAGGATCTTGACGAAGAATTCTCGACAGATTGTTGCGCTGGAGACCCTTCCGAATGGATGGTGGCGTCGACTACGGAGCTTTGCAGGTTGATCATGAGGACAACAGCAACAGGATACAAGCACTAGGACGGTCGATATTCCAACAATCGGCTGAACATCAGGGGAGGCGGAAAAAGATAGTACTCACACACGTCTCCTCAAAAACCTCCTCCATGATGGTGTATGCAGTCTGAAAGGCATTCGATTGACTTTCAATGCTATCAATGTCGAGATTCAATAGCACGGCCATTGTGAGCTACATAGAGGCCATCTCGTCAGTCTCCAATAATTTCATTTTTTCAAAGTCTCTCTCGGCCTCGAGACACCACGGACCTGTAGCATCAAGAATATCGCTCCTGACTCAACCAGTAATGACAGCAAGTTCTGGACCTCTGTAAATTTATCACGGCCCAAGACTGAGCGGACTGATCTTCGGTAATTCCTGAAAAAAATCAATTTCCTTTGCCAGGACCGCGAGCTGCGCTGTGAACTAGCAGGCTAACACTTACCAGAATTTCAGTGCAATCAATCCTGTGGCTATCGCGTTAGTTGCTAATGAGATATCGAGAGAAGCAGCGTTTGTTTGTCTAGTTCGGACGGGATCCACGGAAGATATTTCAGATAAAACAGCTTGGGCAAAGTTGATAACTGGAAAAGACTTGGTATGTATCTCCACGCATACATTGTCATTGAAGCATCAACTTTTCCCTCCATTGACAATCATGAGAAATATAAGGCCCCATTTCACAGGTTGATTTCCGTTCCATATGGCGATGGCTCTCCAGACTACGAGCAGATCACCTATACAGAGCTATGAGGGTCACGATGCCTTCATATTACTCGGCGTTCACATGATATGGAATGCAGGACATACTCACATTGAGTGTAGGTGGCCAAGAAGATAACTTGACCCAGGGGGTAATAGAATTTTGAGCTACACTCAACTGCTCAGGGAGCCCTCCACTCAACGGAACAACGAGTGTTCTCTTGGTCAAGATAAAGAGGGGTTCGAAGGTATCAAGGAAGTCTATGGTGTTGACTATAAAGATAGCAAGCGTGAACAAAAGAAGGAGTCTACGGGTCGAGTGTGGTTTTGGATCGCTGGGAAAGCTAAATTTGTAGCAAGTCAGGATCGGCAAGTTAGGATAGCATCGAGGTCGCAGACGTACAGGAGCAACCTCAGTGCAATCAATGTCGCTGAAAGGAACACTCCTGGTTTTGACAACGTAGTATGCCTGAACTCTTCAATGATATTGTATCAGGCAGAACGCGCACGCACCATACAGAACAGCAAAACAAATGAGATTGATAACGTTGTAGTAAAGTTCATCACCAACACTTCCCGAAATTTCTTCACCTCCCGCGCTCATTGTCTGTAGGAAGCCTTGTTTGTTAATCCTAAGGTGTTTGACAGTCTAGAGAAAGATCAGTCGAGGCAGCATGGGTGGCCTTCTCTTATGTGTCACACTCAATTATAAGCTTTCTTCAGTACCATATAGGTCGGCCCAGCGTCTGTCAAAAGTTGGAGATTTGGAGAGGAGTTTCATTCTCCAGTTATCATTATCCATCGGGGATTGAGGGCACATAGGGTAGCTGCGAATTTATTTTTTCCGGTTTGGGAGCCGAATTGTGGTGCTCAGCAGCTCTGTACTTGTAACCTGATGCAATGAATTTGTTCGTTTGTTCTACGTAGCTTGTATGAACCGTTCAAGATTCTCAAAAAGTCGGGACCTGGAATTATTATTTAGATGAAATGCTCACAGAAAGATTAAGCCTCACTTGACGGTCGCAAGTCGGGTCGTTTCTGGTCGATCATCAGCGCTCAGCATTTTAGAATCAAATTCGAAGAACACTATAAGGCGAGTTCAGCATGGCTCAAATTACGACGTCGAGTACTAGTGGATCGTGGTACCCGTAGAATTTCGGCATGTCATAATGGCTGGGAAGGATTACGCATCCAGCACATCTTATCTTATCGCACATTCTAACCCTAATTTCCTTTCTTCTCCATCGACTTTCCTTTGTACTTACCGCATCCTCATGTACATGTACATTCCGAGCCAGAATCAGCTGTGAACCAGATGTCATTTTTTTACACGACTGGAAACTAATGGCACGCCAAAACTACGCCAAACTCTATCATCCTCTCAATGTAAAACACAATATATCTTTAAAAAAGACAATCTAGATGTGTGTAATTAAACTTGTATCTGCTTTTGCTTGTATGCTCATATATCCTGTGTTCATAGCGCAGAACCGAGACCGTTTCGTGGAACTACATTTGATTTTGATTCAAAAGCTGTAAACTGCAAAGTTAGGAAATTCTGTCCGCTTCAAGTCGCTCTTCACACCTCTTTGCGTTCCGATACATATTTATCTTGAACGAGCGGCAAAACTAAGGCTGAGCAAGCACATAGTCTCGGTCAAGCTCATGGTATCGGATTCCGGCGTTTACCTTTGAAGGGGATATTTCCCCAATAATATAGATTGCTGTAGATATCATCAACACCTGATGAATATCTATTATCTATATCGCCCGTCAAAACTCAAGAAGCCGGATTCAAACCTTGAAAGCCAAGGCCCACTGAGGCTCTGAGGCTGCGCACATTGTGATACTGACCCTGATAACTAGTACGCAGTGTACCTCTATAGTCTATAGATGACATGTTCATGAGGTACGTTACATTTTCTACATAGAAGCAAAGCCGCAAAGGTCATATATACCCGACTAGCGATCCTCGGAATCTGAGAGCACCGTTGTGCCCGGCTTTCAGCCTCCTCTTGTAGCTCAACGCTATTAACGTCTGCCCTCGCTCTCTTTCAAGTTGAGCTTTCCGGACCCCATAACTCCCTCTTCTAGACCGCTGTTCGCGCCTGTCATCATAGCTTCATAGAGTGTTGGCTGTAATTTGCGTCTAGTATTAGGTGCCTCGGGATCATAGCCGGCGAGCTAGAGCACAAAATACTACTACTGTATACGGGCAATATCAGCAACAATCACTAAGCTAGAATTCCACCGCTTAGCTGTTTGTATTGCTCTATACCCCAACACCTTCGCTCCCTATCTCGTTATCGATTCTTGCCTCCATCCGCAATGCACGACCAGACATCTTCCCCGACTTTATCGGTGGCCTTTGGTCCACTTTCCTCAAATTCCGCTTCATCATCATTGTCGTCTTCTTCGAGCAGCGATGACCTCTCTCCTCTATTCACGTTATCGTATTCGCCCCGTATCACCACCATGGCAAAGAAGCGCTCTCATCAAGATCTTCCCCACTTGTCTATTCCCTTCAAGCCTCAGACCAGCAGGGCTTCATTCCCTCACCTTGCTCACGGGGAACGTAGCGCTGGGCAGGATGCGTGGACTTTGGAATCGCCGCTTGCTGTGTACAACTCTCAGGCGGGTCCCGAGACACCCAGTAGCGCTTCTACTAGCACTTCTATTTTAATCTCCCCTTCAACTCCCATTTCACCAGTCACTTCGATCCCCACCTCTATCTCTACTCCAACCTCTACCTCGACACCCGAAACACCCAACTCGCTAAGTTCGCCCATCGTCGGTGTTGTTGACTTGACGCGGAATTTGAAGACTGTATCGTCTGGCCCGGTCAGTCATGGGGGATATTCGGATATTTACCAAGGGGAGTTGGAGATGACGAAGTCTGACCAAAATTCATCTTTTAATGAAGAAGCGGACAAAATTCCTGTCAGTGTTTTTCTTTCGTGATACTATCACCTCAGGCTAATAATTACTCCCCTCTTCACCACGCTCCTCCTCTATTCCCTTGTTCAGGTCGCCATCAAGCTCCTACGCGTTCTCTCATCTAAAGGGTACGACGAAGTTAAAGCCAGGAAACGCCTTAACAGGGAAGTTTACGTCTGGCATCGTTTAGACCACCCGAATATCGCTACGTTCCTTGGAACGTCGTATCATATGGCGAACCGCCCATCTCTTATCCTACCGTGGTTTAAGAATGGGTCGGCGTCGGAATATCTGAGGTTGAAGAATCCGGGAGCGGATAGGTTAAGACTGGTGAGTCGGAGGCTCGAGGCATTAAAACTTTGTTGAAATGAAGATGCTGATATGTTCCATACTTTAAGATTCTTGACGTTGCAGAAGGCTTGGAGTATCTTCACACATGCAAGCCTGCGCCCATTGTTCATGGGGATTTGAAAGGCGTGAGTTGTCACATGTAACCTTCCGCATTCGTGTTATCTGACTATATCGACGTTCGCCGCCATTCCTCGCTTCCTTCCTTCATTTCTTTGCTCGGCTCCTCTTCTCTGGGCATGTCAGAACAATATCCTCATCACAGACTCCGGGCACGCTACCCTCTCAGACTTCGGCTTATCCCAAGTCATTGAAGACTTGGTCTGCCCTACAGGAATAACGCCGTCTAAGTTCGAAGCCGGCCCTATCCGTTGGCAAAGTCCGGAATTCCTCATGGACGTATCGGAAACCTGTCGTCCACAGCTTCCTGGTGATGTTTGGAGTTTCGGGTGCACCGCGTACGAGGTGGGCGTCGTTTGCTAGTATACATATTTGACTAAACGTTTGCTTTATTTGATATGTAGCTTTTGACAGGAAACGTACCATATCACTTTCGCCGACGTGATTCAACGGTCATTCACGATATCCAGGCCGGTATTCCCCCACCGGGTGTGGAGGAGAACAGTTTACACCGGGGTGATGGTGGAATTTGGGACCTAATGAATGATTGTTGGATTTCTTCGCCAGCGGAGAGGATTCATATGACGGAGGTCGTGTTTAGGTTGAGGAAACTCTGCTCCCGTTCATCCTGCGGCTCTTCTCCCCCTTCTGGTGCTTCGTGCGCTTCCTCCTACACCACAGCTACCTCCGCATCCACAGACGTACTTATCGCCCCGGCCGATAAACGACAACAATAAACGACATGTCCGGTGTAGTTCAGCTCATGCTTGAGGCCTGAGGAACCCTCTTAATGTCCAAATCTGAGGCCTACCGTAACTTTTTCTTACAACTTTTTCGCGAACTATTCACGGACGAATCTTACCCTTATCAGCAGACACTAACTTCGTTAAACGAGTGGATTTTAATCATAATCCTTATAATGAAAACTTACCCGATAATACTAACAGACTCAACCTGATACACAAATGCCTCGCTCATTTGTGGCGAGTCTTTAATTCTTCGTAATCTGTAATCAATCTATAATAGTTATGTATAGTAATCTCCTGTCTTGTACAACTTGTCTGCAGCTGTTGTATGTACGTTGACCAAAACCCGTAGTTTAAAAATCAATGAAACTTGAAACCCATTGCCATAACTAATGAAATATATGTACCCTCTCCGCTTTCAGCTTGTTAACGCTTGAGGTCGAAACTCCGTGATTTCACAGTGGATTCATTTTTGAATTTGTGCAGTCGATGAGTGACCAGTACTATTATCGACGAAACCCACACCATGACTGATTTGATTTTTTCCTTTTCGCCGAGACCAGTCCTCCGAAGTCTTCCGCCGTGATCAGAGAATCTATTGAGCACTGCCTTGTCCTCTCTTCTTCTATGTAAAGTTTAAACATAATTATCGCTAGGTATCACGGCAATTGACAACAACGAATGCACTGGGGCCTGCGAAAATGCGTTCTGCCACAAGTTGAAGACGCCAGACTGGAAAGATTCAATAATGGGACTTCCATCTCTGTCAAACCCTGGCTTCAGCTTGGCTCGGCCCAGTTCTCTTTCGTCACATATAGTGTCCAGCTCTATTACCTCCAAGCACTGGACAAGAGGCCAATATCAAATTCGAAATGGCAGAAACTGACGTGAGGTATGTACATAGCCATATTTTTCCGTTCGCTCATTTCGAACCTACGCTGAACCGAAGGTACTCAAAAATCAATGAACAATCAGAACAACGCCCAGGTAGCGTAGATTCTGAGGGTAAGAGATCCATCTCTGGGCCCGTTCTTCTCCACTTCAACATCGCCTCCTACTCTATTGAAATCCTCTTGTTCCTTCTCTTTTATTCTAGAGTCCGCAACAGCATTTCGTACAGCTTCAAATATCAGATTCAACGGTTCGCGTATCTTGAATGGGAGGCAATGCTCATTCACTCACATCGAGTTTGTAGCCACGTATGAGCACGTATGTGATGGGTTAGATTTGCTGTCGCTCTACTAAGGACCCCGGAAGCTCCTGCCAAACCCCACCCGCCCAGGCAGCCTCAAGTACGCTACGATTTTGGCCTCAAGCAGGCCTCAAGTACGCTAATTCGGATAAGGAATGTGACGTGAAATCGTAAAAATTGCTCTGAAAATACCAAATTTTCTTCCCCAAGCCTGGAATCATCTTTCTGTACGTTTTTTTTGACTATTATCGCTGCATCCGGAGCTCTTCTGAGCTTCTTTGCCCAAACTCCGGTGCCAGAGCTCCACATACGTCCATTGGGCCACCAAGTCAGCCAATAGATACCCAAAGTACGCTATCTCGGACAGGGATTGAGCCTTCTGAGGCCTAAAGTACGCTAATTTCAGCCAAGGAAAATGGCAAAATTGGGTCCTAAAGTACGCTAATTCGGATGGGGTCTGGTAGGAGCTTCCGGGGTCCTCTCTACTACCTCTTCATTCTCTTCTTGGCCGAACTTTGATCTCTTACATCCATCTGCTACGATATTCCCACGGTTTCAAACCGAGAGAACGTACAAAAAAGATAGGATACGACTCAAGTAGTAGGCAATAAAACGAAAAATCTCAACTGAAAAGAAGGCCTAAGGTATAGGGCCAACTGCTACATACCAACACCACTACAAAATGTCGCGACAATCGACGCTAAGTAGTGCCGGAACTCTAAGACGAGGAACCCCGAATAAAACAAGACCAGAATCGGTAAACGAAGTACTAGAGCCAACAGAAACTGATAATACACCAACAGTGACAGCTACAAAAGAACAAATAGCCAGGGAATACCTCACCAGCAAAGCAGCCATCATAGGCACGAACGCGCTATTAACCAAGGAAGACGTATACGACGCCATGCTACGGGCTACCAGACTGCCGAAGAAGGAAATAGATGTTACACTCAAAATGGTAGAGCATGGGATTACGCTATTGAGGGATATTGATGAAAAGAGAAGCCAACGAGAACTACTAGGAGAAATAAAGGGTGCAGTTGAGTCTTCGTTTGCAAAACTAGACATAGAAAAACAATTACAGCACCAGCTCACACAGGTCAGAAATGAATTCAACGAAAGGTTAGACTCTATTGCGGCCAACATCAACGGAACAGAGGAGAAGATAGACTCTATTGCTAAGAAGAGTCAACCAATTACACCCGAAATCTCCTACGCTGACATCACACGAACGAATGGTAAAAGAACAATGGCTCCGACGCAGGCCATGACGCGACAGAGAATGCGCGCTCACGTTGAAGTAAAACGCCGACAAATTCTTATCCTGAATGCAGGAAATGACGCGGGGAAGGAAATTATTAGCAAAAACCCGGGAGAGATGCTAAAATACCTAAACAACATGCTAATTAAGATGGGCGCCCTGAACAAGGGCACTTTTGTCTCTGCAACGAAACTAAAGAACACTGACAATCTCCTTACAGAAGTGAGCTCGCCCGAGCTAGCAGACTGGATCCATTGAGTCGAACAGATGATACAATTTACGACCTTATCTAGCCAAGCGCTAACGATCGCCGACAAGGAATACGAAATCATACTACACTTTGTCCCAACAACTTTCGGCGCAGATGACGCATTCGAACTGCGACAACTAGAAGACATCAACGATCTTCCAACCTGCTCTATCACGCGAGCAAAGTGGGCCAAAGCAGTGCAGAGACGAAAGGAAGGACAACGCGTTGCAAGTCTCCTCTTGTACCTCAACAACGCAAATGCTGCAAATCGACTACTACTATCTGGCGCAGTCATAAGCAATAAAAGAGTTGAAGCCGAGAAAACGGTCAGAGAAGAGAAAAGGTGTTACAAATGTCAGCGATTCGGACACATAGCAGGACAATGTACCGAAGAAGTTGAAAATATATGTGGTAAGTGCGGAGAACACCACAGCACTGCTAACTGCTCCTCTGAAAAGAGATACTGCATTAACTGCAAAACCGATGAACACGCCAGCCTAGACCGCGAGTGTCCAATCTTTCGACAAAAATGTGAGTCACTTAACAAGCGCTCCCCAACCAATTTACTGCCGTTTTTCCCGAGTGACGAGGAGTGGACCTGGGCTGAAGAACCAGACAACGCACCTAGGATGGGACCACCACCGAAAATCACCTTTCGTCAGGATCGACATCGACAACGCCAAACGCAACTCACCGGCTGGCAGCAGAGCAACCAACTCAACGTAAATACGCTCCCACTAGGTGGCCCTCTGCGTTGGGGATCACAAGACCCTACAGGATCGCAAAATGAAATAGCAGATATAAGCGACGAAAACCAGGGAAGTTTATGTTAGGAACAGAACACTTTACTGACGAAGTAAAAATTATACAGATGAATTTACACAAATCAAGGACAGCCACATTCGACCTAATCAATGAACCCGAGAACGCAAATGCACTATCCAAGACTCATGACTTTGTTTGCATACAGGAACCTTGGACCGATAGGGTAGGAAACGCACGGAAAGGCTCGCGATGGCACATTATCTACCCCACGTCAAGACTCAGCATGGAGAGTGGAGTGTTACTACGAAGCATAATCCTCATCAACCGGAAAATCTCCAGCAATGTCTGGCGACAGATTGATGTCCCGGGTACGAATGATATCACAGCGATACTACTAACTGGCCCCTTTGGAAAGCTAGGGATCTTCAACATCTACAACGACGGTAAACACTCAATCACACTAACAATTTTAAAGCATGCAATGGACGCACTCCGCCGAGCCATTCAACCTGACAATGATCTTCACGTCATATGGTGTGGCGACTTCAATCGTCACCACCCAATGTGGGATGACCCAGCGAACCACCACCTTTTCACTCCCGTCGCCATGGAAGAAGCTGAGAAACTGATACATCTAACCTATACTCAGGAGCTCGAGATGATCCTCCCCCCGACAATCCCCACATACAGGGTGGCATCCACCGGGATTTGGACTAGGCCGGATAACGTCTTTCTATCAGAAGCCACAGTACAAGCACTAGTCTCCTGCGATGTAACGCCGGAAGCAATGACCAACGGTGCGGATCACATTCCTATCTCCATGGTACTGAGTCTCTCCCTCCTACAAGCACAGCCCTCCCCCAAAAGGAACTTCAGGACCGCAAACTGGGAAACCTTCAACGAGTACTTCGCAGAGGAGCTCGAGAAGATCCCTCCACCATATGAGATAACCACGCAACAACTACTAAACACGGCGGTACAGGACATCACAAGAACGATACAGCTAGCTATCGAAAAAGCAATTCCACTTAGCCAGCCATACCCAGCTTCAAAAAGGTGGTGGACGAGCAAACTCTCCGAGATGAAGAAGGCCCTCAATCGGCTAAGTGCAAAATCTTATAAATACAGAGCAATACCTGATGACGATTCACACAGAGAACTCAGAGAACTACGGACCCAGTACAAGGCCCTGATCTTCAAGGAGAAAGAAGAACACTGGAAGGATTTTCTGGACAACGTCGATACGGATTCTATATTCACAGCAGCCAAATATGCCACTACCCCCAACATAGATCAGGATACAACAACGGTCATCCCGGAGCTAAAGGCCCTCGATGAAAACGGAGCAGTAAGGCGAATAGCGAGTACAAATGAGGAAAAAGCAGCCCTACTGGCAGAAACTTTCTTTCCTTCTGCACCGAGAAATTACTCACTAGACCGCAATCCCTGCAGAGACCAACTTCCGAACCCACCGCCAATCACTCAACAACGGATCATCGATGCGCTTCAGTGACTGAAATCGTACAAGGCCCCAGGACCAGACGGAATACCGAATATCATCCTCAAAAAATGCGCGGGAATGCTAGCGCCTTACCTATGTGAAATATACAACGCCATAGGATACCTGAAGGCATACCCAAAAGAGTGGCTAAACTCCACTACGGTGGTGATCCGAAAGCCCGCAAGGAAGTCCTACTCCCTACCTAAATTGTATCGTCCAATTGCACTGATTAACACATTAGCCAAAGGTTACATCTCGATTATAGCGGAGGACATCACCTTCCTTGCCACACAGCACAACCTTCTCCCAGACACCCAGTTCGGAGGTCGACCGTGTCGAATGACGACAGATGGCATACACATGGTCATAGACAAAATCAAAAATGCATGGCGCAATAAAAGAGAGGCTTCCATGCTATCCCTAGACATCGAAGGAGCCTTCCCAAACGCGGTCACTCAACAACTGCTATACAACTTGCGAAAACGACGCATCCCGGAACGACTGGTGCAGGCAGTATCCCTCTCTCTCAAAGGGTGCGTAACTCGACTCAAATTTGGTGACTTCACTTCTGCGCCTATCTCACTTACTAATGGCATTGGACAAGGGGACCTGCTGTCGATGATAGCCTACCTCTTTTACAATGCTGACTTTTTTGATATCGCATTCAAGTCGCGACGGCAGGGCCTCTCAGTTGGCTTCGTCGATGATAAGAACATACTGGTGGAAGGAAAAAGCCTAACGGGTAATGTGGAGATGCTTGAATCCTTCATGAACAAACCAGGAGGAGGCTTCTCATGGGCAACGAAACATAACTCCTCCTTTGAACTCTCAAAACTCGTACTCACTCACTTCCCCAGACCCAAAACCAAACAGGAGGCACCACCACCAGCCCTAGTCCTACAAGGAACTGCAGTTACAGAGAAAACTGAAGTCCAAATGCTCGGGATAACTCTCGACTCAAAACTGAAATGGAATGAGCAAGCGGCACAAGCCGCTGCCAAGGCATCGAGCATTGCCTCGGCGTTCTGGAAGCTAAGTCGCCCGTCTGCTGGAGTCTCTCTGAAAATGATGCGTAAACTATATCTAACAGTGGTTATCCCCAAAATGACCTATGGACTGGACGTCTGGTACACCCCCCCGCATCGGCCTGAAGGGGCAAAAAACCGCAGAGGCTCACTAAAAGCACTACGAAACTTCACACGTATACAGCGAATGGTAACCATCACAACAGCGGGCGCAATGAGGTCATCCCCAACGGATCTCCTCGACATTCACACAAATCTGCTCCCCATGGACCTCATGCTGGAAAAAATATGTCACCGGGCCATCTTACGGATCTACACCCTCCCAGATGAGAACCCAGTAGTTAAAATCGCTCAAGCTGCCTTCCGGCAACGGCGGGTAGAGAAGATGGCACCCCTGCTGAGACTCCTCCCAAGAATCTTTGGCCTCCCATCACCAGCTATGGTCGAAACAATAACCTCTCCCCAATGCACTGCCCAGTGGACATCCCCAATCGAAACTAGGATCTTGAAGAAAGACGACGCTTCTCGATCACTGGAAGAGGAATCGGCCACATACAAAATCTTCTCAGACGGCTCAGGGTATGGGGGAATGACAGGCGCGGCAGCGGTACTGTACAAAAACGGTCAACTACTCACAGATGCAGTCCTCCGATACCAGCTAGGACCTATAACAGAACACACAACATATGATGCAGAAGGAGTAGGCATACTGCTGGGACTACAGCTAATAGATAGGTACGTGAACGAACCTAATCACTTAAGTTCATTAATCTGCCTTGATGGCCGCTCAGCCATAGAAGCACTGGAAAACCGCCTCCCAAAATCTGGCCAGAACATAATCGAAGCGACACTACGAACAGCGAAACGGATGGCCAAGGCGAACAACACAGAAAAGATCTCTACAATAGCATGGATCCCAGGACACTGCAGAATCGAGGGTAATGAGCGGGCCGACAGAGAAGCGAAGAAAGCAGCAGAAGGAAACACCAGTGCAAAGGTGGACCTCCCTGCGTACCTGAGGAATGGAAACCTACCTGCCACGGCTTCAGCAATACAGCAACATTTCCACAAAAGCCTGAAAACAAGATGGGCGCACCGGTTCTCCAAATCACCGCGACACGGGAAGTTTACTATCATTGACCCAAGGGGAACTAACTCAAAGTTTGCAGAAAATACAGGGGAGATGCAACGAAAGCAAACAAGCATCCTATTCCAACTGCGAACAGGACATGTGCCCCTAAACTCGCACCTCCACAGGATCGGAAAGGCCGACAGCCCAAACTGCCCACACTGCGACACTGCAGGGAGGACAACCATAGAAACGGTAAAACACTACATTACTGAATGCCCTGCCTACAGGAAGGAACGATTTTGCCTACGACAAAAGCTAGGAAGACAAACCCGGTTGCTCCAATACCTCTTATCAGACAAAAAATGCATTCCACACTTGCTACGATACGTAGGGGGGACAAAACGTTTCGAAAAAACCTTCGGGGACGTGACCCCAGCAGACACAAATAACCCACCCCCAACCACTCGAGCCTAACGACGAACAAATACCCTCGCTTGGCATGCGCACAAAATAGATCAGGGATTACAACTGTAGTTAAAGACAGCGCTACTAACCACAAGAGACGAGCTAACACTACTACCTACACTCATCCCATCCTATTCCCTATGCCACCGACCATTTCGTTGGCTCCATTGAGCCCATCGCTGATTACAAATATCTCCTATGTATTACAGATATGTACAGCTCAATTCCTCCAGCCTTAGGCAAAGGTAGACGACAAAAACAACTCTAGGACGAGTTGGACCAGAGGGGGATGTAGATCCGTCTGTGGGGCTTTCGTACCTGGAGGAATTAGAGCAGGCCAGGGGCCACATAGATAGTCTATGCGCATCATGAGGTCCGCCTCCGCGCGCAATAAAATGATATTACAGCTGGTTGCAGTACCGAAGGCGCGCCAAGATATTTGCCGAAATTCGCCGGATTTTATGAATCTGTCGAGGTCTATCTTCCAACATAGATATCTTGCTCAAAAATCAATATTTTATTGAGATTTTAATTTCATTGGCCTGCGATTGCAAAATTCTAAGTCCTGATTGAAACGTCCATGTGGTTAGCTTACTTCAATAAAAAGTTATAGGAAGAAGTGTTATTATGCCTATGTCACAACTATTTAAAGTATTCATACCTCTCAAAATGTTAGTACAGTGCCCTTGCATCTGCTATTGAGGCTACATTGAAGACTTGAAGTCAAAGAATTTGAAAGTATGGAAGTCTGCTGTGATCCATGTGAAATTTTATCACTCCCTTGCGCACACACCATTCATCTGTTTTTCACTCATCCAAAATTTCATGAGACCCATTACAAGTCAGCGCAATACCTCAGAGGATGAATATGAAGCATTAAATAGGCTTGAAGCTACTATGATGAGGAATGAGGGATCACAACAAGAGGTACGTGGCATTCAATGTTTGCTGGTATTACACCTTGTAACATGCTTTTTGCAGCCTCAAAACAAATTCTCTATGCTAATTGATGAGTTTGAGAATCATTATCACCATCTGGATCAATGAGATAGTCTAGGATTGTTGAATGCTGGCAGTAACCCACTTCCTCAAAATTTCAATCCATTGCAACCCGTCTTCGAGCCCCATTTTCTCAAATTCCTTCTGGTGTGCCCTCAGGTACATACCTGAAATATCATATGTCCATTTTGGTTGCTGTGTCTGCTAAATTCATTGAGAGTTTCATGTTCGGGTGTCGAAAGACTCAAACTGTCCTAACTTTTGAACCACATGCACTACCACCATGGATGTTTCACTCAGGACTTAGTATTCTGCAATTGCAACCCGATGCAAGAAGAATCTAAGCGTAATAATGATTTTTGAGCTAGATATGCATGTTGGAAGATAGAGCTTCATAAGTTTATAAAATCCGGCGAATTTCGGCAAATATCTGCGCGCGCCTTCGGTACTGCAAATAGCTGTAAAAAAAAAAAAAAAAAAAATTCTCTTCTTCCTGGTATTCCTCTTCCTCTGCTTCGCCGTCCTCGTGACAAAAGTCATTCAAGTCCTTCCAAAAGTACTCTGTCGCCTCGATACGCGGCTGTTCGTACCTGCTCCTTCCAACCCCGGGCCGTCGGAAACTTTTTGGCGAATACCCACTGCCAACCCAGGCCACTGGTCGTTCGGAGCCCCAACGTACCATTGGCATCTATCAACCTCACCACATTCAACTCTGCCACAGAACAGTACCAAACTTCACAGAGAGATAGTATCAACGCCGACTGCAATTTTCATGAGCAAATTCAATTAACACGTATGTACTTATACTCTACATGCAATTTCTTCACACTCCTTCTGAGCATTAGACACGTGGAAATGGTCGAGAGACTTTCCAAAAGTAGAAACCGAACATGTAGAGATCAATTTTTAGCATAGAGGGTAAGTGTACAGACATATTCTAGTCCTTTAGACACTGCATAAGCGGGACTGAGTTTCTGCATCCGAAAGCTCAGTATTTTCTAGTCAAAGATCAACGTTCAACAGGCAGAGAGAGGAAAAAAGGCGTTGAGTGTGGTATACTGATGCCCTTTGAGCTTCAACCCATTCACAGAAGTGTACACAGGTGTAGTGATACATATGTAGTACAAAAAGCTCGTTATCTAAATGGCTCCGAATCCATCTTCAACTCGTTCTAACACTCGCCGCATTTGAAGCACGTTCTGCAGTATACTTCGCCACTTCCTTGCTTAACGTTACCTGCTGCGACTTGACAAGGGCCATTATCTCTTGAATGTCCTTAGCACCAGGTCCATCCGCGTCGGCGGTGGCGTTGGGGTTGACGGTGGCATTAGCGCAGTATGGCTCAACCTGAATCATCAGCGCAAGGACAGCTTGGAGTTGATTTGGTAGCCACTGGTGAGAAAAAGAAATTGCAGGTCAAAAAAATGAAGGTCTTGGATATTGCACTCACAGTAACGATCGGACTCCCTCCAGTCGCCGTGGGATGTTTACTGAACTTCAAAATATACTCTCGTGTAAAGCACCAATGCCGCCATCTGAACTCTCGCACATAATCCAACGCTCTCAGATACAACTCCGCTGAATCTGGATCTTCCAGCGCAAACTGTCTGACACTGGCTTTCTCGGATTGGTCTTTGACCGCTTGAAGGAATTCCCGATGGTTTCCGGGTCGATATTGTCGGAAATCTTGGAGGATTTCGGTTAGAGGGGTATCGGGCATAGGGATTTGGAGGAGGTTGTCGCAGAGGGGAATCTGGAAAAAGAAAATTGGTGCTGAGAAAGCATTATGAAGAATTTCTTCCATGGTGCGTACCATACTATCATTCGCGCCAGACTCCCCTCTAAAGGCCATCGGTTCCTCACTAACACCTTCATAGACCACCCCTTCCGGAAACATACTTTGACTAGTGATCCCAAAAATGAACGTTCTAAACGTGTTATACCCATTCGGTTTGCTCTTGCCCCACATCGTATCCATAACTCTGTTGATCTCCTTTAATGCTTCCAAAAGATCTTTCATCCCCGCATCGAACCTTGGACGGTCAGAGGTCAAAGCCCCGTTGAGAGCCTGGACTGCACCGCTGATGAGGAGACCGGAGTGGGAGACCATGGCAATGTGCACGAAGACGAAACCGGCCTCGGAGGAGGAGGGGTTGAGACCTTGTTCAAAGGCACGGATAAGGCGGAGGTTGGAGTAGGTTAGTCCAAGGGAAGGGTCGGCGAGGCGGTAGTTGTATAGCGCGTAGGACCCCGCGTATTCCATGAATGGTTTGAACCCGGCACTGCGTTGGAAAAACAAGAAAGGTTTGTTAGGCAAAGATAAAAACCGAAGGGATGTATATAGCACGTACATTTCAGATACCTTAACCATCGGCTTCGCAATTACCTCTGGCAACCTTTGTCGCCCCAATCCATACCCTTCCCCCTTCAAGAACCTCAAATGACACGGTTCTAACAAGTACGCACTCAAAAGGAAAGAATAATCTCTATAAATTGCATTCATTATTCCCGCGTCGTCTTTATATTTCTCGACCTCTTCGCTCAGATCAGGCAATTCCTTCTCCACTGTTTCACCGAGCTTTCCCTCGGCGAGTAAACCGGGGGTGCCGTCCGCTAAGACGATGGGCATCCGGGTTAGGAGAGATTCTAGCGGTGCAAAGGAAGGGGGGAGGGTGGCAGGAGGGTTATTTACAGGAAGAAAACCGCGATGGGTAGAGACGGTGAAGGGCATGGTAGAGGGAGAGATAGGGGAGTTGGCGTTGAGGATGGGGAAGGAAAATTCCATTGGTGAGTAGTTGGATGCTTGGTTGCGATTAACAAAGAGGGGGTTGCACTGTAGGAGTGCGGTGAGATTTTAGATGAAGTCCTTGCAAGCTAATAAAATAGTCAGGAGGATGGATCCGTGCCGGCCACGAAATCGTCTGACCTTTTTCATTATGTCTCGTTCGGACCTTCTTTGGATTGAACAACGTTTATTTTGAGGGCTCAACCCACATGTATTCGACGATTATATGAACGTTCCCGGCCTGAACATTCTTAATATGCTATCCAAGGTCCTGACAGGACCAATCATCAAATGACACCGATTAACGTTACCTCCGCCGCGATCATGCATAACGTCGACAAGGAATTCACCCTATCATGATGGTCAGCGATGCATGACTTTTACCTGCTTCTGGTTGATTACTCGTATCTTACCGGTACTCGAGGTCTAGAGTTTATGCAACTTTCTCCTAGAATTCCAGGCACTGAGAATGATTATGGCGATTGGACGATTGCGCAAACGGACTCGGAATATTAATCGTCTCCGTTCAGCGATTCTCTTCCTATCTATCTTCTCCGAACATGAAGCATAAGCCTCTTTTGATTCTTCTCTCGATTCTTCCGCACTCACAGTCCGTCAAAATTCATTTTGCTTCCAATCAAACACACTTATCACTGCGTGTACCACTACAGCCTAGTGACTATATCTTCCACCGTCAATGACTTTGGTATCCGGAATTTGGACAGCACCGTTGAAATTGGCGAGCCAGCGATTCGTCTCGACGCTCTGGTAAAACATCTAGAAGCCTAATAAAGGGAATGGGTGAATACATCAAAATGTGGAAAGCAGTTACACACCAAGGACCATTCACATCAATGCATCTCGACTTGTAACTATGACTTTGCAAGCTGAGGACAGTATGAGGGATCGGAAAAAGGACGGAAAAGGAGACTGGCCCAGCCAGTACATGTTTTCACATGACCGCGTGACAAACATTTAGACACGTCGTCTTCTGCGCAGGTATCATCTCGACTGTATGCGTAGTCACTACGATCTTTGACAAATTCAACTCATAAAACAGTTCGGGTTGTTCATGAACGATTATTCGGGTGAATACAAGTGAGCTCGTGCGTACCTGGTTGTACTTTGATTCCAGGTCTCAAATTTCGCATTATTCACTGGCAGGACTCACATATAGGATTCAAGCGGTGCTCAAACTAGATGGATTTGCGGGATTCTTGAGGGACTTTTCAGGGGATCACAGGGAAATAAATCCACTGAGATAGATGGAAAAGTGGACTTGATTTGGGTGCGTTTCTCACATGGGTACATTATGCAATCAAGTTCATCTGTAAGTAGGATGACTCCCCTACAAGACATTTGAAGACGATAGAAGTACCTCTACATACATAGACGACTGCGCGGAGGCCCCCAGAATCTCCTGCAGAACCTCACCCGAAATAGCGTCATTTTGGGCCCGATTTTGACGATTTCCTGGTCCTAAAATAGCGTCATTTTCAGTCAAAATCCTTAGTCCTTGTCCGTTTATAGCGTCATTTGAGTCGGCAGGAGTCGGCGCACCAGCACCAAACCAAAAAAATTTTAAGCACCGGAAAAAAATGGAAAAAGAACACCAACATTTGACAAAAGATGAGGCTGTAAGAGGTCGGACAGTGAGCGTCGAGGGTGAGAACGAACAGGCGCCTAATCGAACTCAATCGCCACTCATTATCTTATCTCGGAAATTTTGAAGAAAATTTTGGAAAATTTTTCGATTTCACGTGACGATCCTGGTCCGAAATAGCGTCAATCATGGCAAAATCATAGCGTCAATTAGGGCGTCAGGCCGGGTGGGGTTCTGCAGGAGATTCTGGGGGCCTCTGCGCGGACTCACTGTAATGACAGTGCTCGGTAAACTTTCCATCACTGGCATCGTCTGCGTTTGCATCAGACCGCAACTGAAAACGAATTTAAACTGTCTGGCTCGACTTTATGTAAATAAGAATCCAACGTTTCCTTGAAGTTCGTTAGAGTTCGTTTGCCTATAGCACGCCGACCTTCCCTCGAGCTGGTCTCATTCAATAAACCCCTCAGTAAGTCATCTCCTTTTTTCTTTCCTTCTTCTATTCTCTGTACTCTCTCATTTGTATTGCCTTCCCAATTTTTTTTCTATAATCTATCCAAAAGTTGGGATTGACTAGTGATTACTCGCCCTCGACTTCAACGCATCACATACACCTCAGCGTTTTACCCGTTCCTCGCGGCCAACATCCAGCAAAAGAATGTGTCCCATCATATCCTTCCATAAGCTCGTCGTCGCATGCATCATCCTTCTCAGCTGTCTCGAGTTGATCGCCGCCTCGCATTTGGTCGTTGGCAGGGGGACAAGAGATAAAATCAAAGCCTTGCTAGGTTCCAAAAAGAAAACTGAACCTAGCGTTCCTGGTATGATTTTTGTATTCTCCAATCATATATCAATGTAATGCTCCACAGAGCTTCCCGTTAGCTTTTTACTTAGAGCAACAACACCCCCTCAATACGCTCTCGTCTTAGGTGACAACACTATATTCAAGAAGGATGAACACAGCATTGGGATGGTTAGGAGGCTTTCTGGCATCAAGATCCCCTTGGGTATCAGCGTGAACTATTTAGAGGATACAACCACAACGAACATTCTTGCAGAGGACATTAAATTACCGGGAACGAACTGGCATTGGATCTTGGAGGCGGCGATAAGCCTGAGTAGGTATTCTGGGAAAGATTTGGATGAAGCAGAGGAGGTGAGGTTCGAGCAGTCGATACGATTGGCTAGCCTGTGATCCACGTAAAATCAAAGTTAGAAAGAGTTAGAAGGGTTGGTGCTTAAAAGGGTGGGTTATTGGAGGCAAAATTGTATATGAAGATTACACTGTCAAGGATAGGATATTTAAATTGTACTGGCTAGGTCCGCTTCAAGTATCTTTACTGGTTCCGTCGACGCCCTCTTGCAATGATTTGCATTTATCAGGAGCTATTTTGATAGAACTGGCAGAAAGGTGACTAGGACGCAATGCTAACGCCGTCTTCCTTCCTTCCCTCCCTCGTTCATTCATCACCCTTCGTCGTTTGGGTCAAATTACAAATACTAATTGATGATAGACTACTTACTAGTAGACTCTAGTAGACTGTGTCCAGATCCGGATTTCAATGTTTTCAGCACAATGATGCGTATGTTGGAGGTGGCACATCTGGCATGGAACTCCTAGTAGTTCCGCTCATTCGGCCCTCGACATCTCTCGCCCCAGGCTCAACAAAACCCTCCAGCCGTCGCATATGCTCCATCACCCGATCAATATTGTTCCTCATTTCTTCATTCCACTCCTGCAATAATGCTACCTGAGATCTCTGAGTTGTTTCAGTATGACCGCGATCATGATTCTGCAGTCCAGCTGCAGCCGTTGGATGCCCTAAGCGGCGTCCAATTTGCAAAGGCCGGTTTGACGCCGCTACTTGAGGCATCGGCGCAATTGCAGTATTTTCTGGATCGTTATTAGGAAGAACGCCTTTTTCTCTTCGTGGTGAACCGTTAGTGGCGGGGGTTATGGGTGTACTTCGTATTTCTTCCATACGGTGCAAGTGCTTGTGGTGTCGTTTACGCAAAATGAGGAAAATGCAGATCCCGACAGCCAATGCTGTCAATAAGACAGTTACAACAATTTCTGCAATAACTGTTGTCGATTGAGCTGTGTGAGTACCTGATTGCGCGGGATCAGTAGATTGTACGATGATGGTAGAGCTCGGTGAAGGACTGAGGAACGTTTCAGTATGAAGAAATATGCAGATTACAGCAGACAGACATTGTGTTTTCTTCAGAACTTGAAGAGGTTGAGGTAGGATTCGCAGACCGGGAAATTGTACCAGATTCACCCTGGACAGTAGGAAGGGCCGGCCAACCACTTGATAATTGTTAGTTGATATCATATGAATAACAAAATACTTGAACGAACCTCGCGTCTGACCAAAAATTTGTTACACTACCAAAGGGAAAACTTGACTCTTCAAGGAAAGGCCCCTGCCGTCTGTTCAAACCACGTACGACTGGCGGGGGAGAAGAAGTATTGGGTCGGGTCGCAGGCGTTACGGGAGTGGTGTATAAAGTTGAAATTGTGTGTATGGTCGTGGAAATGAATGGCATAGATAAGGGATCGTTCCGATTGGAAGGCTCTTTTCAAAATTTCAGTATATAAGTGTGGTGTCCTTGAGCTGTTGAATCCAAATACGTGACTCACAGCGAGGCTGTAAGTCCAGAAGAGGGATGATTTTACACCCTATAGAAGGCATAAGAATATGAAGAAGTTGCTAATTTCTAGCCTGAACACGGCTACTCACAAGATTCAATGCAAACGTGAGCTAGTATTGATCGCCTCGGTAAACGGGAAGAGAGCTGAAGAGAGGGTCTTGAGGTCGTCATTCCATGTTGAACCTTATATCGTTCCAAAATTCGAAACGATTGCATGGAATGACCGACACAAGGTAAAACGGACTGGATACTCAATAGTATCACTGGAAGCTGTCTGGCGAAGGTCGCAGTGGCAGATGTCAAATTTGACGGCAGTGCTAGGAATACAGGTTTGATTTACTGAACTTGAACCCTCTCGTCACTGCTCTCCGTATTCTAACCTAGAACTCGACGAAATATGTGAATGAGGAGCGATTCCTGCTTTGAGTATGAGTACACGAAGAACAAGCCAAGCACAAGTCACCCACTTGCCACGTTGAAAACGGAGCCCCATTGAAACTTCATGCACGAAACTGAACTTCGATCATGATTGAGAAAAATAGAAAAATAGAGAGTGATATGAGAGGAGAATGAGGCTATGCCGATATTTGAGTTTTGTAAAAGACGAGGATAGATTGAGGAACGCCACGAGGAGTGAACATTATGACCGGGACATCAGTATGAATGAAGAAAAAAAGTGGATTGATAGACACGGAAAAGCCCAAAATTGACCGCCAGTTAACGTTGATCCTACGAGGGCGGGAAAGAAAAGAGACGAGGCTGTGACGTCGTGAGCGCTTATAATACTTGCATAAGCGCCAGTGGTCTGCTAGACCTTACTCTTTGCGAAAAAATTCGGGGTATGTTTAAATACATGAAACAATAGGTGTACAGTACAGTCAAAAAACAATTTACTGAGGGATACTAGAAGGTACTATGATACAGAATTCAGGAAGACTTTACGGCAAATCGCATTCCGTAATAAAAAGGTTAGAAAGTGACCGAAAATGGTGCTGTGGGCCCCGCAATGGACTCGTACAAAATCCGCTGCCCCGCATCTAGCGACTGACCGGAGTGGTTCAATCATGTTTGAAAACCCCAATAGGTAATCCGACCACCGCTGCCCTCTCTGAAGCTAGTAGTTCACTCAAGCCAACATAATACGCAATGAGCGCCGTTATGATTCCTAAAGCTCCTCCTGCTTTGATTAAGCCGGCAGAGGCATGAGGGGCAGAAGCGACAACGAAATTGCCTGCACCAAGGCACATGAAGGTGAAGGTAAGGAAGAAGAAGAGCGCGATGAAGCCGATATTTTTACGGAGAGAGGCAATACTGCGGAAGAGAAAGTGGGGATTGATTGATTAATCTTCTGTTTTTAAGCTGATGCTTGGTGCCAATACAAACTCACAATAGCAAAAACGTTACTGTCATCCATGTCATGAGGAATATTCCAATCGCATTAGGTTCTTGGGATGGAACGTCGGTGAAAGCATCACTGATACCGGAACCGGGAATGAGAATGGTTGCGTAGGAGAGCCAAAAGGCGCCATAGGAGGAGAACGCTGCGAGAATCACGGTAAGTAATTGATTTTTGGCAATAATAGGCAATAACAAAAGAAAAACGAGCCGAAGCGGCAGAGGGACCGGTTATGTCGCAAGTAAGGTTCTAGGTGAGTCCGCCGATATGTTGTAGGACGAAAGGAGATATAGTAATCATGCGACCCGTGAACGCATTCATCGAATGTGGGGTAACAAAGAGTATGCGGAAGGCAAAGGCAAAGGCAAACGAGAAAAAACCGAAGGGGAGCTTACCTGTAGCACCAAATGTGTTACCCTTGGCGAACTCCCACATCCCAGCCAAGAGCTGTACAAGTCCCCCACAGAAGAGAGCCATGCCGACTACGACATTCGGCGTGTTAACGCCCCGGGCCGAGGTATTGTACAGTGAGAGAATCAGTGTCGTCGATGCGAATGAAAACAAGCCGCTGCCGTGGTCAATGTGCTTGAGAAAAAAAAAACTACGGCAACAGAAAAAAAGACGGCTTACAGAGTCCCAGGATTGGCAATGTTGGTTCTCACTGGTGTCGTCGGGGAGTTTCTGTACGCCGCAGAGCCATTGTCGGCATATGGACGGTGGTCGACGCCAGAAGTTGTCGTAGTGGTTGTTCCTTTTTCCAGATCGGCCATGGGGGTCAAGTATGAAGCGGGAGTGAAGAGGACAAAACACACATAACTGGCTTTTGTACCCCGGCCAAACCCTGTCAAACCCCGGTTCCCCGCATACCCAATATTTGAAATCTCGTAACGATCTTATATATTTTCATCATACGATCAGGTCTGTCAATCACCATTTCCCGACATTCTCGCCAGCGCCTCCTTTCTTCTATTTCTATCTTTCTTTCCACGAAGAACCAGCGAAGAAACTTGTCACTTCTAAAACTGAGCCATTAGTCTCGCCAGCTAACAGCACTGTGCCAGGAGCTACCTGGAGATCTAATTCTCTTTTTTTTTGTCGTCAACTCATTAATATTGTGTGCCCTGTTTTGCCAGGTTGTGCCTTGTTCAATTATTATTCTTGCCGAACAGTTGTGTTGAAATACTTTTTACCTGAGCCCTCCTCCTGGTATACCTCTGTTTACCTCGACCTCGTCATCGTACCAGTCTAAAAAATAGCCAGCCTTGCCCAACTTGTGGCTGAATTTACCGCGAGGTGCTACACTTTCATACTCAGTCTTTTGACATCCGGAATCAAAACGCTCTTGTTCGAACAAGCTCTGGAAGACCGCAGTGCATTCAAACAGACAAGCGGAACAGGTCGAACATAGATACATAACATGTAGATCCGAAGCTATATCTTACTAGTCCAAGTGAGTTCGAATTTTGAGAGTTAGTACTAATCTGGCCGACCACCTGAACAAAAAGGGAGAAGTCGAGACTCCCTCGATAATAATCTTCCAAGTTGGAAGAGCATCTTGCGGAAGGAAAGAACAAGCCGGAGTTCCTCTTCCTTTTCCTCAGAAGATTTTGTATCTCGAGAGAATCACATTTGAGTGCATACTTATTCACAACGCTAGCTCGGAGCCTAAAATGGATTTACTAGGTTGGTTTAGGAAGCACGGTCACCTTCTTCAAATCGATGCAACTTCACCATCCTTAGCATTAAGTATGAGAAGATCGGAATCTGAATGTAATCACCTACTCACTAAGTCCTTGTGGAATTCAATTGGATAAATGTATGCAATTTGCAGTTGTTGGAACGCGCAAGAAAAGATTCATCTCGTAGGCTGAATAGTATATGTCGCTGACACCAATCATTGTTCTGGATTTATCTGGAACATAATACTGTACCTAAGGAACTCATGAGCGCAGTTGTTTCTTGTTCAGAAAAATTTTGATTGGAGCTACAACCTAGTAATGGCTCCCTAGGGCTCCCTTCGCGGCAGTGAAGTAATTTGACCTACATTTGACGGTACGTTGAGTAACATAACACACTTGGTATGCTAGAACATTCGTAAGTAGAGGCAATGATGCAACGGGGAAAAATGTTGAGACTGACAGATAAACTTCCACTGGAACTAGACTGGTTAGCATTCATCCATTATGCATCATGACTTATGGAAAAAACAACCAACAAGGATTTGTCGAAGATTCCGCTGTGGCTCGGACAGACGTGAGAGAGAGAATATTGGACGATTTTATGAAAGGCATTATCGAATGACATCGATGAATCCATCTTGAATTACTTCTGCTTCGTATTTGTACACGAATCGGATCATCCACTCGAAAGAGGAATACCCCCCAAGACGGTAAGCAAACTGTAAGCCAACAGATATAGAACAGTCTATACATACTTCAAGAATAGTGCCAATGTAGGCCAATGTATAGTAACATAAGGGAATGGCGGCGACTTTCCATGTCGATAGCCAGCGACAGCCTTAGAAGGGAGGGCGCCGCTTCCGGTGCCGAGCTGTGACCTTACTTCGAAGCACCCGAACTGGGAACAGAGAAAATCATGACCCTGAGAATCAAACTTGGGCCATGGAATTGCCAGAAGACGTGAAAAGGAGGATGGGCAGCTTGATAAGAGACCAATCTCCTGTCAAAGAAAGTAAAAATAAATCCGGTGAATGAACGACAGTAGACATCGGCGCTTGGGAGTTGGTATCGCATGAAAACATAAGTTTGCAAATCACTGCCGTTGTGGACAATCAACTATCACTTTTCGCTTCGCATCTTACCGCCATGGATAGGATAGGATAGGATATGAATCATACTGGCGAGGTCCGATTCCCGAACGACCAGTTTACCATGGTATTATGTAGTAGACCGGGTACCTGTATAGCCAGAACAAGCTGACAACTATAGCATTTGCGTCATTTTGTTTCTGGCTGCTGCAAACGCCAAAAATGCCATGGCACATACCGGCATATAATTCGGGAGCGAACATATCCTAGTGATATCTTCCATACCATCTCGTATCCCTCAGGCTGTGTCCTGACAACTCCCCGAATTCTTTTGTGGGCCAGATTCTGAGCTCGAGTGCACCGAACGCAATCACAATTTCACTTCTAGGAACTACATGGCCTACAGAAAGAGAAGAATCAGATATCGCTAGTCCTTTCTGAGCTACAGTGAAGTACACCTCGCTGTTGTGGAGAGTGTTATAATGCGATCTTTAGCGGTGAGTCTCCTACACAATCTGGAAATTTGAGTAGGATTTCCAGCGGATGGGTTGACCTCAATGTTGGAGCCTGTCATGGTCGAATTTACGGTGTACTTGTGCAACAATGCAGACTGTCATAGAGGCCTTCATAGAGGCAGGCCTGTCATTTGTAAACACGATGGTTGCTGCAATAGACTCAGTCCAAAAGAGTGAGAAAGAGTGTTCAGAAAATGAATTCAGCGCTTATATTGGCGATTATGTAATTTGAAGAGGCGTCTACTGGTCTACGCAAACCTATGCAGACAGAGCTTGGACCACTCAGGTTTTCCCCAAATCTGGCTGGGTTCAGGTTTGGGCCCTCCCCCTTGTCCCTTTCCCGCTTTTTTCTCTTCCCTTTTTTTTTCTTCTTTCATCGGCGATATTCACTCACTCGTACATTCCCAGTAGTTCAACAGCTGAGTATGATTACACGGGCCTTCTCTTTCTCTCCTGCACACGTCTCATGTTGTAGCATTATAGTAGACCACCACCAAGACATCCTAAACTAGTCCTTCAGTTCTTTTCTTTGCAGTCGGAACAAGCTCCCTATGTGTGACGAACTTCGCCCCTCCCTTTCCACAATACGTCACACGAAATAACTCACATCCACCCAATCCTCCCAATCGCTACCTACGGCACTAGAAATTGAATACTCCGCCGCCTCACTAGCGCTGGTGAGCTCTGTCGCCCAGCTCGCCCGCTCGAGATTAGACGCGCCGGGACCGGTAGTGTTGTAATCGGCGTTCAAGACATTATCAATACTGTCAGCTTCACCGTCCCACAGAGACCATAATGCGGGATTTGGAGCAACATCGAGGGTTGTAGATTCGAAAATGACTCTGAGAGATAAAGGACGAAGGGTTTGTTAAGTTAATACTATCTGAATCATGTTTCGAGAAATGGTCAGCTTACTTTGCGAAATCCGACCATGGCCTTCCGAAATAATACGTTCCGGCGACTGTAGATGGGGCTCCAGTACCTAAGACGACTGTATTCTGGTGGAAGACATCTAGTAAATTAAAAGAGTAGAACCATCAAGTCATTACGATTCAAATGTGGGAAAGAGTATTAGGGAAGGTAAAATGAGCAAGACGACAAGTCATAAACGAAGTGAACTCACAGCTTCCGCTATCGTCCGTCTCGCGCCCACTGGCAGTTATGCTTCCTCCTTCAGCTAGAACACCGATGGTATTTCCACCAAAATATGCCGAACCTTCACGACCGAAAATAAAATCGATACCGCCCTATTATATCAGCCTAAGCTTTAATTTTCTTTCCGAGGAGGGGGCTCAATAGCACCGTGCAGACCGTGCAGTGACTCACTTCAATATACCCCTTCAGATACACCTGCGTTCCCTCGTTCGCATACAATGTGTCTTGATACCCATAAAACCCACACCCATAGAACCCTACCTGGCTCCCGTACTGACTCAAAGCAATAGCCTGAACCCCAGGACCAAACGTGTTTTTGACGTTGACATTGTACATGCTAAAATTATCTTTATGTATCCGTAGTGTGCCGGAAGCGTCGTCGGACCCGGCGGTACTTGCAGGGGAGTTGAAGGTGATTGTGGCGGAATTAGAAGTGTAGGTGGTAGTGTCAGTCGTGTAGCCATAGATCTAGGGTAATAATTGATAACGCTTCTCATATTAGTCGTGATATATATACTCACCGTTAAGGGCCCCGTCCGAGTAATATCAACCTGTTCCGTATAAGTCCCCGGATAGATGAATAAACTTCGGCTCGAAGTCGAATCAGGGAACGAATTCAATGCCTCGGTGATTGTCGCAAATTCCCCGGACGTTGTGGTCCCTGCTCGGACGACGACTGCTCCAGTAGGAGGGGAAGTCCTGCTTGCTGCTAGGGCGAGTTGCACTGAGGCCGGCAGGAAGAGTAAAAATCGGAAGAGGAGAAGAGAGTAACGAGAGCTGGGATTTGGAGAAAACCTCATTGCTTTGTGTGATGTGTGATGAAGGAGAAGGCAGAAGAACCTACACTCATTGCTGGGCGGTACATGCTGATTTATAGTTGTCGAATCACCTTCGGACAACGATGACGGGGCACCACCTGAGCGAAGAAAGGGCCGGTGTTGCGGTCCGCCTATGCCTATGCCTGTGTATGTCGCTGTGTGTATCGTGTGGTTGTCATGCATGTGGTCAAGTTTGAGGAAAAATACTGGATCAACCAAGTATCAGATTCCTACACAGTAGATAGACGTGAGCAACGATTTCACTCTAAGTAATATGATCTAGAGGCTAGAGGATGAACTACATAGGATGAAGCGTCGTTCCGAAAAAGTTGAAACGACAGAAGTCGTCGTGGGAACTTGGGCCTTTGCTTACTTTTTTCCCCAATCGCCAGGTCGATTTGCTGGTCAATCTCGCCATTGGTATGCTTCGATCGTATCCTGACTCTTTCTTTTGAAGGCACCGCATTACTTTGTGCAATGTTCAACTTGAAATGGCTCACCTGGATCACTCACTATGTTTAGGATAACCATGCAACCATTATCTTTGCTCGTCGCTTTAATTTTCGTCCCAATGATTCATCAATATTTTGTCCTTGCATTTCCTTTATCACTCAACAGTACACACTCAAGATAATTCAAAGAACGAGGAGAAGGTGAATTCCGTTCCATTGCAATGCCCAACGGGTTGTACATACCGAAACTTCCATAAAAAAGGCACCATCCAGAATATTCGAATTCTGTCTTTGTTTCTTGGGAACACACCTGGTCGCAATGGCTGCCGCACTGAGTTCGATGAAAATTTTAAGGCTGGGTCAAAAGTGCTCAAACGCCGAACCGTATTCGTACCCACTCCAAGGGAGGATTCATTTCAGGATCCTTCAAGGCAACACGAAGTGCGAACCGGAAGATCCTCGAAAGATTGGATCAGGTCTGCACAAATGATGATATTCTATACTTACAACCTACTACTTGAGCTACATGAATTTGTAAAAAGCCCGGAACCGGAGGTCTCCGACGTGAACTTGGATCTCGGACCACAGGGGATATTTATGCATCGCATGCATCTGCTGTTAAGTCGCGGAGGTAGCGGAGGAGGCTTACCTGTGAATAAGGAGGATTTCCAGCCCTATACAAAGATCCTAACACAGCTTCCCTTTGACTATAAAAAACCACCGTCTGAGAGAATACGTCCCTCCAGTGGGTAGTTGTTTCCTCTCACAATAAACATGCTATAACTTGAAAACATTTGTAGATTCGCCACTTCAATTGGTGCAATTCTTTCTCATACACGAACAGAATCGCCGACCTTTTCGATGCTTCAAGGAAGAAGACACTGTCGGGCGCGATGAATCCTGGACCTTCGTCTTAAAAAATACAGTCGGGGGCCTATGGGGACTTCAAGCAACAATGGAACCTAACGGAACTTGGGTCTATGCAGGAGAAGAGAAGAGAAACTATGTACACATTAAGCAAGACATCACCTTCTATGCGATACTCTTAGGCTCGTTGAAAGCGACACCGGATACAGTCAAAACCGTTCTTACACGGCTCAGACAGGTTCCTGCAGATGTCAATTTGCTATATTTCGCGAATCTGTATGAAGCGGCGGAGGAAATGGTGAAGTCTCCAGAGTTTTCGAACCTCAACTAGATTGGACAAAAATTCTTCCCTAAATGGAAGAGATGTTGATCAAGGGTGGTAGCGCAGAATGTTTTGCAGTCACAGAGACAGAGAAGTTGCGGTACAAGGAGGTGTTGAAGCAATATCGATCCAAGGATACACCCCGAACAGCACCACCCTAGGACACCGCAGCTACAATCTTCTGGAACTCCTCTATTTGAACTTATTAATGAGTACCGACCTGTATCGAGTCGACATTTCCATGATAACTATCATAATTACATACAACGATTAAGTTACAAACTGCTTTTCCGTCTACGTGCGTCGTAGAGACTCAAGCTTCCGATTCCGACCTAGTTGATAATATCCATCCTATGCTAACGCTCGTTTTGCCTAATAATCAACCTTTCTCATCTCATCGGGCTCATCAACAAATATATCCTCGACGCCCCTCCATTTTGCCTTCCCCTCCTTCTTCTCTTCCTCCTTCTCACTCGCAACTTCCTGTATTTCTTTCCAAACCCTTTCCCTCTCCACCCAATACTCTAATGCCCTTTTCTTATTGTCTTCCTCAGTTACAACTCTCAAAGGCATCCAGACCCTCTCCCCTGTATCCCCATCCGTCTCTGCAACAAACCACCTCGGCTGATGACGATGTGTCGCTCCTTCGTTCTCCTTTTCCTTTCTCCTCCTCGTAGCTCTCTGTTTCTCCTCCTGCTGGCCCTTCAATACATTTGCTAAATCCCACAACCCCATCTCGAACGCTCGTTGATCAGGTCGGAGGCGGGAGTCAGTTGGTGGGAGGTAGGTTCTCAGTGAGCGGACCTCGGAAGATCGCGTTGAGATTTCTGTAGAAGTTGTCGGTAGAGTTGGGAGGTCATTCAATGTGAGAGCAAACGGCGTAAGATTAAACGGCGTCCCTGATGGTTTTGGAGTGTTCCGCCAGAGGAGGATGTACTGTTGTGTAGGTGGGGAGTTTGTATTGTCAAGGTTAAGCGTAATGTCAGTATTGGAAGTCTCCCGCGTTGGTGCACATCCAGGACCTCTAGGACCTCCACTGCCAGATCCATATAGTCCGCCATTTCCCGCAGGACGCATGACGAGCTGCGAATCCCACTTTCCGGCAATCTCATACACGACAAACCCTTGTGAGGAAACGACTTGACCGGCTATTTCATAGGCGTCCTTCCCTCTCCATCCTCGAGGCTTGAATGTGAGTACACATTGGTCGTTTGTGAGGTGGTTTTTGATCTAGAGGAGGATGAGCCGTGGTCGAATAGAGAAAGTCGATGAGAAGACAATCGGTGATAAACGAGAAGAAGTGAAGAAGGTCGGAGGAAGTTGGAGGAAAGTGAGAGAGAAATATGAGCGTGCAGAGTAACTAAATCGAACGAACGGAGTTCCTCTGGAAGAATAAAATGAAGGACCGCAAAAACTCGATGCAGAGGGATGTGCCCCGAGAATTCAAACCAACCCAAAGAAAAGGACACGAAAAACGAAATCACAATGAGATGGATACTCACAACCATATCGCCATAATGATCTATAGTGGGTGACCCCAGGATAAAGCCTGATACATTTGTTGTGACTTTTTTCCACGTGTAATGTTCTAGCACCATTTCTCCACCGTCTTCCTCGTCCCGCACCAAGGGTAACTTACCAGTCACCCACGCCTTGGGAATCCTTAGCTGCACATGTGCAACTCCCGTAGGTCGAATTTCAAAGCTCTTACCCATGAATTTATTTTGAGCGTCGACTTCACCGTAGTATCTCCACCCAGTCCTTCCTGTCTTCACGGTTCTGTTGAGATCGTTATTATCCTCGCTCTCAACCATCCCAAGACTTTCTGCCCAACATGCACTGATGGGAGGATGATGGCTGACTTGCTCAGATACGTATCTGTACCCCTGTTTGCCTTGTTTCTCTTGTTGTTCATGTATTTCCTTCTTCCTCTCTCCCTCGAAATCATCCCCTAAGCAAACATACTCAAACGTCTCGCCAAGCATCGGATTGAACGGCTTCGCGATCCTCCCGATTGTGGAACTATAATTCGACATTGCGAACGCAGCGATGTAAGCTATCCGGAGGTGCGGGGAGGGAGTTGAGGAGGCGATGTCCACTGAAGAGAAGGGAGAGAGAAGAGGATCACAGAACAATGAGCTTAAGAGTTCTTGGAAGAAAGATGATGTTTATACTCACAACACTCTGAGAACTCCATATCCTCAGCCATCCTCTGCAACATACTCGTCGGCTCGTTGAAATAGACAGGGAACGAGATCTTTGTGAGGTCTTTTCCGATACTATTTTTGAGCGCGGACCAAAGGGAGGTTGCAGGTCGTTCGGCACGAATGGGGAGAGAAGCGCGGAGGTGGGCGTAAGGGGAGTAGGAGGCGAAAGGAGATGAGGCAAAAGTAGAAGTGACAGAGGAGATAAACACATTCGAAAGTGGATCTGAGGCGGTAAGAGAGGTAGATGTGGATATCGAGGAACTTGGAGTCGCCGTCGCCGTCGCATACCCAGCCGTAGTGACACTCGACATACTGGAGGTTAATGACGTTGGTGCTGTTTGCTGTAACTGAGCAGGTACGACCAAGTTCGGAATATTGTTTGCCTCAATGGCGTCGAAAAATTCATCTTCGTCGTCGTCGTCTTCTAAGTTATCGTCTTCATCTTCTACGTCGTCAGTATCCTCTCTGTCTTCTCTATCACCTTCACTTGTGGTGGATAAACCCTCTGGCAGAACCGAAGGATCTAGATAGTATCCCAACGCAGTCGGGGTTCTCAGCTCATCTTCTCCTGTCAAGGCACCGCTCGTAGTTGTGCTCGCAGCCGTTGGACTCGTTGGGCCACTCCCGAGAACCCTACTCCCCCTCTTCAAACTATTGAAATTCCTACTCGTTCTTTTCAATTGCCTCTCCAAGCCCACCTCCTCCTCCAAAACTACTTTCATACTCTCCTCCCACGCCTTTTGTGCACGTTTCGCTTGCTTCACGGTGGCTTCCAGCTTTTTCCGAGCTGTCTCGGAAGAACGAAGTGATTCTTTGGTGGCGCGGAGGGATTGCTTGGTGGTACGGAGAGATTTGCGTGTTCGAGATAGGGAAGAACGCGTGCCGGAAAGACGCTGTTTGGTAGATGTGAGGTTGGTTAGGAGGTGGGACTCGCGAGAGGCAGTCATAGAGATGTAGGTTGACACGAGATTTTTGAGGGATTGAAGGGATGAGGAGGACTGCTGAGTCGTTATGATTTCAATCTGGTCGAAAATGAGCCTGGTTTGTTGGGAGTAAATATCTGAGTACGGGAGTGGCAAAGACACCACATCGTCGTCGCCGTTGTTGTTATCTAGATCGTGTTCCTCGTCATGTTCTTCGTACTCGATGTCGTCCTCCATCTCCTCCCCCTCGGGATCCTCATCCTCATCATCATCATCAGAATACCCAAACCTCGAATTTGCCTTCTTGGAAGCCCTCGAAGTCCTTGACATTCCCGACATCCGGGACTCGACCTCGCTGTGTATACCGTGGAGATTTTTATGCAAACTCTCCACGTCTGAGGGCGAATTAACGAGATCCATACTGGATTTGTTATCGGCAAAATTTGGTTTGCGTTTCTTCCGTATAGTAGAAAGCCCACCAATGAGACTATTTGAAATGCTGTTGGAAATACTCGTCCGTGTTGAGGGCGGAGGAGGTAAGGAGGTTGTTGTAGTCGTCGCGGTCGTTGCGGGCGCCGTAAACGCTGAGTGACTTGAGCTACTAGTCCTCGCCACTGATGAAGATGAAGACGCGACCTGGCCCGTTGGGCTTGATTGCGGTTGCTGCTGCTGAGACCAAACTTTCCACTCGCCAATCGCTCCGATCCACCGGGCAGCTTCGACAGGATGATTCGCTTTCATATACCATTTTTGCGATACCGAGCTAGTCGTGCTCGTGGTAGCAGAGTATCCAGAGTATACTTCGAACCTGAGTTTGTCCGAAGGTGAAACTATGCAACAATTCATAAGAGTTAAAAAATGCGATCGGATAGTAAAAACATACCTTTAACAACAACACTCTTTATCGAAATCGACCCTCTCGACGCGACAGTTTCGTCTTCTTGCCGACGATAATAGCTCAACACACCACCTCTGAGTACGAACCAGCGCGGATTGTACCCTTTCGCAAGGTTTGTGTATTTCAGAAGATAGCCCTTTAGTGGAGGAGGTGGAGAAGGTAACGGTGAGAAAGGTGATTGTGCAATATTTGCGTCTAGGATATCGTATAAATTCCACTGATTAGTAGGTGCACCATTAGCATGCGAATTGAAATGAATCACCTCTTTCGCTTCTTTCGTTCCTTTTGCTCGTCATGATTTGCTCCTCCAGATGGCCCAGTAGTGACGGTGATATGCCAAATGTTGAACACGGTATGGATCGTGTATGATGAGCAATCGTGTATTTCGCAGTCTTGATGAAAGACAAAAACGGGAGGGAGATCCTCTTAGGGTCGGTTTGGACTGATACTGTACTTATCCAATAGTTGTCGTTATTAATTAGTTAGTTGTTGAAGTAGTGAAGGTTGAAATTCGAACTGATGTCGAGACAAGACAAGAAGATTCGCAACAGCTGGCAAAGATTTACGCGTAAAGATGAGAAGCAAAAGAATTAGCAAAATCAGCCGACGGCAAGAATACCTTGGATAGGTCATTTCACACACGTGGCACTGGTAGCATTATTATTATGTAATACAATTTCCGAGCGCCCACATATGGCTCGGTCAAAGCAAGCTATACCGAACAACAGAATGATATCATATGTCGGCTAATCTTTAACAGCTAGCAGGAGTCTGTCCGCCAAGACGCCTGACTGAGCCAGGCGTGTAGAGACATGTAGTCGGACATAAATAAATAGCTAGGCAGGCTGGTTTGCGTGGTGGTTGGCGGGCTACCAGAAAGGGAATTGAAAGGGGGGGCGACATGAAGCATCTATAGATTATAGATTGATAAAACTAAAACTAAAGTTCAAAGTTTAGAAGAAGCAAAGTGAGCAAAAGGTCTAAACACTTGGACGGATGCACGCAATAACCGCCAACGTCGGCAGAGAACATTGCTCCACAGTACCCCATCACACCAGACATCACAGAAGGAACTGACAGATGGAAGAAACTTGGATAGAAATTGCTCATAATTGACTGGTGTGATATAGCTTTTAGGAAGCTTCACGAAGGGTGATAAAGGGTCCACTGAGCACCACTGAGATACTTGCATTAACTTGTAGCGAACTATACTGTACCTAGGAATATCTAGATAGACAAGTAGTACAGTGTGCCAATGATTCAGTGACTTTATTGAATGTTGAATTCTGATAGTCTCATCGCAAGATATTAGAGAAGAATGTGTCACAAGAGTGAAGGAAGGAGAGAGAGTCAATTCGTACTAATCATCGTCCACCTTTACATTTGCGGGAGTTGACTTTAATGGGTCCAATATCAATCATAAGATTCCTCGCAGTGACACTGGATTACTTGATTGAATGTATTTGGCTGATGCACTTTCCAAGGCGAGCCTTGATAATGGCATTACAGTACAGGACGATCAGAATCAATTGCACGAGCTCCAATACACGAGGTGGAAGAAATTTGAACAGAATAAACCTCTTGCACAGCTAGCCGTAGGCGAAGACAGAAATTGAGTTTGAAGATGCGGCCTCAAGGATTAACTCAAGAAATCCATAGCGAACAAAAGCATGGGAGGACAGCTGTAAGGATTCTTGACAGTCAGAAACCCAGTGAAGTGGCAGTTGCTGAACATTCGGAATTTCGGTGCTTGTTTCAAATCACACCATAAACAAAAATCACCTGTGGTTCTGTGGAGAAACCTCTGGAGAAATTTACCTGGAAACTCCTTCACGTCCACATTCGAAGGATCCAATACCCCCTCCAACGACAAAAATGACCTTGCCCGGCCCCTCCGAGTCACAACATCCCTGATACGATCCAGTCTAACACATCACCTCTTCGTCCGAACTCTCCGCCTGCCTGCAAATGTATCCCAAGGCGATAGACAAGTTGAAAGGTGTACTTGCTGGTTCCGATGAACGTGGTGTCGAGTTTCTGGTGATTTGAGTGGTGCGTTTACTGGAAATGGATGGACTGGAGAGGATTCCTTTGACTAGAGAGTGTAGGAGATATAGTAAAGTTATTAATTATTGCCTGCGACCTTCAAATCGAACCTACATGCCCATGCCCACACAGGCATGTATCCTTCGCAATCGTTTACGCCGTTATTCCAATGAATTTCCTTGAATTTCCTATGCATGCGTTGATTACTATGATCACTCATAATGACATTCTTCTATTCGTCAAATATTATAATCGGAGCTAATGTGAGCGCACTCGAATATGAGGCTCACCAAGGACCTGCGTAGCACTCGGTGACAGAAACAACGATGAGGCCTGATGAGGCCCGTCGTGGTTCGATGCCCGTATTCCGACTTGTGGTGTGAGATGTTATATATCATAACATATGATATCATAGAGGTGTGATTGTCTGTTTGACACACTCACTGAGCCCAGAAAGTCTGTTTGTTTCTCCCATGTCACATACGGTCTCTCCCATGGCAACCAACCTGCGGGAATCCACATACAACGTGTTTCATTCAAAGTGCAGCGATGCATCCTATCGGGGGTCCTGTATAACCGGTATGAATGCAACTTGTTGCATGGTCTGCGGTGGGTCTGCGGCAATTAGATCATGAGTTGACTGCGGACTGAAGAGCAAAATCAATATCTTCAAATACCCAGACATCGACTGGTTCAAAGTTTGAAACCTTACCCCCTAAGGGTCCCAACGTCTCCACGTCTCAACTCTCTCGAGTCTAGGGGACTGTTGACGATAAGGAAGATAGTCGGTTGTGGAGCTCTTGTGTCATTGATTCATTCTCTTCGGCGATACATGCTTATAGCCTCTCTTTTGACCTGTCTGTGCGCAGCAACCCCATACCCCTCTTTGCAGCTCCCCTCCTTCCATCCAATCCATTCTATTCCCCGAGCTTTCTAAAGTCGGCCTTCCACTACTACAGACACTATGACATCCAAACCAGCCTCATCCAATCCGTTGTGTACAGCATCCAGCGCCAGGGTAGTTGCGAGGCGCAAGGCGAAGCTGAACGTATATTTTAGAGAGGAGTGTGAAGATAGGAGGTACGTTCACAGTACACTGCAGTCCGGTCCTCATTGTTTCCAGTAGTGAACATTAATTTCTTCCGCGCATCGACTGACGAATTCGTCTGATTATAGTGTTTCCGATGAAGACCAAAAAGTACTCGCAGCACATTTTGCTTCGTTTATGGAAGATTATATCGTGAAGACGACGCCGGAATATGAGGTAGCAGGAGTCGGGTTTCGGTTGCAAGATATTTTTGATGCCGACCACAAGGCATGGCAAATCTTCAGGGCTCAGGTGAGACCGTCGAAATCAGTGTCATTAAATCATTGAGTATATACTCGTACCAGAAATTCCCATGCGAACCTACATCACTCATAAAGATCACCTTCGAGTCCATAACAAAGCCCACACTGAAGAACACCAACCCCTCTGCTCCTCTTACTCCTTCACTCAACAAAACCTTTAAGAATATCCATCATTCCTCGCAACCGAGTTCTGTATCCAATCTACAGGGAGTTTCACAGCAAATGATGACAACGCGTGACAGCAAGGTAAAGCCTAGATCGCCTACGCGCATGGTCAGGTGGAAAAGAGAAAAATCTTCGTTGTTGAAAGGCGTTTTGGTGTCGAATGCGAGTAAGATATCAACCACGTACGAAGGCCAGCATATTCAAATCCCCAGTTCAAACACCAATTCGAGTGCAGGAAGTTTGCTGGAGAAGGAACTAATGTCCGGACATTTTATTCAATCGTCTACTATGGCATAATTTTCTTTCTTTCCGTCCCACTGCGTATAAATTAATTACCATGCATATACAATACATAACGCGAACAATACAGACCTTCTTATCGTTCAATGCAACACTGCACTCGTATACTAGTCCAGGATAAACCTCACAATCCGAATAGTGATTGAAAAACAAAATGGATTCGGTCGGTGCAGTGAAATCCGGTTTTTCGGCAATAGTCGGCACTGGTAAGCGCTGAGTCTTACAGAGCTGCACTCCTCATTTTTCCTTTTCTTTTACACGATCAACATTTCTCTTTGGCATTCGAAAGGAGGCCCAGATCTTACGCGCTCCAGACTCGCTGGTCTGAAGCCTCGCCACATGCTCGAATCATACGCCCGTGAACACAGGCCTAGTAGAAAAGTGTCCTGGCCATACAGATTCCTCGCACAAAGATGGAGTCCTAGTCAATTGCAGATTTGGACAATATTTGTTAGTCTCGACGGAATTTCCAAATTCCTACAGACATATGCACTAGAAGTACACACTATCCAAGATATCAATCGTCGGCTCCGGTGCGTCAATCCACACATATACACAGCTATCATGAACGTCCTCTTGCTGATCTTGGCAGTTTCTGTTTTATAAGACTTTATTTGAACGCATTGGTTTGAGATCATGCCCAAGTAAAGAGATTGAGCGTTGAACGTTGAACCTTCGTGCCTACCATGTGAGCGAACAGTAAACGCTTCTTATTCTTTTTATTTCCCCTTCTTCTACTCCATTGGCAGTGGCACAACGAAATTCGGCAACTAACCGCGACGTATGAAGTTCCCAAAACCGGTGAACAAGGAGTGGACGACCTTAACAAACAGGCGGGTATTGCTATCGGGTAATAAGCCTCGATTCCATTTGGTTTATCTGTAATGTTCCTTATGCTCTGCAATCTTTTCATGTGCCCTTCGCCGTCATGCATTTCATTCCTCTGACTATGAAGAACCGTGTTCACCGGGGCTCAATGAATCTCTGGTTCGAGTGGTTGAGCCTCGGGGCAAAGATAATAGTTACAAAACAGGGTAGGTGTGTTTTACAAAGAGTTCCGAAATTTGGTTTCTCCCTCTTTCACTTGCTTTTGCTTCTGTTTTCTGTCCTCGGTCTCGTCCGAACCATGACTGAGGTGACAGCGTACTTCGCGGCTTTCCAGCTGGGGTTACTTTTTCTCCTTGTACTCTTTCCAAGTCACAATTTGACTCAAGCCCACACTGGATATCTGATCCGTGAGCTGCCAATGAGAGCCGGAATCGGAATCGGAAAGGTTGTGTCATTCAGTGTCGAAAAGGGCCCCTCGTGACGGTGCCTCGTCTGGGTCGCATTTAATGACATCAATGATGATAGATTGGTGATGAGGTTTGATCATTTGTTTTTTCTTGACGCTTCAGATTATCGCTTCAAGCAAGGCATATTGTGTACAGTCGACTCCCTCTTAACCCATACCCCTCCGTGGAGGTCCAGACCTATGGGTTATGGGAGAGTATGGGTTTATGGGGTGGTCACACCAAGTGACATACGTGACGATTTGCCTAATCGGGAGCTGTAACACCCCATACATGGGTTATGTTAGCTCAAAATTAGTGTAAATCGACCATTTTATTGGTTTTGTATTACAGGGTTTTGCATAATTCCGTGAAAACAGGGTTTTTTTTTCCTACTTCGGTCCGATTTTTGAATGTTCCGGACCCAACTTTGATGTCGACCCGACGTGGCAACAACGACCACACTGTTATTACATTAGTGCCTCTTAATTGTTAGAAAACTTCAATATATGACAGCAGCCTCTCAATGCTAAGCTTTTTAGTCAATACCTGCTGGATCCTGTTCTTTTTGCAGCTATTCCAGTAAATTTTAGGTGCATGTACATCGTGAGGAGACAGTGTGCAGAGGTATGGCGCTGTTACTGGGCACGACGCCAAGCAGTCAGCTGTCAGGCCGGAGATCTCGGTCGAAGTCGCTTATGGGCGGTCCGGTAAAAAAAATTTCCCATTTTCACGGAATTATGCAAAGGGCTGTAATTTTGTGCCAATTGTTTACTTACTGATCCCATTTTGGGAGTATCAAATGCAATGATAGCAATCGAGGTATGGGTTATGGTAAAAATATAGCGGAGATTACCCCCAAAAAGGTATGGATTATGGGGTATGGGAGAGTTATGGGTTATGCATTGCATTTCCCTGCAAACGAGGTCGGTAACCCAGGAAATGTATGGAGTATAAGGGAGTATGGGTTTATAGGGGTATGGGTTAAGAGGGAGTTGACTGTACTCATACACATGAGATGTGTGCTAATCAAGTAGGAAAGTACCGAGAAGTCAAGGATTCATTGAGCGATAAATAAAGAAGCGAGCAGAAGGTCTAACATCATACTCACAGCATTGGTTTCCTGTACCACTGCAGGAATGATCCCACAGTCCTCGGACGCTGTTGGACCATGATGCTCGAACTAATCACTTTGTGTACACTACTAAGAAATCTACAAAGTAGATCGTCGGAATAGAAAAGGAGAGGAGCACAAGAGTCATGACCTCTAGTACAAAATACTATCTACAGGGTGTCAAAAAATTCCCAACACAGGTCCGTGCTGGTCCGTGTAAACGAGGTCTTTAAATATTTGTGTCCAGGTACTTTCGAATGCACCATCCGTCGACATATGAGTTAATCTTTTGTAATTCACCTCACGTCTCTGGCCACAAGGACCTAAGGGTAAGTATGATTGGGACGGCAAATACAGTCGAGGGTCGGAAGATTTGTGTTGAGCAAGGATTTAGGAAATGGATCATGACAAAACAACAATTGAACCGTAGACAAAACGTTAGTCATTCAGCAACTCGGAAAAAAACGTACGCACTCTATCGAGCTGTAACACCTTCGGCACCTCTATAATGCCAGAGCCAAAGTCAAAGAAAGATAGAATTATCTGGTAGCCGAGTGGATATACTCGACACGAAAGAATAAAAAATCTTTTCGATTCATAGTAATCGGTCGAATACAAGAATGCTGGAAGGGAATAGAGTCACTTGAAGTTGATGACTCAAAACTAGAATTATTGAAAGATAACGAGCTAAAATTAAGGCAACATGAGGGTACGAAACACGAATACTCGGTGTGCATGTATACGAACTTCGGCTGCTTCGTTCTTCGATGGACATACTATGGGTGTCTTGTATATACTGCGAAACAAGGTGAAATTGCTCCTATTCATCACCGTTGCCGCCTTGAAGCAGTTCCACAATGCAACCATATTGCGGGATTGACCTTGAGTGATCACTGGCAGCTGGTCCCTCATTAATCATTGCTCAAAACTAGAAGCCCGATCGTTCAAGTTGTCAAGTCGCTTCGACTGTATAATTATTTGACTCCTCTACGTACCATTTCAATCTATTGTGCATTCGCATGTCGTTACAAATGCTCCTTTCTACAGTAAGATTAACAGCATCCAATGGGAATTGGACCAGTGGCCGTTCGCGTTCTTGGACCATCGTATGTAGGGATTGTACGCATGAGGAAATGTGCTTTCTTCATTCTATAGTAGTCTGTCAGACTAGCAGCGAACGCGCCAGATTGAAGATGGATTTATCTTAACAGGAATGGGCGATACGAGTGCCCTGCATCGAAGGTGCTGGAGTATCGGATGTATCAAAGATGATGAGCAAGATGGTATATAACGTTGCGAAACTACCGTAGACTAGCAGTATTGGGGCACTGTGCATCGAGATTTAGATGAGCACTTGGATTGGAGTCTTAAGTCCGCACCGTGGTAGGCTGTTGGATACACGGAGAAGCACACGCAAGGGCCTTAATTATTTCTGCCAGAACTCTACTGGAATTCACTCCGGACCATTTCGTCACGAAGATACCGAATATCTGTTGTATTGCTGTAGAGAAGTCGGAGAAGTCTATACAAATCTACACTGATGAAGAAACACACTATGCTGTTACAATTCCAAATTTCCACAGAACACTTCAACCTGAGAACCACCTCCAATGGACCAGAAGAAGATACAACCTAAAGCAAAGTCTTGCAAACTGATCTTCCTTTAACTCTTTCGGATAGTCTGCGCCCAGACTATACGCCGCTGCAATACCGGAAATGACCGCCACTTCGTGAGCGTTGACTAGAGTCCAGGAGCCTGCGAAGCGGGTGTGATAGCGGTGGCTGCGGACGCGATTCAGGAGGAAAAGAAAGGGCACGACAAAGAGGTAATGGGTATAAGAGTGACAAAGCTGATGCCACCAACTTTCGGCAACTGGTTATTGTAAGTCGAATGATGGACGAGGATGAGAAGAGATTTACCGATTTTGTCAGGTTGTATTTCATGCTTGGACCAAGTTTCTTCGTGTTTTTTGTTAAGGAAAATAGTCTACGTGTATTTGTTGATCAGCCGACATGGAAGGTCGGAAAACAAGCCGGTTCGGGGACTTGAATCTCACCTGAAAAATATGTTTCTCCAACGGAACATCCTAACAAAATATATACATGAATGGGAAATCGCAAGGTTCAGTGAACAGGGTCCCACCTTTGGCAGCTGATATTGGAATGCGGAACAATCGAAACTCATTTCCAGCTTCCGTTGGTCGGCAGGGGTTTGCTTAATGAGATACATACTAAGGGATAGAGTAAAAAACGGTTATCGGATTGCGATGAGATTCGCGTTACTACTCACGGTTGGAACAACTGTTTCGCCTTCTCAACCCTCCCGGACTCGTCGCGTCCGCCGAGATCCGAAACAGCGACTTCTTTGTTATACTCGAGTTCATACCACCTTTTCATGTAATCCAGATCCTGCGTGTTCGGATAAATTAGGCTGTTCCTTATGAAAAACTCCATGAAGAAACAACTTACATTATGAGTTACTGTGACATCGTCACTCCATTTCGTCTCTCCCAGAACTTTCTTTTCGATCCATCGAGCTTGATTTCCTAGGAGCTTTTTGGCCGTGTCTGCCAAGACACAGAAAACAATTTCGTCGTACGTCTCTTCCAGAAGTTCTTCCTTGAGCGGATAAGGTTGTTTGGCCCCTTCCTCGGATGGAAACGACGAGTTCGATTCCAGTTTTCGGATGATAGATACGCGAACACCATCCTTTTTGGAACGAGAAATAACTTCCTTGACTTGCGTATGGAGTCGAATAGAAACGCCCTTTTTCTCGAGGGAGTGTTGCCAGTCCGTGTACACAGCAGTAGCTTCCGGGAAAACCACCATCGGAGGTAAGTTTGAAGTTAACATTTTTCGGTCGATGGGATACCCTATACAAAGAAATGTATTAGGATTAGCTTCTGAGCTAGTAGCATGAGAATTCAAAGCTTGGCAGATGGGACTGGCCATGCAGTACAGTCGCCGAGATTCCAGTTCCAAAGAGAGTACTCACACATGCCATACGTTGGGGACGTGTACAATCTCTCCATCATCACTGTTGGGAGGTTCGGTGTGGCGTTTCCAGTGCCTGAGCGCAAAGCGAGCGCGCATTAAGGTCAATTGAACGTTTCGGAGCACAGAACCGACATGAATAGCTACCTAAGAAAAGCGCTAGGCTATTTGGAACTGTGAGCGGTGTAGTACGTAGACGTGAATGCGCAACAATTATTGCCCACCTAGGATAGATCATAGAATTAATGAATCTGTGAGTTCAATTATCAGACACTGCTAAACAAGAAAATTATTTGTGGAAAATTATTTGTGGAGACTCACTCATCGGAAAAGAAAAACATCTTCAAGCTGACTTTGATGGGTATCATAGCGAAAATGAGCTCAAGCCAGCGCATTACTTTGATGACCCATGAGAACCGCTCGATTTCTTTGCTATGACGCGCGACTAGCTGGGTAGGATAAACATTGGTCCAGAACTCATAATCAACGTCGAATTAGTGTCAAGTGAATTGAAAAGGATTCAATAACAAAGCATACATACAGTGTTTCCTTTCCCGAATGACACCTGGAGATCAACACTAGTATGTGGTAGTAGATAAATGACATGAGAGGCGAACTATAGTTGAATAACAATGAATAGCCCTACGGTCGGGGATGATGATTCAACTTTTCGAAAACATAGAATGTATGATGGTAAATGTGAGAACCTCTAGACTAGCGATTTAGGCAGTTGGTATATAAAATTGTATATAATTGGAGCTTACCCTTGTACACCTTGATTAAGCCAGCTTGCGCCAAACTCTTTTTGGTCAATCGGGATGGAAAACATCTGGCCACCACAATTACTTTGAGCCTCCACAACGGTTACATGAAACCTGTCCGGATGCTGGGCCAACGTATCGGCACATGCCATTCCTGCCGCTCCTGCGCCCACCTATATTCAGTTATAGAATCTGACTGTCAAAGTTCCATTCTCTTTACAGGAGCCTATCTTGCGCCTACCACAAGCACCCGCTTCGGCCTTCCATTTTCACAGTCACCAGACATTTGGATTAGCTGTTTTCAGCTGGGCGAAAAGAATGATTGACTGGGGTCTAGATGAGAGTCGGATGGAAAGTTGAAAACGAAAAAGAAACGCAACAAGAAGGGTTATAAAGGATATCGCTATGTGCGTCACTCGACACGATCGATCCCGCATAGAAGCAGAAGATCGAAAGTTGCGTCGGCCAAAAGAGCCTGCAGGCGTCATGTTCTGGACTTTTGAAAGACGCGCTAAATTGTGACTTGTTCAGCAAGCTAGAAAGTTAAACTTTAGCGCAATTGCAGAAGTAGTAATAAGTGTAACCCTATTTTCGCTCTTAATTGTTAGAGCGGAGATAGAACTTGTAGAGATGACGTTCTTTGAAAAAGCTTTCTGAACTTGTTACTGAACTCGTTTATTTATGACAGCGTCACAGTGCATTTAGTCCAGATAAGTTGTTCCCCAATCCATAGAATTAACCTCAGCCTCTAGATAATATGATGGTAACGCTGTACCTCGGGATCGCGATTCGGTGCAAGGGTGCAAGCCGGGCTTTCCGGAGCCAACTACGATTTATCTTGAAAATGTAACGTATTCATGCTAGCCGGGACACTGCGCCTTATAACTGGGGCAGACATAGCTAAGGATACATCTCATATCCCTCTTATCATGGACATCGAACAGAAACAACTTGACACACAAGACACCGTCACAATACGCTCATTCTGTTCGTCGGATGCTCCGCATGTCCTCCATGTATATTTCACTGGACTAGTCAACGGAGGTAGGCCTATCCTAGTCATGTCAACCGTCGCCCATACTGACTGTCCTATCAAGTTGACTCTGCCGGCCACTTTGCGATTACTCGTGCTTTCTTACATTGGACTCCGATGTATTTTGCATATATTCTTTCAGTTTCTGGTGGAGGGGCTTTTTTATTAGCCCTTCAAACAGATATCCAAATGCTTGGCCTAGCCGTCGTTCTCCTTTCCTGCGGCTTCATGCTGTTTGTTTACTACCGAATACGAAGGACTTTTCTGGGATATTATCAAGACGGTCTCCGTCATGACATGACCGACATTTCGCAGTATTATCGGCAGGATCATGAAAAAGATGGATATCCCATAAGGCGTTTCTGGGTCGCTGAGATTCCTTCTCTGACATCCGATAGTGGCTATGAAGTTGTGGGCTGCGTAGCCCTCGGTAAGTTGATGATTTCCCGGGAATATCCTTTACTTTTGACTGATATGTAACTGATGGTGTATGTAGATTGTTCGTCAAGAAGTGATGGACCCTTATTTGGCGAATTGAAACGCCTCTTCGTTTTGCCCGCACATCGCAAACGCGGAATAGGAACAAAGCTGATGCGAACTGTGATAGTTTACGCCAAAGAACAGAAGATTGCATTGTTACAACTTGAAACCACTAACTTTCAACCGGTCGCTCGGGAGATGTACTCCAGGCTGGGTTGGCACCACAATGCAACGAGAGAAAGCGACTTTCAGGCTGGAGGGATGAGGATGAGTTTTGTTGAATACTTGTTGCCATTGTAAGAATAATTACTTTTCGACTTATCTTCCAGGACCATTATATCATAAACACGTATCTAATTTATGTATCCCATCTTTGTATCTTTGTCTACCAGTACATCAGTGATAATCTTATTGTATAACATGCATTCGTTCAAGTTACCTGAAATCGAAGACATAGTTCGGCTATGACGGGCCGACCCCGCTTTGTCACGTCTTTCATGCTCTGCAACAAGAACACAGTGCTTGTCGGCAAAAAAATCCTTCTAGTTCCATATCGAATCGAACACGTTGCTGTAAGTCTCCAAAGATTGATCAGAGATCCGTGTTACGCTGAGCGTTTCCTCGTTTTCTTCCCGGGCCCTTGCTCGTCCTAGAAATATCATGCTTGGATGGAAAATGAAGAGCTCCGAACTTTGACTGCGAGTGAACCTCTGACACTGGACCAAGAATATGACATGCAACGTAGGATTTATCGAATATTTCCATATAACAATAACGGAACTAATCAGATCTATGTACTTACCCATATGCAATTGCAGAAAAATGGCAGATGGACGAGGATAAGCTGACATTCATCATCTTGGCCCGTGAAGGCGATGCCTTCATCCCGGATACTGTCAATCCCACAGATTCCCAAGTCTCATCCCTTCCCATGGTAGGAGATGTCAATATATTTTTCTCTGGAACCCCGCTTTCCGTATCCGAATCAACCAATAGTCCGCCCTTCGATGATGGTCAGGAGTTTACTGCGGAAGCAGAGATCATGATTGCGGGTAATTCACAACTGCCTTACTCAATATATGATTATCTGAAGGAGAAATTTCCAGAGCCCTTGTATCGTAGAAGGGGATATGCTCAGGAGGCACTACGACTCATGTTCCAATATGTAACAGGTTGCCCAACATCATATTTCATCCAGAATCCTCGGGTGGAGACATCGCAGGGAGAAGACACTCGTCAAGTTTCAGTAAAACTGCCACATAGCATCCCTCCCACCTCTTTGATAACGCGTATTTCGGATAAAAACACTCCAAGCATCAAGTTGTTTGAGAGATTAGGCTTTCGAATGACCAAACACGTCGAAGCCTTTGAAGAGGTAGAGTTGAGGTGGAACGCGCTATAATTGCCATACACATCCATGCAGTCCCATGCATGTTGACTTCTTTTCAATAAATCAAACGTGGCCAATGGTATACATAGCTTTGTGGCGAAGGAGAGGTCAATTGAGATTTTTAGAACGTTAAGTCCGGTTCCTCGTATGATATCAACCAGACGATATACTTAGGACGTACCTAGCTTACGGGAACAAATAAGCTTGTGGATATCAAAGCGGTACCAGCTACGACCAAATCGGGAGATGATACACATCGTAACAAGATACAGAGGGGGACGCAGGTCTGATAGGCCCGAAGTGCGAAAACTCAGTACTCAGTACTCAGCTCGTAAGTAAGCCATAGTCGGTTATTCCTTCTTACATATCCAGAAGATCACCGTAAGCATTTTCTTGTTCCCGATTTTGAGGCGACATTCGGGATGCCCTAAGAATCAGGTCGGTCTGGAGGCTCAAAGAATAATGACGCAGGTTCTCAACTTATGCATTGTATGGGACCCAGGTTCAGCCAATCTATCCAAAAGGAATTTTCGAGAAAAGAAATCACAATGAAAGCGACTCCTGAGGCCCTTCGGACTTACAGTTGCGGCAACCAGATCCTGACTGAAACTTGAATGAAGACAAAATGCACTAGACAAACAAATTATCAAGTGCTTGAAGAATATAGGTTGTCAGCCTCCTCACTATCTATCTCTTGTCCTCGACCAGTGATTTTAAAAGATTGACTAGATTATTTGTTCTACCGCACAATGATCATGATTCCAGCCGACATTGAAATTTGCATAGAGACGCGGGTGTGACTATGTACTACATACATTGTTGGACGTGCCTACGTTTCGACGGTCTAGATAGTCCACAGGACTCATGACCTTGCAGGAATTGGATGTCGAAAACAAACTGTTGGCAGCACTAGATTATAACAAAGCGGGTAGACAATCAATGAAAATGATAATACCCAGGAGAATGGTGAGATCGCATTAAAGCTACTGGCCATTACTGTAATACTGAGCAGACCCAAGGGGGAAAAATGTGGAGCATCTGAAGTTTTCCAAAGTCGTTCGATTACAGAGCCTGAAGAATTGAAGTGTATGGAAGAAATCGAGCCATTACCTTGGAACAGAGAGGTTCGATGAATCTGAAGGCTTACGCGCTTGAATCTCACTGTCAGACAGCAAGCACTTGCGGAAAAAACGGGCATTCAATGTGAGTCATTGAGAAGGACGATGTCAGTTATGTATGTGCTGTACATACTTGGTTCGAGGCTTGTGGACGCGGAACTGTTGAGATACCGACGCGTCCTGGTCGCTCCTCGTCGCGTCTGACTCAGGACTATTACGTTACGTGCTTGTTGGGGTTTATTGATTCCCTTCGCTGTCATGAACCGCTATGTCGCGTTAGCTGTTTTTGCCTCTTACTTTTCTATCATTGCTGTAATACTTGGAATTTTACTCAAGATTCTTCTTCGACAACATGACCTTCAAAAGAATATTCTGAATCGGAAACGAGCCACACTGTTTTTTCTCCTCGCAATTGGCTCATTTATTCATACTTGGTACTGTGAGCGAATTCCACAAGGAATTTGATAGGCTGTATCGACTTTATGATGAGATATGTTCAGGTTCATGCAGGCACGTAGTTTCCTTTTACAGCGAATATACCCTTTGAATTCGAACTCGTTTGTAGTGGAGTTTGAATGACTATGAAACCAAAGTCGGAACTTTCGATGGCACATATGTAGACCGTTTGGGCAACTGGCTCATCAACACCGCACTCTTCGAGCAAGCCTGGTACACTGTTTGCTCCGGACCTGTCAAATGGTGGATCAGCCAACAGGTTCGTCGCCGGTCAATTTACTTTCCGTCCTTCTGTTAATCTATATTCTAGCTCTGTTCGTACACCGTCGGCGCTTGGACCATATTTATCTTTGTAGAAGGTGCTGTACCTCATCAAGCACCCTTATCTTCATTCTTCATTGAACATAGTATCAGGTAAACACCGCCAGATCAAATATGCTTGGATGTACATGCTTCTAGGACAACTCGTTGCGATATCCGTGGCTTCCAATCTCTTCTACGTCGCACTGTGTCTTTCAACGTCACCTCCAACAAGGCAAGCCAGGTCTGCGAGTCCAGTGCTTTGGCTCAGTATATTCCTGTCTCTGGTCTCCGTCTCATATTCCCCGTTTACCGACAAACGAATCTTTTTGCCGAATCTTCTCGTCATGCACACATTAGCGGCAGTCCCATTGCTTTTTAGGCCATATCTAGATACGTTACTTGTCCCACGTTTTTCACTGAGCTTCAGCTCGCTTTATCTTTTGGTCTTTGTGGTGACGGCGTTTATCCATATCTGGAACTCTATAGTTCTATACTATTCTCTTGATGAGCCCTTTGTGGGTGCTCTCTGGGGCGCTCTCTTCTCCCACCCTGCTCAATCGTCTATTGGTTGGGATGTCATCTGGACAAGCGCTTCCTTTGTGATGTGGGCTATAACATCCCAGGCCAGGCATCGTTTTGTATCGCTAGTTACACCTTTGATTTCTGTGGGTGTCGTGGCGCCTGCGCTAGCCTCTCTTGAATATGATGGTCAAGGGTTCTTACAGGGCTCTCCAAAGGCGGAGTAGAGTTTTATTTAACAAATTTCATTCATGTTTAAGGAGCAAGCTTAGGAGCAAGCTTTCTTGTTGTGATTTCAGATTTATTCCTATCTTTTTCAATGGCGTTTCGCAAGGTTCGAATCAACTCGCGCCATCGCTCGTAGAAATCCGTCATCCTCTTCCGGTGGTGGAGTGTTTGGAAATTTCTCTCACCACAAAATTCTACCGGGCAGATGATCATTCTCCTGTGAATTTGCAATGTATTTTCTCCAATTGCGCTTTGTGGTGCCCATATTGCATGCTTATGGTGTTTCTGAAAGAATTGCTGTTGAGATATAAGAAAACCTCAAGTTGAACAGCTGAACTAATTTCATTTCTGAAGGAAATCACAATGGCTCCCTCTGTAGCTGAGCTGAAAGGAGAAGAACTGCCCAACCCTACGGCAGGCCTGAAAGCCAAGGTAGGCTATAACCTTGATTATACCTACAGACTATGTTCAACTTAATGCTCTACTGGTATGTAGCTGTCATACCCATTCTACTACCCGTATTTCGATGTCAGCGAAAAGTTCCCTCCCACTCAACTTTTCGGTGAGTAATAGCAATTGCACTTCCTTCATCTTCCCTTTTTGAACCCCCCCCCTCTCAGAACACACCGACGCCGGTGCAAATGCTGACCCCGCCAAACCTAATCTCCTAACACCGAATACCACTACTCGGAACATAAGCCCTTACATTGGCACTGAAATCACTGGAGTTCAAATATCCCAATTGGGCAAAGAAGGTTTAGACGAACTCGCGCTTTTCGCTGCTGAGCGGAAAGTTCTCTTGTTCAGGGATCAAGATTTCAAGGATATTGGACCCGAACGGCAGATTGCGATAGCTAGGTGCGCCGCGGTGTAACCATCATAGGCTATGTTTACGGGCCATTAAGTCGGTCTAACGATTTGTGTCTGACCTTCCTTGATTCTATTTTCACTTTAGACACTTTGGACCCATTCAAAGGCACCCTACTTCCGGAAATGTCAAAGGGTATCCAGAATTCCATGTCGGTAAGGGGTCGGAAATTTGAGTCATTTACCATGTACACTCATTTACCATTAGTCTATCGGGACCCCGAACATGATATTTTCAGGGAATACCGCGGAAGAGATCAAGTTAGCGGCGTCAGTTGGCATTCGGATATCGTGAGTCGGGCCTCTCTCCGTTCGCTCATTGTGGACGTCAGTAAGTTTTGTTCCTAACTTTTTCCTTTCAGTCGTACGAAAAACAGCCACCAAGTACCACATTTTTCTTCATTCTTGACCAGGTACGTTTGTTTCGTTGCCATTTAAAGCCTTTCAGAAAACCTTGAATTTCTCCGTCCTTCCATTGCAAATTCATTTTCGCGTATTCTTCCTCTTTCTGGTCACGCCTTGGAATCCTCACCTTCTTCTAGCCCGGTGTGGGGGGTGACACATTGTTCCTATCTCAAGTGGAAGCGTATAGGCGTTTGTCACCCGAATTCCAGAAACGCCTTGAAGGCCTCCGCGCTGTACACTCTGCAGTCTACCAAGCGGAATTTTCTGAACGACGAGGAGGTCCTGTACGTAGGGAACCCGTGGAAACCGAGGTAAGCCTCTTTTATCAGTGATACGGTATACACTCCCCGTAACAAACCTTTTATAGCATCCTCTAGTCAGAAAACATCCCGTCACAGGAGAGAAAGCGCTCTACGTGAATCAAGGTTTCACAAGGCGTATCGTGGGGTTCAAGAAGGAAGAGTCGGACCTCATCCTAAACTTCCTTTTCGACCACATCGCCAAGGGTGCCGATTTCCAAATCAGAGCCACGTACGCTCCGGGAACAGTGGTAGTATGGGTAAGTGCTTTTATGCTTTGCTTGGTCGTGATCACGTATTCCCCTATATGTCTTGCTGTCTTGCTTGACATCTATATTTTCGCGATTTATCCTATCTTTCTTTGCTTAACTCCTAAGCAAGGCAAGTCCAAGGAGCAAAAGCTAAACGTTATTGTTATTCGGTGTTTGCTCATGTCTTTGAACTCATATTGACTTTTCTACTGTTCTTCCTGTCTGATCCAGGATAACCGTGTCACAGCACATTCCGCCACCGTTGATTTCGAAAACACCATCCTGAGGCATGCGGTGAGGTTGACGCCGCAAGCCGAGGTTCCCATTCCAGCTTAATCGCCCGCACCGGCAGACCAAGTTGAGCAAGAAACATGGCTGGTGCAACTTAGTTACCCACCTCCGTAAATGCGATGTACCATTATCATGTAGGAATAAATATTCAACTCTGTGAATACTCAATTGAACATACTGCGAGGGTTTACGTAACTGTCATCTAGTCTACTAGTACAAGACATTAGACGATTTTCGAAGCAGCAAATTGATTATGTACAAGTAAACCAAAAGATTGTGTAAGAGAGGCCAACCGCCCTATTCGAAAACCGCACAAGGTATAAGAACCTGATAAAAACGTAACGTAATGTAGGCGGTAGAAAGTACGCGTGCAACCAGTGAAACATAGACTAGACATATAGATCAAGAAATTTAAGAGCAAATGGTGTTGCGAAATGCCTACAATTACCCGGATAAGTGCAATCGATAGGATGAATCGACTTTTCTCTGCTACATACCCGACTACTGTTGTTTGCACTCTTCTGGGTTGACGTTTCCCGCGTTTGCAGGAGCACCACCTCGACCTTTTGGTGGGCCACGACGTCTCGGCGCAAGCTCAACTTCGGATTCAGAGTCCTAGGGATGCAAAGAGATCATGAGTCGGAAAAAAAAGGACGGAAAAGGAAGTGAGCGTACATCGTCAAATCGACCATCGTCGTCGTCATCATCATCATCGAGGTCCTCGTAATCGTCCTCATCATCGTCCATAACTTCATATTCTAAGGCTTTCCCAGTGAAGTAGTCGATGGCCCTTGGGATGATCTGGAGCAAAGAGACCGATGAATCGGATGAAGAACGTACAATTAAAAAGGTATACCTTTTCCTTGAGATCCTCGCCGATCTGGTAATCCAGTTGAAATTTGTCCTCGATGTCCTCGAGCTCTTCCTCATCGTATTTACCGCTCTCTAGATCTTCGTCTGATGGAGGGACAGGAGGATTGAAAAAATTGAAAAACGATTCCGTAGGCCGGGCTTTCCGAACTAGACGTGTACGATTGGTATCTAGGGGCAGGACGTTAGTATAGAAAATTTTAAGAAATGTAGACGGTATATATATACGAACTCTTATTCCGTTGCTTCTTGATCTCGTACTCTTTGGTGAGATCCTTGTCCTCCTTCCACTTGATATCTGTTCCGATCGCCTTGTAGTAGACGAAATCTCCAGAATATCCAACCTCGTCCTGATAAAGGTACGATTTATCGAGAGTCTCGTTCTCGAAAAACTCGTTGGGCGAAAAGATGAAGGTGATTTTGAATCCGGGCTTGCCCTCGTACTCTTTTTCGTTTTCATTGAGATATGAGAGGCGGATGTCGAGGAGGTGTTTGAGAGCGCCTTCATCGCGCTCAGTAATGAGATCGGCGAGGCCAATGTGATTTCGGAGAGCGGTGAGCCAGAATTCTGGGATGGCGGATGGAACAATGTTCTCTTTGGGCACAGGGGTGTAGTCTTCGTCATCTTTCAAAGACTGCTGTTCACCAGCTGTGATCTCCTCAGTGGTAGGTTTTTCAGATCCGTTGATGATGGCTTCTCTGCGTTCGTACAGAGGCTTTTGAAGAGCGAGATACTGGAGTACAAAGGTCAGGAAATTGTCAACAGAAGGATACCGAAAGGTGAATGTACTTTTTTTTCCAGCTCAAGACACTCTCTTTTATATTGATTTTGAAGTTCATGGTGCTTCACCTGTATACCCTTCAGCCCCTCGACGCTGAGTTTAACCTCAACAGGTAGAGACTCTAGATAACCGGAACTTTTTCCAATTAATCCTGCAAGTTTTCCTTGAACCATCGCCAGTGCCTGTTCGCGCAGCGCATCAGCATCGTCGTCGTCGTCGTCGTCGTTGTCCTCTTCTTTATCCTCTGAGATATCGGGGACAGTTGGCCTTGAAAGACCAGCCGCAATCGGTGCATGAGTCAGAGGCGTGTTCTGAGGCGTTGGCGCGGTAATGTTGCTGCCAGCGATTGGAACATTAGATGACATCGGTGAAGATAATCGATATAGTGGTGGTGGCAAAGAGCAGAGTCAAAAACTTTTCCTTGCACATGCGGTCGGTACTTGCCGCCGAAAGCACGTGGCGATTTTTTTTGATCATGACATTGATTCATGAGTCGGTTGTAACTCCTCATTATGTAGGTTCACTGGTAGAAAATTAGAAGCTCTTTTCACCTTCACGAAGAAGCGCGTTTGAACCGCGCGCTAGTTTTTGGTTTTCACTCAGTAAGGTAATACCCATGGGACATCAGCCTTCAGCCTTTAAGCAGACTCCTAATCACTTGATATGTTGTCTTACACGCTTTCCTTACCACTTCTAATGGAGCCATACACCAATCCTCAAGTGAATTCTAAAAACCTTGAAGACGGACCACTCAATTCGACAAATTCTGCAACACGTCTACGCTAAACGCTTGCACGTCCGGGAGCAATCGCAAGACGCTGCTGGCTTCTATAGATTTCAATCTTTACCTGACGTTTCGCTCTTTAGATCGCTCCCGGTGTTTGCGATGGGCTCAGTGTAAGGCTCGCATTCGAAGCAGGTTTCGATTGCTTGTATCAGAGGTTCGTGCTTGATGCTTGATTTACAGCGTTTGCGAGTGCGATGGCTATTCTGACCATTCAATTAGTGGTGCCGCGGTAACTGCTTCAAGGCTTGGCTAATTTGACCTCGCAGTGGCCACGCTCAATGATTTCGTGGAGGTATGCACGTGCCCGTGTCGCTCAAAGCTTGTGTCACCGTAGCTTCGAATTGTAGGCAGCAAGGATACACTGTAGCATCAACCCCGCTGTTCCTGTGATTGCAGATGCGGATACAGGGTATATCTTCATATTCCCCCTCTTATTTCTGTCTCCCTGATCGTTATTCGCGAATTTTCGTGTTTGAATGAAAAGATTCGGGGGTCCTAACATGATAGCTCGAACGGTTACACAATATGCAAGAGTCGGTATCGTCGGACTTCACATCGAGGATCAAGTATAAACCAAGCGGTGCAGTCATCTACTAGGAAAGCAAATAGTTTCAATGGAGGAATTCGTCACATGCATTCGTGCTGCGGTGGTTGGTCGAGATTCACTTCCAGAGTGTTCAAACATCGTATGTCGTTTGGTCTTGTTTTGTCATAGATATTTGTTTTCACCAGTTCTTATACGTAAGTTATCATCGCTCGAACAGATGCAGCTCAGAGTTCTGCTATGAAAGAAGCCATCAACCGGTTGAAACTTGCATAGGCTGCAGGAGCAGACGTGTTATTTCTCGAGGGGGTACGGAGTAGAGAAGATGTTGAGCTTGCTGTGAAATCGTTAGCTCCCAAACCAGTGTGTTCTAAAAAAAATTTAATCAAAAATTCTTGTTAACGATATCATCTTGCGCTGGAGGATTCACACCAAATTTCACTGCAGAAGATCCTGGCGCCAAGATCATCAGTGCATCTGTTACTTACATGACGAAGATCTTTTTAATATTCCGCTGGCCTACCCCTTAATAACCGTGATTGTGGAGATAAATTTGGGAAAGTGAAGATGGGTTGGAGAAAGAGGCAACCTATGCTGGAAGCAGATAATGCGTCTACCAGTGATGTATCTCAAGGGGTCCGACTATTTGGAGTTGTTGGATTTTGGGGGAAGAAATCAGACGACGGTCTGAGCCACTGTCGGGCAATATCAATGGACCGTCGGTGGCGCTCGGTGGCGGTGTTATTTGGCCATCAACTTTCCCGCCAAATTGAGGGCTCTTGCATCCTTCTCGCCTTACCTTAATAATCCCAAAAGTTGGTGAAATCAGTCTTTATCATTTGAGAAGTACATAGACTTTTTTTTGAAGCCAATTCGCTCAGATGTGCGTTCTAGTTTTTATATACCGACATTTTGTGCACTTCCCGATCAGTTGCCGGTGCCGCGGCTTGCTAGAGCGCTTATCATTACACAGCTGATCGAATGGCGTAAATTTGTACCACCAATTTGTCCAATGTCTTCAGCATGTCTTTTGAAACTGTTGACATTACGGTCGGAAATTCGACCGAAACGGTATCGATAAATGTAAGAGCTTGAAAGCTTTCGTTAATCTATCTCTTAGCTATATTTTTAGAAGTCGTTATGGGCCCGAGATGACAATCCTGGATGGCGCGCCTTAATAGAGGCATACTTCGGCCAGCGTAGTACTTTAAATTCCCTCAAAGCGAGGGAGCAACCAGTTCTCGAAATCCCGATTGCAGAAGAGTTCGATCTTCCTCAGAAAATCCTTATTCGCTCAGAGCTACAAACGATGTATAAAAGAGTCGGTGCGCTGTATGAGACTAAACTGAGAGCCGGTGCAATCATCAGTGGGCAGCCTGGCTGTGGTTCGGTTTTTACAAGTCTGTTTAATGCTTCGATACTGATGACTCGCAGGTAAATCGACCTCAATAGTTTACTTTTTGGTGGAACAACTCGCCGATAAACGGCCCGTCTACGTGATGGACAAAAGCGATCAGGTCTACTTCATAACTAACATGGGTACTTGGGTTAGCTCTGCTGGAGTTCTTCACACGCATTTGGGATTCCCAATGCGACGCCTTTGGGTTCTAATAGATTCGAAGTCATCAAAAGTTGAACCCAAGAGGCTAGTCTTGAACGCCGGTTTCGCTGTATGTGTCCCGTCCCCTGCCCTTGAACGGTATAAAGATTGGATGGTCCAACACGGAATACCTGTATATTTCTTGAATCCGTGGGTTCCGTCAGATCTACGAAAATGGTAACGTCAAACTCGTCTTTGCTGATCAAAATACTGAGCTTCTTTTAGTCTACCACTCATTTTCGATTCCATCTTTACCCGAGTGCAACCTCACATTCAAGAAGTCGAAGAGCAGGAAGAAATCTTCCTTGATGCGCTCTATTACTGTGTACCAACTCCTCGCGCTCTGCGCATGTATTTCGAGCCCTTGATGCTGGAGGACCAACACTCGGAATCTGACCAAGATTCCGAGCAGACGCCCTTGGTAATGCAGCTCTTGGAATCGGGGCAGACAGCCTTAGGAACTGAGCAGACGCCCTTGAATTCCCAGGGCCCGTTGAATCCCGCGAAGAATAAGTATGTGCTAGCTTTGGTAGATGCTATAAACCGCTTGAACAGCCTCCGGGAGCTGGCCAAAATCCTCGAAATTCGCGTGGAGGCGGGGTATGCCAGCGAAATATCCCATCAGCTATTGTGCATCTATCGCTCTGAGCCGCACGGTAGCCCTTCAAATCGCCTTGTAAAAATCACCAGCGATACTGCGTATATGGATTTCGCCTCTCCCTGGGTTGGCGAAGAATTACTTCGACGGCACAGCGAGGGGCAGCTTTCCGATTTGTGCAGATTTTATCATAAAATGTCAGAGACGTCGGATCTCGGTGTTGCTGCCGGAGTGATATTCGAGCGTCTTTTCGTCAAGAGGATTATTACTCCCTCCCTGACCAACCTACGGTTCGGTCTATACTCTGCCCTCAACACTCCTCCCAGGCGGCAGACCAGAAAGAGGGCGAAAACTCCTCACACCAGATTCATTGGTTTCGCCCTCGTCCGGCCTTCTTCGAAATCCGCTCTTCGTTGGTCAAATTCCGAGGCAGACGAAGTGAACAAACTCGACCCTCCTGATGCGGATGATACAAAGGAGGGCGATGGTGCTACGGACGATCCTAATACCTTGTTCATACCGCAACCGCGCTGGAACGACGCGTTTTCTTTAAACCAATACCATATGATCCAGGAGGTAGAACCGGTACTGTGTACTCTCCACGTTCCATCTAAGCGGAACAATCCTCTGTTCGACGCTCTTCTTTTGCAGGAGGACAGTCCTAGCTGCGTTACGCTTTGGGTTATTCAAATCACTGCTGCCAAGATGCATGGGGAAGCAAGCGCTGGCTACAATGATATCCAAGTCATTTACAATCGAAGCGTGGAGAAATATGGTGATGGTAACGTGCGTGTAGGGTACATGTTGTTGGTGCCGCCAAAGTATCACCAGGTCGAGTGGACCTTTGAGGATATTCATCTGCTACCAGAAAATCTCCGACCTAGTAACGGTAACGTCTTTATCCAAGTTTTCCAAGTCGATGAATTGGAAACTAGTGTATCATACGATGGAAGTTCGCCGTTTTGACTCTTCCTGACTGTGATTCCGTTATTATTTCTTCTTGACACTTCGTTGTAGTTCATTTTTTCTCGATTCTTCTTAAACGACTGTGAGCACAAATTCTCAAGCCAAATTGCACCGACAAACAAGGTCGCACGAGGCCGTTTTCGGACTGGTAATTTATCTTACTACAATCTAAGTAATCAATATTAGAAGTATGAGTAGGTTAAGAACTGGCTAGGAAGTACCAATCCAATATCCTTGTGGAAGAAAAGAACGATTCAATTAGGTAGTCTACGGAAACTCTGCTCGCTACTCATTCATTCTTGAAGATCCTAATGAGCAGAGGCGATATAGACCGAGTAGGCTCAGAGCTCAAGGATGTGCGATGCATCAATGCCGCCTTGAACACTCTTGAACACCATCAATTCCTCCTTTGGATCACCCAGCTCGAACTCGAAATTGCGGACCAATGTATTAAACAAAAGTGCCTTCATTCTGAGTCGAAGTTGAATGATAGAAATAGTAATCAGAACTTCTATTCGAATATAGGCACACGAAGGGACACTTACTCGGTAATAGCAAAGCGCCAGTCGGTGCATCCTCTGGAATCGCCTCAGGTCATCAAATTGCTGTAAACTCTGGGAGCGTTGTTGGGAACATTGAGCCAGCGATCCGGGCTGAATGAAACGAGTCCAGAGGCATGTATTCTGGTGGCAGGAATGAAAAAAAAATTAGTAAAGCTCACTGAAAACCACCGGCGTCTGGATCCCAGAGCAATTTATCCGTGTTGACCTCGAGCAATGACAGGTTGATACCTTGACTTTTACGGATCCTATACATCTCCGTAAGCACTGGCTCCCTATCTTGATTCGGTCAGAGAACAAACACTCACTGGCACGGAATTTGGTTATGAACCTTCTCATTGCTGTCTGTAATTGGCTGTGCCGGGGGAAGTATGTCGTCCTGGGTAGCAATCCGGTTGATAGCAGTAAAAGACGGATGAGGTCGAAGGGTCTCGCGAACAACATCTGTAAAACCTGTCAGCTGGTTTCGAGCTCCTAGACGAAAATACAGGTTTTACAGATGTGAGCTGGACGTTGTCCATCCGGAGATCCTTTATATGCACGAGGGCATCCGGAAAGGCCTTGCTGTTACTCTGTGGTCTGTTGATGTCAGCGGAGACACAGTAACTAGAGTCTCGCCCAATCTTAAGGCCCGAGAATCTCTTCCTGCTCATCAGAGTTTTCTTCCTTTCTCGGATAACTCTTTAAAACAAAGATTTATCAGTATGGTCCAGTATGATATCCGCTACGACCATACGTGTCATTGAGAAACAATGTGGATCAGGAATCAAGATCATCAAGGCGTACGATATCAATGGGTAGCAGTGTGTAGTACTTATAGTATATCCCGCACTGATCAGTGTCTTATCTCATCTGCCACACTTCAATAAGACCTCATACCACCTGCTCCTGCCTTACTTCTCATCGCCGAGTCTTTTTTGCCCAGTTGCATCGCCTCTTGTGAGTACATAAACAGGACAGTGTCCTTTAGCATCCTTCAGTATTTTCTAACGATCACCTAAATATACTCCACATCATCTCGCGGGCGCTTAATCGTAAATTTAGAATTCTACATCGCTCCTACCCTATACTCTGCTAACTCGTACTCTAAAACCCCTCTAATTCGTCGGCGTCGGCACTAATTGGGTCCCCCGTCGTTCTTTCTCTAATCTGACAATGACGTGGAGGCCTCTCGGAAGGACCCCGGAAGCTCCTACCAGACCCCATCCGAATTAGCGTACTTTAGGACCCAATTTTGCCATTTTCCTTGGCCGAAATTAGCGTACTTTAGGCCTCAGAAGGCTCAATCCCTGTCCGAGATAGCGTACTTTGGGTATCTATTGGCTGACTTGGTGGCCCAATGGACGTAGATGGAGCTCTGATACCGGAGTTTGGGCAAAGAAGCTCAGAAGAGCTCCGGATGCAGCAATAATAGTCAAAAAAACGTACAGAAAGATGATTCCAGGCTTGGGGAAGAAAATTCGGTATTTTGAGAGCAATTTTTACGATTTCACGTGACATTCCTTATCCGAATTAGTGTACTTGAGGCCTGCTTGAGGCCAAAATCGTAGCGTACTTGAGGCCGCCTGGGCGGGTGGGGTTTGGCAGGAGCTTCCGGGGTCCTCTCTCAGACTGGTGCGGTCGCCACAACACACCACACTCGAGTTTCACCCAATTCCACCATGGATAACGGTAACGACGAAGACTACACCCTTGACTACGACAATGGTGACTATGAGGAATCTACCAACGAGGTTGGAGACTCCCAAACTCTACAAGAGGAGGAGACCGATAATGATGTGTCTCACATGGCTCAAGACAACGAATTTCAAATCACTGACAGCCCCTCTCAAGAGCCTGGACTACGGAGTCCGACCACTGCTTCACCCAATCCGGCAGCATTGGCATCCCGTATGCTCCAGCTTAGTGGTATGTTGCATCGTCGTGCTCAGCACAGTCGAACAACACCTTCTCTCTTGACTCCGCTACCTTCCTCCCGTCGGAGTCTAGCTAACCAATCAGCTGACTCCTTCACCTCGGCTGGGGGCACATCGGTGGCTCCCACTCCCGCACGTCTCCAACCCCCTCCTCCTTCTCGAGGTTGCCGCGCGCGTAAGCCTGGTACCACATCAACCACGCGTAAACCAAAGGATCCGGACAATGTCCCTCGCACAATCACCTACCCTCCCTCTTCTGAGCTGGAACAGAGACCGAAGGTCGGAAAGGAAACCAACTCCAACCAGATCCTGAGGGTGGAGGCTAACCTTGTCCGAGTGGAACAGTTAACTCAACGCAGGGCGGGGGAAATGCATTCTTCAATGCTTTCGGCGCTCGCGACACATCATCGTGAGATCCTGAACGATACCAGGGCGGAGTTGGACAAGATAATCTCAAATTCTCTACGGGAGGAAATAACTAATATTGTTTCTACGGAACTCAATCGCTTAGAACCGAACCTTGTCACACGCCTAACCTCTCTCCTGCCCATCGACACTATCAACACCCTTCTATCCTCCATGGAGGACATGCTCAATGCCTCTACCCCTGTCACTCCCCCTCTTGGGCCTTCACCTCTGCACCTACCTTCTCGCCCCAACAATCACCTGTTCACGCCTTCCAAAACTGCCCCTTACTCATCACGAATCCCTTCCTCACCCTCCCTGCTGGCCCGCTTGCGGAATGGACCCTCAACGACGCAAACAGGACCCCTGATCCCTGCCGACAACTCCCCATTGACCAACGTCAGTGCCCCCCAAACGACCATCGGTTCTTCAATCAAGGCGGGTAAACGACGTGCCGACGACGTAGATGCCAGCAATAGGGATCCTAAGCGTCATCGCTATGATGCTCGCTCTGCTCACACTGTCACCATTGACCTTCCACCCAACTGGGAGCCTCTCCCCACCACTATTGACTACATTTTCGAAATGTACAATACCTGGTCTACCGACTTCGATGCTGCGGCGCGGGTGCTGCTCCCACGGGTTGGTTATATAACTCGTCTAGGTCCCTATCGACTCCGCCTCACTTTCTCCAAGGAAGGCATTGAGGAGTTCCTTGCCGCTTGGAATACCCACCACACCTCCGTACCTGGCTTAACCAATGTCATTGCTCACAGGGACAGCACTCATTGACGGTGGTGCGGGGGCATGGAACGGACTGGCGATACTTCTTCCAACCTATTCCTCTCCCCCTCTCCTTCTGATTATGTGCTCCTGGCTACGACATCAAACATTACTGTACCCTATTCTTATGTAACACCATCTGTACTGCCCTCATCTTCCTCCTCTGTACTACCATCCATGCCTCGTTCACTCTCCTCTCCCATTTCTTGCTTTTCTCCCTCTGCTCCCCTTTCTACCTTAACTATGTCTTCCTCTGTCCAACAAATTCGAAAAATGCGCGTTCTATGTTGGAATATAAATGGCCGTTACCTTCTTAACTACCTCTGCTCTGAGTTCCTTGACCTCATGAATAAATTTGATATTATCCTCCTTCAGGAGACACGACTACAACACCACTCGACAATTCGCTGTCCCTGTGGATTTACTGCTTACACACGTAATTGCCGGACCCTACACACTGACATCGAGAATCCATGGGGTGGGGTAGCTATGCTAGTCCGTGACAGCCTCCAATGTCAGGTTAGGCTTGACCTCTGTGGCCCAGATATCCTGGCAGTGGTCTTCTTCAATGTATACATTCTTCCTGAATCTTCTCGTACTGACTGGACAGAATGGGCTGAGCTCCATCCCTGGGACTCTTTGGCTCAATGCATTCGCCTCGCAGTTGCCCTGGATATCCCATTTGTTGTTGCTGGTGATTTCAACACCCGAATAGGCCATGTCCTCCCCTACCCCACCCACCCCACCCGATTCTCGCCTGACTCTGTGGTTTCCACATGTGGTCGTTGTCTATTACAGCTATGTGCAGAACTCGAACTCACTATTCATTCCAACTCCGCTTCACCTGATCCCAACAATGGCTGGACCTCTTTTCAAAAACGCCGCAACAGCCTTGGTCAACTTATCACTCTCCCCTCAGTTATTGACTACCTCTTATCCTCATCCCTCACCTCCTACTTCATCTCTGACTTCACTATAAGTTTGGAGACCAAATGGTCGGACCATGCCTATCTCTACTGGGACTTCATTCTCCCAGGGCCCCAACCACACCAACAAACTGCGGCACCTCGTCGCCGACTACAAATCTTTGCCCCCTGTACCTCTGACATTGATTTCCTCCAGATGCGGATCTTATTGGCCGACCCCCCTACTCTCACAGACCTCCTGCTTCAAGTCTACGGCCACGCTCAACCAAATATATACACCCAACCTCTGAAAATCTATACTGATGGCTCATGCCTAGCAGCTAACTCCGCCTCTGCACGCGCTGGCTTGGGCATGTATTATGGTCCCAGCAACCCTCACAACCTCGCTGCACGCATTGTTGGACCCCAACGAAACAACCGAGCAGAACTTTATGCTATTTTGGCTGCTATTCAGCGCTCAACACCAACTCGCCGCCTGGAACTCTTCTCGGACTCTACTTATACAATTCAGTCTATTGTCTATGGTGCTGGTGACAACTATCAATGCAACTGGGACTGCCCCAATGGCGATCTCCTGAAAGCAATTGCATTGTGGATTGCATCCCGCCCTTCCACAATTGTACTCACCCATGTTCGGTCTCATACTGGGAATGCCCACAATGATGCTGCCGAGTTGCTTGCCAAACAGGGTGCCTCGCTCCCTCCACCTGCTCCCTTCTCTGACCTTGACTTCATTGCACTACCCTCCCCACCCACCTTTCACCCTGCTCACCCTACTTTTATCCCAAAAGTTTCCACGCTGCTACCTGATCCGCGATCCCATCCGAATCTCCCCAACTCTCAACGCATCCTCACTGATGAATTCACTGTTGGGCACTGCCGCCATTCCTATCGACGGCTACTTGAAGACAAAGCACTGCTAAAACTACGTAACGCCGCCAAGGCAGGCGGCGCTGCCTTCTGGAATCATTACAAGTCACTACGCAAACCTGACCGAACTACTCCAAAGGTCACCATCTCTCAACTCACTGACTGCTTCATTCCTCGCATGAATCCACCCGACACTACATCAACTTCATTTGACCCTCGAATATTAGAACAGCTGGATGCATCGGCAAATGAGATCCCCTTCCCATCCCCCCAATCCTCCCATCCCGACTTCAACCTTGCCGTTACTGAACGTGATGTCAGTTCTGTCAAGGCCTACCTTAAACGTACCACTCACTCTGATGCCACTGGGGTGGATGCGGCAACTTATTCCCAACTGATGGGGATTCCGAACAATCTCCTTGCCTCTTTATTCTCTCGAGCCTTCCGTTGCAATGAATTTCCGTTCTCTTGGCTAATCGCTATAATCATTGCTGTACCCAAGCCAGGGAAGGACCCTTCAGATGCAAACAACTACCATGCAATTGCACTCGAGAGCTGTGTCCTGAAATTTGCTTCCCTGCTCATTCACCTCAAACTCAGTCATGCACTGGAACAAGCTCAGGTCATTCCCCCCTCGCAGAATGGTTTCCGATCAGGATATCATACTAATAATAATGCCTTCATTTTGCGCACCCTCATTGAGAAAGCACGTGCTTCTGGGAACACTGACAAGACCGTGCCTACAGGTCAATAACTATAGCAGTTCTGAGGCCAGATATGGGCCGGAAATGGCCTGGGATAACTCCGAGGTCCGGAGCCGAGTACTGGCCTGTAGTACACACTGGGAGTGGGACGTCGGTGAAGCTATTAGCAACACCCTTCACACACTGTTGGTGTCCCCGGGAATTATGGCAAGAGTGCAAGATTGGTATGAGCAGCCTAAATGGGGTTCCTGATGATCCGGGAGTCCGGGAGCAAAGGGTAAAGAAGATATTAAAGAGTGGGATAAGGTGGTACACTTGATTTCAAGCTTGACTACAACGTACAAAGTATTCTAGCTTATATACATCCCAAATACAGTGGTCATAAGACCTCGATGAAAGCTTGGAATAATAAATAAGTCACAAGGTAATTATTCCGAAGTCCGGCCGCTCCGGGCCGGGCTGGGAAGCGTATAGGGTGAATTGCATGCATATGACAAACACCCTCTTCGCTGCGTTTGTGGATATATCTAATGCTTTCCCCTCCACAAATCAGAGCTCTCTATGGATTAAGCTCGCCAGTCTAGGACTCACCGGTCAATACTTTGACTGGCTCCATTCGCTCTACAAACGGATGACATATGTGATTTTGCATGACGGAAGCCTGTCTGCCTATTTCCAGGCAATGTGTGGAGTACTTATGGGGGACCCTTCCTCTCCAACACTCTGGAACATATTCCTACTTTCCATCTCTGGCATGACCCTGATGACCTTGAGCTCCTTGGAGTTGTCATCTCACACCTCGAACATGCCAATGACATGGTTCTCATCACCCGGTCTGCCCTTAGCCTCCAATGCCACCTCACTACCTTCGAACACTATTGCCACAACAACAACCTCACTGTTAGCGCGGGTAAATCCTGGGTTATGCTGTTTGGTTACCTACCTCCCACCCTACCCACCCTGTGGCTAGCTGGCTTGGCCCTACCGTTCAAGGATGCTGTTACCTATGTGGGCATACAGTTTCAATCGTCACACCGCCACCTCTTTGCAGCTCACTACACTACCAAACGCGATGCAGCCGTTACAGCCGCCGGAGGCATCTCTGGTTGCAAGCTCATCTGTCATGCCTTGCTTCTCCGTACCTTTCCCTTTCCTTTCCAGAGCTCCGGTTCATCACTTATACATGTTTCCGATATTCTATGCACCATCCTTACGATCTTCATGATACATATTACCTGTCACTCCAGAGCCACATGACATATGTACCTGACAGCCTCATGTACAGTATATAGGCTGGGGACTCCCCTCGGAGCTCCCCAGCATGTTATTGTCAAATCTTACCTGGAAACTCTTCCTACCTGGCTTGGTCCCTTTAGTACAGTCTACTAGTACTTGCTAACAGGGCCTGACACGTCTCAACTGTCATATATTTCCTCATTATCTGTTTCCTTTATCTCTGTCTCACCTCAACTCTATTTCTCCTCTCTGTTTCCCATCTCTGGCCTCTTTCTGTCAATCCTCGTATTGTCTACGCCTCTCCTTCGACTCACCATCTACGTTGAGGCTCTACAATTCGTCCTTCATCCTTTGGAACCTCCCATTAGGTTCCCAATTCCGCTTCATTGCTCCCTAAGCTCCCCACAGCTTCCCACTCGTATCAGCTACACCTCCCCTCCACATCGAAGCGGTGGTTACGTGTTACGTTCTACACCTCCAGGACCCTCTATTAGGTCTACCCAAGTTCCACAACTACCCCTGGTTAGGCTCTCCTCACCAGTATCGGCACTATCCCATACCTCCTCATACGGCCTAGGCAGCTACTGCGTTTGCTTAGGCCCAGTCTGGGTAAGACCAGAGCAGGCCTTCTGTGCCGGGGCCTCACATCATCATTGGACATCAACGACTCGACCCTTCCATTGCAAAGCAACTTTACTCTGCCCTTGTCGACTGCCACCTCATCAATGGTTGTGAGGTTATTATCAACACGGACAACCTCCTTATTTCCATGTTAGAACAGGTCCAACTTCTTTGCCTTCATCGCTTACTGGGCCTCTCTCGTCAGTCCATGACAACACCTCTTTTCACCGAGACGGGGATCATGCCTATCCGTGCTCGGCAAGTCATCCTAGCATTGCGCTACCTCATCTACCTCATCAATCTCCCTCGGAATCACTACGCAAGCCTGGCCCTTCATGAAAACCACAACATGCGTGCCTCGGGAATTCCATGTTGGCTGTCTGACCTGGACTGGGTGATACAACATCTACCGGGCTGCTCTCTCTCTCTCCCACCTCTCCCCATCATCTCCGAGGAAATCATACTCGCGCTCATCAAGTCCATCACAGCCAAAACAAATTCGCGCTTACAAACCGAGATTGACTACAGCAACCAACTTGCTCTCTTACAACACCGCCTTGAACCACAGAAGACAGGACCCAACAAGCTCATCACCCGTACCCTCCGCCACTACCTCACGCATGTATACAAATCCCATCACCGTCTCTCACTCACCCGTCTACTATGTGGGGATATGGTGCCCATCACTTTCCACTCTTCCCCAGCTCGTATTCACTCACTCAACCTCGGTGAAAACCATTCGAAACGGTGTCGTGCTTGTCTTTCACCGCTGCAACCAGAATCCCCACAACACGTCCTTTTACAATGCACTGCAATTGCCGCAATCACTACTTTAAGGAACGAATTCCTCGTTGATGTTGCCGTGTTCATCCCCCTACCAACAACTCGGACTTTCACCAATGTTGAATCTCTGTATTACCTCAAGGCTTTTATATTCAATTGAAGTACAGTACGTCGGGTTGCGCGATTTATTCATGAAGTAGTTGTGATATGGAAGGCCTTTACACACCAAGAATTGGATGGGAGCTACGACGAAAGTTCTAACGAGAACGATTAACTATCGATCGGATATACTTTATTACCCTCTCATGTACCTCTATCTATTTCCTCTGCCTCAACGTCCGGGCGTCAGTCTACCTTCTCCTTGTGGGTTGCGCTTGCTGTCGTTTGCTCGTTGAGACCGGCCGTTCCGTTTAGGGGACCACACCATTAACGTGGTGGGGCCGAGTAACAATCTATCTATCTATCTATCTCCACACAGACGGGACAAAAAAATTTGCTGGTCAAAATTTTTTGCCTGTTTTCAACCCTGCGACTGGTGTGTCTGGTGAGTGTTTACCATTGGCTTTGGCTAGAGTACGCTTTAATGAAACATTGTACATGGAGCCTTTTCTCTTGATCACTGTTGACGGTGATCCTGATCAACACTTTCACTCCAACTTCAACTTGCATCGAATTTCATCCATTTCTGCTTGCTTTTCCCTAATTTGGACCACACCTATCTCTTCATAACCTGTAACAGCTTTGGTTCGCGTTTTTCGTCACCGCAACAGATTGTAGACAATGCGTTCCGTCATATTGTTCTTAGGCTTTAGCCTCCTCACATTTACTGCGGCAGTCCTCCTCGTTATTAGTTGCCATCTTGGAGCTGTTGCTTTGCCTTTGGTCGTCCGCGAAGCTTCTTCTGTGGAGACAACAGCATCCTTACAACTAAAGGTTCGAGCAGACAGCTATAATTCTTCTTCTCAGGCGAGCACCCAACACGGCCATACCGTCGGTAGTGAGTGATTTTCTTTTTCGAAAATATCTCCTAATTATTCCGATGTTCCCAATTCACAGCTCTGGAGTGGTTCGAAGCCGGATTCATCCTACTCCCGCAGCGTGGTCGGAAAAAAATCTAATACTATAAATACGGTGTAGTCCTGGACTAACACGCTTACCTGAAGGAGGACAACAGACCGGTGAAATAGAGCTTATTAGCAACACGTCGAAAACTTTTTGAAAACAAAAAATGAACAGTCATGCTTTGAAAAAGCACGGTTTGATCATGCTACTGACATTGTGACCACAACTCAAGAATGTTCCGCCCTCTACCCTTTGTAACAAAGTTGCCCAGCCTCCGGTTGCACTATAACGATCCATCCGTGTAGGCCATCAAAGCCTGTCATATTCGTGTACCCTCTCCCCAAAAAATTATGTCGTACGAGCAATTACTAGAAGTTGTACAGTACATAGAATATAGACAAACCAACGCTAATGCTGATCACGTTCTCGTCACACTTTTCGACTTTATCGCAGGATCTTTTCGACGTGGAGCAACTTTTCGACGTGCTGCTAATAAGCTCTAATACAAGAAACTGGACGACGAGGAGTATGCTCACGTGCAGGCCGCGGGCGAGCACGAGCCCATGACCCTGCGCATGGTGAATGAGGAGACGGCGGAAATGTTCCAAAGATCTTCCAAGAATGGTTGCGAGTGGGTGGTGGAAACACTGGATTTGATGAAGAAGTATTCAGACTTCCTTCAAGGCATTCATGAAGAGTGGAGGGGATTGTCGAACGAGGATAAGACGTATATAAGGAGTCAAATATCCACCCAGGAAGGATATCTGGGGCTTCATACCACGTGTCAAACACAGCTTTAGACTCGGATGGCTTTTTAGAGCTTGCCGTAGTTATGTCATACCCCCCTTCATTGCAGACACCTCGTGTCCCCGGCTGCTACATTGCCTTACAATCTTCACAATCCTCTCTCCACTCCTCTGTACACATAGATAGCTCTGTTTCCCAGGACACTCTCACACTTGGGGGTCCCTCAAGGGTCTCTACACTTACCTCTGTAATTAATAATAATCGACGTATCCCTCTCTCTTCTTCCTCTACTCACAACATCCCGCCTCCTCACTCTCTACCTCCCCCTCTCTCTAATCCTACATTGATCAATAATGGCAGTAAAATTCATATCTTGTCCTGGAATATCAACGGCCGCTACTTGTTAAATTACCTCTGCTCAGATTTTGTGAAGATCATCACAACCTACGACGTTATAATGCTGCAAGAAACTCGTATTCAAGCGGGCACTACAATATGCCCTCCAACTGGCTTTACAGTCTACACCCGAAACCGACGACGAATTGCAGATGATATTGAAAACCCTTGGGGGGGTGTGGCTACCATTGTTCGCGACAGCCTTCGGAGCACTGTGAGACTAGACCTGAGTAGTCCGGACATATTAGCAGTCCAGGTAAACGGTATTGTACTCTTTAACTCTTACATCATCCCCGAATCTTCCCGCACCGATTGGACCCAATGGGCCGACCTACATCCTTGGGATGTGCTTGCCCAAAGCATTCGTCTTGCGACCTCTCTAGATCTCCCTTTCATCATAGGTGGCGACATCAATGCCCGAACAGGGTCTTTTTCTCCCTATCCAGAGCACCCACCTCGCCAATCGGCTGACTCAGTCATCTCCACCCGTGGCCGCTGCCTTTTGAAACTATGTGCAGATCTTCACCTGACAATCATGAATGGCTGTTCCACCATCCCTGGCGACCACAGCAGCTGGACCTCCTTCCAACACTGACGAAGCACTGATGGGACACCAGCTATTCACCCCTCCGTAATCGACTATGTCTTGGCCTCTCCGCTCTCCTCATACTTTATCTCTAAGCTGGCAGTAAGCTCAGAAACAGAATGGTCTGACCATGCATACCTATCATGGGATCTATTTGTACCGGTAACGAGCTTGCCTCGTTTTTGTGTGAAAGAGAAAGGAAGGAATCTAATGGGCACTCCAACCAACCAATCTAATACACAATATGCGAGTTCACTGCTATCAAATTTATTTAATAGCAAGGGGTAGCGTTGGCAAAGGTTCCGCAAAGCTTTGAGAGCTAAGTAAGAAGCTTTGATCAATCAATTTGAATCGTTCTAAGGATTCGATATATTCCTTTGATCAAGGTAGATTCAGCACGATTTGTGCTTTGGTTTGTATTGATTTGGGTATATCAAGAATTGGGGGTTTGAATCAAAGTAAATTAAAACCGAAACACACAGACCCCTACGGAGGGCTAGAACTATGTGCTGGCACAACCACACAGTGTGATTTGCCCTTAAGACCAACGACTGATCCTAAGTTCGAAGGATATCCAACAACTGGATATACTTCTCGCAGTCACAAGGAGCAGAACACGACGTTCCTATACTCACAAGTGCCGGGCCCGAATGGCTGCTAGCGAAGAGGTTTCAGTCTGGCGGGAGTGTGTCTTTCCTTTTTATGGATTAGCACTGCAACGTCGTCCCAAAATCACTTGTATTCCAGATACATCGGATCGCTATTTATACATACAGAATATAGAGTCGCACAGTACAATTAATTTAATACAATAAACGTTCGGAACTGCCAGGAAACTTCTACACTCGGTCAGATACCATTTAATTTGAATCTACATGTCCTTATTTGGCCCATATTGGTTCCAAGATTCTAGTATACCTCCAAACATAGGTAGGTACTTCGATATTCATTTAATTTAATTGTTTTTGGAGAATGACTCGAATGGTGTTCAACTGTCATTGCTGTTCAATACTTACTTCGATCGTTTGTCACCTCGTCCGGAGGCAAATCAGCTCTCCTCAATTCTAATCCTATCAATCTGATTCATCTGGATTAAACTAATTGCTTCTCTCTTTCAACAGACACCCATTGTGCCTATACTCTATCAAGGGAGTTACGCATAGTATTCATTTAATTGTATTCTTCAATATTTTCTACGTCAGGACTCTTTGACATTCATTTGATATGTCTTTGGAGCCTCGCAGTACTTCGATTGTTCTTCTAGTCATTTTCCTCAAACATGCAACTTGATTGGTCTATTAGACTAAATCGCAGTCTTTTAGATTAATGCATGATCTTGTTCTAGAAGGAGTATTTGATAATTCCTGAGTTCTAGAAAGTCATTTCGAGTCAATCCTCGGCTCATGGTCACTTGAGTAAGTTCTTCCAAACTCCTGTCAGTGTAAGGTCCAATAAGAATACCCTTGGTATGTCATACGTGAATGGTCATCCTTCGGATGTAGTCCGAGTCTGGTATAATCCTGCTTGACAAACAGGTAGACTACTATCTGAAGGTTGGATCGGGGATGGGTAAACTAACCAACTTGTGGTAGTATGGGGATATGGTCCCTTCAACTTATTAGACTGATTCAGTATTGACTTTGACTGTCAATCTGGGTCTCAATTACAGTCCTCTCGATACAAATCTATATGTGAAAATGTCACAATTCACAGCATAGACGTCTAGCCAAAATTTAGGCGTGTCACCGGGCACTGAAATTACACGTTGCCCTCCTGTACGACGCCCAAGGCCCCATATTGCTATCCCATTAATCTCCCACATTGATCACCTTCAACATGAGCTGCTGCACTCTCGGAACAAGTCGCACCACGAACGGTTACTCAAGGTCTATGGCCATGCCAGCTGCCATCCCCAGTCTGCACCTCTAAAAATTTTCACCGATGGCTCTTGCCTCAACAATAACACTGCCACTGCTTGTGCCGGTCTGGGAATCTATGTGGGACCTGACCACCACTTAAACCTTTCTGCGCGAATATTAGGACCTCAGCGAAACAACCGCGCTGAACTCTATGCCATCCTCGCCACCATTCAGCGCACCTCAACAAGTCGTACACTTGAGATCTACACTGACTCTACCTATGCTATCCAGTCCATTGTATATAATGCACCTGACAATGCTCAATGCTGCTGGAATTATCCTAACGGTGACCTTCTCCAAGTAATCGCTCACTGGATCTCGGCTAGGGCCTCCACAATCGCATTTACTCATGTCCGTGCCTACACCGGCATCACTCAGAATGAGCAGGCAGACCAACTTGCAAAAGCTGGTGCCAATCTCCCTCTACTTCAACAACACTCCAACCTTGACTTCCTTTCCTTACCTACCCCACCTCCGTTTATCCCTCAATCACATATGAGCATTGCCAAAGTCTCTACCACGTTACTGGACCCTCGTTCATCTGCGTCCACTATGGCTCGCTCCATACCTGCTACCTCTTCTACAGTTGACCATCGTGGTCGCTCTCACCGACGGAAGATGGAGGACGCAAACTTATCGCGCCTGCGGCTTGCTGCTGACACGGGTGGTGCTGCCTTCTGGAAGTTTTACAAATCCTTACGCAATCCTGACAAGCCCCTACCTAAGGTTACACTGGAGCAACTAACGAGCTGTTTCATTCCTCGCATGAACCCTCCCGATCCTCGTACTACCTCTATCAATCCCCTATCCCCCCAACATGAAAGCTCCCGAGCTAAAGCTATCCCAAACCCATCACCTTCTTCACCAATCCCCTCATTCAACTCTTCAATATCTGAGGACGACATTGGCACTATCAAGAGCTATCTTAAACGCACCACCCATTCAAACTCGGCTGGTGTTGATCTCATCACATATTCGACTATCATGGACATTGATAACGACCACTTGGCCTCCTTCTTTGACCGCGCATTCACGCACAATGAATGTCCTACTTCATGGCTCACATCAATCATTGTGGCAGTACCTAAGCTGGGAAAGGACGCAACTGACCCAAACAACTACCGTGCAATTGCTTTGGAAAGCTGTATCCTCAAATTCGCCTCACTCCTACTACACCTCAAGCTGAGCCAGGCACTGGAAGAGGCTAACGTTTTACCTGCCTCACAGAACGGATTTAGGGCAGGATACCGTACAAACAACAACGCTTTCATCCTCCGCACCCTCGTTGAAAAGGCTAAATCTCATGATGACACTCTTTACGTGGCTTTTGTAGACATCTCCAATGCTTTTCCCTCAACGAACCAGAGCAGCTTATGGAACAAGCTGGCTGACTACAATCTGACAGGCAAATACTTCGACTGGTTACGCTCCCTCTACAACCAGATGACCTATATCATCGCCCATGATGGTGACATCTCTGATCGTTTCCGAGCTATGTGTGGGGTTCTGATGGGCGACCCCTCCTCTCCAACTCTCTGGAACATCTTCTTGTCCACCTTCAATCTCATCCACGACCCCAACGACCTTGACCTACTCGGCATTGTCATATCTCATCTCGAACACGCTGATGACATCGCCCTGATCTCACGCTCATCACATGGCTTGCAGTCCCATCTCAAAGCCTTTGAAACTTACTGCCATGCAAACAACCTCTCCATTAGCGCTGGTAAATCCTGGGTTATGGTCTTCGGCCGCCTACCCTCACCCCTGCCCACCTTATACCTTGCTGGCGAAGCACTATCCTACCGAGATTCTGTATGCTATGTCGGACTCCACCTCCAATCCACACACTGACATCTATTTGCTGCGCATTATACAGTGAAGCGCGACTCTGCAATCACTGCTGCTGGCGGCATCGCTGGCTGCGACCTCATCATTGGACACCGTCGTCTCGACCCGTTGATTGCAAAGCAACTCTACTCGGCACTCATTGACTGTCACCTCATCAATGGCTGTGAAATCGCGATCGACACTGATAAACATCTGCTGTCCATGCTTGAACAGGTGCAGCTTCTCTTCCTCCGGCGGATGCTAGGTCTCTCTCGTCGCTCTATGGTCGCTCCTCTCTTCACTGAGACCGGCATCATGCCCATCCGCATTCGTCGAGTCATTCTTGCTCTCCGATATCTCCTTTACCTTCTGAAACTCCCACCTGACCATTACGCCTATCTCGCACTCCAGGAAAACAACAATCTTCGAACTCAGGCCAAGAAATGTTGGCTCTCGGACCTCGATTGGGCCATCACCCACCTTCCATCCTCAACACTCTCCCTTCCCCCACTGGCTCAGCTCTCAGAGCAATCCGTCCTCCTACTAATCAAATCTATCTCTCACGAGTCAAACGCCCACCTCCAGTCAGAAGTTGACAACAGCCATCGCTTAGCATTGTTACACAGCCGCCGGGAACCACAGAAAGAAGGACCAGCCAAATACGTTGCTCGAATGCTGCGCCACTACCTCATACTAATCCGAAATCATGATCATCGGCGGACTCTCACCAGATTGCTGTGTGGTGACATGGTCCCTCTCACATTCCGCGCTTCTCCGGCGAGAACGGACCCCATATCAGAGGCAGAACAAGACACAAAGGGATGTCGGTCATGCCAATCACCATTTCATCCAGAATCTCCCCAGCATATCCTCCTTCAATGTGTAGCTGACGAGACCATCACTGACTTACGAACCACCTTCCTACTCAACATATCACCATTCATCCCTCTTCCTCGAAGCCAACAATTTTCTAATTCCGAGGCTCTTCACTACCTCAAACTCTTCATCTTCAACAACACGTTTATCACTCGCACAGCACGTTTCATCCACGCTACTGTTGTACACTGGAACTCACTACGCCAACTTCACATTGCCTGTGATGAGGAGAGTGAGGAAGACGAAGGTTAGACAATCATCAATCATCATCTACCCTTTCCTCTCTTTCTTGTCAAGGCAATGACATTCTTCCTCTCTCTTCTTCCTTGTGCTCAACTTCACTCTCAACACGACTTTCTTCTGATACCCTCTCGTACTCTCTTGCGCCACTTTATCTTCATCACTCGTACCTCCTTTTCATATCTCTTCTTGTCGCTCGTACTCTTCAATTTACTCTTACTCATGTATTTCTCTTGCACTCTCACATCTCTTGCACTCTCTATCTCTCGTACTCGCTCTTTCTCGAACATTACTCTTACTCGTATGCAGTACATCAGCAGTAGTCTACCCTTCCCTCTGTTCGGACTGAGCTCGCTATTGTTCATGTACTGTAACCGACTGTTCCGATGCGGGACCCCGTCTCTAGGGACGGAGCCAAGTATCAATCTATTTATCTAGTAGGACGTACTTTTTCCGCTGGCCGGTGGGCTCGTAAATATTTTTCCGAAAGTTGTGAGCGCTGTATAAGATTATTAGTAGACGATGCCTGCTTTTGACAAGGTTCCGTTCTGCAATCATTGACATATGGTCAAACCAAATGCCAAAAACTCGGGTGACAATAGAGTACGTTGGCACGTGACGTATTGCCGGATTAATTATTATACTTACATCAACTTTGTTCCTCCCTTCGTTGAAAGAGACAATAAAGTTTTTTATTGTTCTTCCTTGCTCACTCTGTTTACAAAACAACGTCAATAAAGTGTTGACAATGGGTCTGTCTCAAGTATAAAAGGATGAGAGGTTTTAGGATTCTTTCCTTACTTTCTCTTACGACTTCCAAGTTCCGACTCCACCAACGCCAACGACTTTTCCACTTTGATTTCTCTTCTTTTCGCTGTGCGAATTCAACCTCACTTCCTAGCAACTTCTCGCTCAACTGTTCTTTCGCAACAACATGATTACCGCCATTCTCCTCTCTCTTCCTCTTGTTTCTCTCCTTCCCGTTGTTTCCGCCCACGGCTGGCTGGGCTCGGTTACCGTCGGCACCCAGACGTTCGTCGGTAACGTCCCAAACGCCAGTCCAACAGGAACCATTATTCGTCAAATCGACGACGTCGATCCAGTCAAAGGAGCTTCGAACACGTTTTTGAATTGTGGACAAAACGCACAGCTCGCGTCCGATGTAGCAGAAGCTAATCCTGGCGATACGGTTGCTTTTACCTGGGTTAACGGTGACGATGGACCGGTATGTTTTGCTTCGTGTCGCATTAATAATCTCCGACTGATTTTTTTTCCTTTCGTGAGTGGGTACACAATGCTGGTCCTATGCAAACCTACATGACGTCCTGCGGTTCTCAATCCTGCTCTTCCTTCGATTCCTCCACCGCCTCCTGGTTCAAAATACAAGAACAAGGTCGTATAACCCCTGGTGGCGATTGGGCCATGTCCCTTATGAACACGGGTGCCCCAGCGAACGTTACCATCCCATCTAACATCGCTCCGGGGAACTACATCATCCGTCACGAGCTTATTGCGTTGCAGATCGCTCAAACGGCAGGTGGAGCAGAGTTTTATCCGGCTTGTGTTCAGCTGAAGGTTGGAGGAACTGGGACGGGTACACCGAGTGAGGATGAGCTGGTTCAACTTCCTGGCGCCTACAGTGATACTGATCCTGGAATCTTGGTCGATGTACGATTTTCTGTGTTCATTTACGTGGTCCACTGGGCTGATTTGTTCGTGTCTTAGGTCTACTCAAACCCAGATGCTGATTACGTTTTCCCTGGTCCTGCTGTTGCTGCCTTCGTTTCTGGAAACACCACCGCCACGTCCTCTCCTTCCGCCGGGGCCTCGTCTGCGACCATCTCTTCTTCCGCTGTTGCATCCTCCTCCACCGCCTCCTCCGCCTCTTGCAAGAAACGCCGTGACGTTGTTCGTCCCCGCACTCTTAGTCGGGTCATGAAGAATCTTGTCCCACAGTGACCCGATCCGTCGAACAGCAACGTTTCATGACCCACGATGTCCATTAACGTTAGGATCAAAACGAACCGCATACTTGACTTTTAAGGACCTGCTCGCATCTCAATCGTTGTATCGATAGCATTTATACTTACTTTGTACATCGCCTTGCTTGCAAGTCATAGCAGTACAGTACCAACACTCACTTATTGTTGTATATACTCCCTATTCCTACGGTTGGAATATAACCTTGTTGTATTCACCCTTACTCCAGTTAGTCCGGACGCTCGATACTCTTTCTTCTACCACTTCGAGGAAAAAGCTGGAAATGATGACATCGGAAAACTTTCTCTTTACCTAACCCGGGCTTGGATTGTAAAATCGTTTATGGCAGCGATACCCGCGGCTGGCTCGATAGATTAGTAGACTACCCTCAGATATCATTCGCATTGTATCTTCTAGTGCCTTATTTGATTATTTCCCTCAGTTTTTCCCCCACTCGATTTGAATTTTTCGTTCCTTGACGCCAAAGTTGTTCGATCATGCAATGGAATATTGACAAGTACAACGAATATCAATGTGCCGGTGCCACAGTGCTACCCACTCCCCACGCATATTCCCAATACCGATCCAGTTCAAGACCTCTCTTCTTAGCCATTTCATTAAATATCTCGACCCATCCTCCCAACTCCCGCCCTGCCAAAACAGGGATTCCGGTTTGAGGTTGCTTGAGCAATGAGAGATAAAGCAACACCGTATTGATCCAATCCAGGTCATCCTCTACAATAACTACATGTCTCAAATTCGGACCGATGTGCATTGGCTCCCCTGGTACCAAAACACCCCCAAACTCTGCGTTCTTTTCTTTCATCCTCTCCAGCAATAACATATTGGTCTGAGAAACGAGTGTATGAGGGTCCCTAATCACCTGGAAGTGGTAGTTCTGAAAAACTTCGTTGGGACCGAACTGTGCAATGAGAAAGGAACTAGGTGTGAGACCGTTTGGAATTTTCTTCAAGACGGATCTGTCGGGAGTTTTGTGCCCCCAGGACGGAAGGGGAACGTCGACGACGTTGGGAACCCAAGTACGAGTACGAATGATATTATTTGCTTTGTCGTAGTCCGTGTAGGGTGCGACCTGAGGCTCGAAGCCACCGAAATATTTTCCAGTGAAGAACAAAGATAATCGGTCTGAACCTGAAAACCCCGCTAAAACCCTCCTATATTCATCATCTCCGGGTTTCTTCCATGCTAGCATAATGATCATGCTGCCTTTGGTAAACCCTGAAACACATGAGAACTGTGATTAATGAGAGAAAACTACATGCAGCCGAGTCCTGTTCGCGTCAACTTACTGTGGCGGCTATTTTCATTTGGGGTAGGAGTAGTAATCGGGGAGGCTACTGCATTGAGGATAAGGAAAGCAGCAACAGCGGACAACAGGAGGTATGCAGAGAATAGGAGACGACATGAATATGAGAATGAGGAAGGCAGACGAGGCATTAGAGCGCAATAATGTACTGCGAAAAGGTACAAGGGTAAATTAGTTTCTGATAACGCACATCACGGAGAACAAGCACATACGTCTGCCACTTAGTGAACTTGAAGCTTGCTGAAGAACAATAAACTCGACCCGCGAATTTATTCAGCTTCTGGAAAAAGAAGAGCAAGGTGAAGACTTTTGATGTTGAGGTTCCCTCCGATCTTACTTATATCTTTCATATCTTGAGGATCCGTCGCATCAGGATCGATCCTACGGAATGAGTACGTAATGATAAAATGAGAATCCTCCTTCCCTCTTCGTTCTCATCTTCAAAATCCGACAACTCTATCATCGTCTCCCTAACAGACACATTCTCTGCTTCCAACCCGAGTTGCACTCCCAACCCAATCCATTCTCGAAATCAACCAAGTCCTCCGGTTCCTACATTACACAGCGGCGCCCGCACTGGAGCCTCCTCTCCATGAAACATATACAGCCAACGCTAGACTGGCATAAACACCGCAGAATGAAAAAGGCCAGCCTCCAGGCTATAAGAGGCTATATGCATTACCAAGCGCCCGTGCATTTTTTTTTCCGCTTATATTTTCCACAATTTTTCCTCTCTTCAATCTTCTCTTCTTGAGATTCATATGTTGTTTTGCACCTCATATAATGTTGTCTTGGTCATGTATTATAGTACTAAGGTTCACAGGGTACTTCCGATTTCTTGAATATTGCAAATAACGTCTTAAATTTTTGAGTAATCAAAAATCTGAGTAGACAGTCTTGTTTGTTAGAAGGATATATATATTTGTAATGTATCATTCATGGGGTCACTGTACTTATTTCGAATAATATGCTCTGTTCTATGTAGACTGACATGGAATACATACTACTCTTGATTCCAATGTTATTCTTGAGCTCCAAGGTCTTCTGTATAAGCTAAAAAAATTACTTAATCAAGTGCCAATGGAAACCAAGAAGCCAACTAGGCAGCTTTGGGGTTCGAACCCGAAAGGTTGGGACTTTGTGTGGGTTTCGCCCTTGTGAAGGGGCTCATCAGAGGGCTTAACCGCTGCCCTAACCCGCCGGTTCTACTTTGCATTGATAGATCATGACTCCCTATTCATGGGGTGGAGTATGCCATGTGGTGCCGTCCACATGGTACCCGATCCGATTTGCAACATCGGCATAGCATCGGGGACCACGGCATATGTGTAGGTAATTTTTGATGTGGGTGATGGATCTGGGGGGCACCCTCCCCATTAAGCCAATATCAGAGTGCCTGCCGCACAGCTCTGATGAGAGGCCAGTCCATGGCCATCTGATGTAAGCCAGGTGGACTTTTGTGTCTGTCTATCTGTATGTAGCCCAAATATAGCTGCTTGCCTATATTTGTCAACTAGTCTGGCCATCTCCAAAGATAAGGCGGAATAAGTCATACAAAGTTCCAGTTTATTCAGGTGAAAGTGACATTGAAATCATCCATGGAGCCATAGAGTCAGAGGAAGAAGTTGACAAACTTGATTGAAATCCCATAAAACCAGGAAAGGGAAGCCAAAAGTCAAGCAACAGGTGCAGGATGAATACTCAAATGGAGACGAAGAGGAGGAAGATGTTGTTGAGTACAGGAAGAAGCAGAAACATCAAAACAAAGATTCAGTCCTGCAAAAGCTCAGTGCGCATTTTACATTCTCTTGGTATAAAACCATCCATAGCTAATTCAATACTTAGTATTTCATCTCCTCATTCCTGCTGTCAATCCTGAGGATCCAATTGAATGGCACTCTCTTGATACCCAGTCATCATTCGAACAGTTCAAAAATTTGGTGTACAAAAAAACCCTTAGTTGCGAGAAAGTACATATCAAGCCAAGTCTTTCCTACAAAATGCCAGGAACTACTGTCATGCCTTACCCCGAATTCTCTCTGACTCCTAGCTCCCCAAGAGCACCTGTAACACCCCCCACTACCTCCTCCGTCTATTAGCGTCCCCTAACACCCCTTCTATAGGCTTCCCTGACACCGTAGGGAACCTCCCTATCACCAACTCCATTAAGTATATCTCAATTACTGCCTCATGTTCCTCAGATTCCCAGATGTTCCCTTGTTCACTTGCCGTACCTATTTAAGTAGCTCCGCAATGTCCCCAAGCGCCAGCTTGGTATATTTTGAACACACACCCTTTTGCATAGGTCCAGTCCCTGTCCCTTTGTATCTGCTAACTATACGGATTTCTCTTACTCTCTGTTTCTCTACTACTATCTCGTCTCTACGGTCGCCTAAACAATCCAATACATGCTTTTACCTCACGTCTAAGCAATCCAAGTGAGTCTTCGAGCTCCCTCAACCAACACTAAAGCTCCCCAAACGTCTATCGTTTTGGTGAGCCAACCTCCCCCAAACTTCCCTCAAGCTCAGGGACCTTGATCTAGCTAACGTCAAAGCTATCCCCTATGTCGAACTACATATCGCTTCTCCGTTACTACCCCCAACGCTTGAGGATGCCCGCCTCTACCTCCACTTCCTGGGACCTCCCTCCCGGGCTTACACTCTATCAGGAGCTCTCACGCCTGGAACTCACTACATCTACGATCTATCATGATCCTGTATTGTCAATCTTACCTACTACAAATCGTACGATGTAACCATCCGACGTTCCCCAGCTCCTAGCAACCTTTAGCCCCTTTAACGTTTCAGGGACCCCCCAGGACCTCCTAGGAACCTCTTCAAAGGTCAACCCCTTCAATCTGAACTATTCTTAGGTCATTCCAGTCCTCAGTCGCGGTTCCCGTAGCTCCCTTCGAGCTCCAGCTTGCTCCTAGCACCCTACATCATAAATCCCTTATACCAAAACCTACCCTAAGACCTATTCTGACTGTCATGAAGTCTCGTGATGCGCCCTTTGATGTGCAATCAGCGGTGTGTTCCCATCAATCTCTTTTCACATGTTTATTGTACTTTATCACATGATCATCCCATTAGTTCCATTTGTTTCCATACACTTCCATACAACTTATCCTTATTCATCGATTAGTTCATTATGGTTCATTATCAACTCATTATTACTCGTATATATTGATTCCTCACTCTTGTTCTATATGACATCGTTATTTACAATCACTTACTCATTAGACAAGAGTAGTATATAAAGGACAGTAGACAGACCGTAGTTTCCCATCTCAACCTCTTGGTCATTAGGCAACTAGATTCCCTTTTGATTGCTGGTGTGATTGGCCTCTGACGCTATCTCACTGTTGTTCGAGATCACTATTTCTTTCATCTGTGCTTTGTGCTTGTCTCTGTGCCTTGTGCTCTGCCGCTATTGCTCCTCAGTATACTCGGACTCCCCGCCTCCCGCTTTCTGCCTTGTCGCAACACTGACCCAGGTCTTACAGCTACAAGAGGTACCAGTGGGATTTTGCTCTGGACAGAAGCAGATTGGATACTATGCTTAGAAAATATCATTTGGACTTACCACAGCTGTCCCAAATCAAAACATCTTATGCCGTTAGATGTTACACTTGTTGTAGCAAGCAAGGTAGAATTCTTTTGCAATTTGGCAATTGATTATTTACAAAAGCATGTTGTAATATAGTACCTCCTTGCTCTGAATGCATGCCAAAATCCTTGAAAGTCCACTAGCTCTAGTGCTGCTGGTAGAACAAAAGGCTGAGGAATGAAAGCTCAGTCTCCACTTCCAAATCTTAATGGGAGAGATGGGGCCTATGATGTCGGAGATGATGTGGAGAATGGAGACAGACTTTTCACAGCAAAGGAGAAGGAACATACCGAAGCATTGATGAAAATGCTGAAGAAGTGTAAGAGATGTGGACCCAATATCATGTGCAAGGTTGATATTCAAGGTAATCATACAAAAATTTTATAAAGTATGCTTTGTGCATGGGCAATCTCTCTGGTAATAGCTGTTAATTCAATTATTAAATCTATAATTTCTTCTTTTATTTTAGTTAAAAATACAGCTAAAATAATGAAAATTTTGTTATTTTCTTTTTTTGGTAGATTTAACTTAGATTTTTACCCACCCCTATCCCTCCCCTAAAGGGGAGGGATAGATAGGGATGGGTGGCTAGGCTGGGTGGAAAATAACAGGAAATAAAGGGAAATAAAGAGAAATAACGGGAAATAATGGGAGGGATGGAGAAGTTACCCTTACAGTGTTACAATCACTTCTTCTTCATCTTATCTTTTTCCTTATCCCTTGTCTTATCTTTTATCTTTTGTCTTATCTTCTATCTCCCTTATTCTATATCTTGTCTTATCTTGTTACCTGACCTATTATTCATGCTTACTGATACAACATGCACTTTTCATTTACTTATATTAAACACAGCAGTCTTACAACACATATACAGCCAATCGAGCTTTCATTACTTACACATTGCTTTACTTATGTTCTACTCATGTTTACCACTAACCCAGGGCATTGGGCATTACTAGGGCGGAGGGTTGTTTACCTGTATATAGGCTGTAGTTACTTGCTGTATTTCCTTAGCTTTGATCTCGTCTATTCTACCTGGTTTAGCCCAGAACTCTGCTTACCTCCTTTATTGCTCTACCACCTAAGGTTTTCTTGAGTGTGACACCTGGTGACACCTGTTACTAGAACCAGTCGCTGACATACAGTAGTGGAAGAATAAGAAGCAGGTGGTATTATTTGTTACAATAAATAAAAAGTACAATGAGAGAAAACTTGTCAGAAATTTTTGTCCAAGTTCTACATCATCTCCACTGAACATTTCTACAGACCAGCAAGGAACATGGTGTTAGATTGAAATAACCTCCCAAAGTAGCGATATTTTCATATTTCTTTTGCACACAAATCCATACTCCCACATTAACTGAGACCATACATCTCCCTCCTCCTCCTCCACTGACTCCTCAGGCCAATGTTCAATACTTGTCAATGCCAATGCCATGGTCTCATCTAGCATTGATAAATCAGCCTCAGGCTTGGCCAGAAGCATCTGGCTCGCATGTTCCTTACACTCCACCAAGCTGACCATCAGTTC